CTGGGCAACTCTGCCTATGGTTAAACAGTAACCAACCAAGAAAGACATATGCAAGTCCAAATAGCCAATGAAATACCGCCCCTGGGTACATCAAAGGCGAAAACTCTAGTGCCTTGGACGATATTGGGGAGGGTGTCTGCGGAGTCGAATGGACAAAGAAGTTATCAAGCTAAACTTGCCAATTCAGACAGGATTTTTCATCAGGGGAAGGAATGGAAGATGACGATACAGTGCGCATGGTGTTTAATTCACCAGTTTTAAGTTTCCCTTTTTCTTTTCCATTCATGGGTATGGATGAGCTGACTTTTGGAAGACTTTTTGACAGGATACAGACCGTTCTGAATAGTTATAAACAGGGAATGTTTCATCTGTTTCTCAAGCCGCCTCTCTCAATTTGAGACCTGCAGCGTCTGCAAGATTTCTGGTACAATTCAAACTTCCTTAGATCAACTTCTTGTTTGACAATGGGTGTATCCCTTGCACAAGACATATCGAGGTATTCAACTGGAAGACTACTTCAAAATTGTATTAAATACAAAAAACAAAACTTTAAGCTGGTATTTCCCTCTGAAATGTTTTGTAAATTGTGTGTAGGACAGCCCTCTGATTTTCAATGTAAAACTTGTACATCACGTAAGATATTTAAGGGAGAAGAAACTCAGAGACAATTCTGTGAATGACTGTTCTAACCACCTCAACTGACAATGCAGTTTCTTGCACTGGGAATGTTTCATCTGTGTTTCAACACGTTCATCTCATCTTCAGACGTGCCAGTTGGCCAGGTCATACCTCAAAAACCAAAAGCAGACAGACATTCACTGTTTAAAAAATCAAAAGAAGTAAAAAAAAAAACTCACCCAAAATGACCTACCCAGCGATCTAATTACCTAAAAGTAATTAGCAGTTCTCCAAACTGCCCTCCATTTGCGAGGGCAAGAATTATAAAAAAAAAAAAATCGTAGCCAACTTACCAAACAACTTAGTGTCTTTTTCTTTGACCAGTTGTTACGCCCGGTGCTTTCGTCCAAGCTGAACCCTGCTTTCTTCGTAGACTCACAACAGAAGAAGTAACTGGACAAATGGCAACTATGACCACTTGGGGGGGGGGGGGATCTCTGTAAAGCTACAGAGAAGTTGAGCCACCACTGCTGTATTCATCAAACGAGCTCCACACTATATTAACAGGATGGAGACCACTGTTGATGTCATCCCACAACTGTCATGAACCCTTATCCTTGTCTAAATATCAAAAAGAGACCTTTGCTTTTCTGCATTCTACCAACAAATTTTTTTTATTGGTTTTAATATTTTGCCCACTCAACAGTTGATTTTCAGAATCAGATTGCTCTCTAGGAGGAAGAGCAGAAGGATGACAGCAAGGAGAAGGATGATGTTTGGGAGAAGGATGACAGTAACTCAGAGGAAGAGGATGGGAAGGAGAATGGCACGAAGGAACCACCACAAAACGCGATATACATTCCTCCTTATTCAGATGTTGAATCTATTTGAGTAAGAAGGGAAATGCAGCATCGTTATTAGGGAGCCGGTCGACAGGTGAGCGTCGGCAAGTGATGAAGATGAATGGCGAGGGTAGGCCCTCTGTGGATTGAACCACCATTTTAAGCCTCTCTCACATATGGTGTTTGATGGTCTGTGTTGTGTTGTCAACTTTGTACTGGTCTTCTACAGTTATGGTACTGATTTCCGTGAGCAACAGATCAATTCATAGCAATTGGCTGGTACATGTACATGTACATGTCAGCTTGAACATGCAGCTGAGCTGGAACTCTTAAACACAACAAACATCAAATCCACAGGACTTGGAGATTGGAGAGTCCATTAAATGTACCCCTGGAAATCGACACAAGTGGAAGATTCCACGTATCACATCTAATAAGACAAGACCCGCAATTAATTCTATTTTGTGGTATGCCCCTTGAGTTCGTACCATGAGTTATGAATTCTGTCATACTTCTTAAGTTCCATTTTGCAAGTTCCATATTTGAAGTATTTGAACACGTTTTCCAATAATTCAAGGCTTTAAATGGCAAGCGCATCCAGCATTTGAAGGCCAAATACATCCAAGACGTTGCCACATTTATCTTAGACCTGCAAAAACAAGATGCCCATGTGTGCCATAAAATGAATATAGGCTATCAACTTGTAACAATTGACAGTAAATCATCCGGTGCCTCTTATCATTTAATTTTCATATGATATTTTCCCACGCTATTTGGCGGCTTTTACTATTTCCATTAAACAAGTTTTCAGTCAATAAAGCAGTCAAAACAATACTTGCCTGCTTCAAAGGAAGGAAAGTAAACTGAGGATATGGCTGAGTTACCAAACTTGAGTCATGGGCTGAGAAGTCTGCTTCATCAGGACACAACTGGCAACGCAGCAACATATGTTTGAAGGACGCTGCTCAAATCCCAATCTGGTCTGTAATCTGTACTATCTAAAAGAAAATAATCAATAAAAAAATAACAATTAACTTTTCAATGGTCCATTGGACCGCACAGAGTGATTTAATAAATAATCACTGTTAAGTGTTAGCCTAGTGTGCATGTTAAAACTTAAGTTAAAGGTCAAATTCTGATGAGGCTTAACCCAGACACGGCTCTGGAGAGCTCTGAAATGTGCAAAACTAAATCAGGCCGACTTTACTCACAGTTTAGCCAGCACATTTCTCCAAATATTCCACTGGGGCAAAGAAAATGTCCTCAGTATTTCACCAACCAAGTTTGCAGACTCAGTTCAATTTTTAAAGCCTTTAAAGGAGACTTTTCTTCAATATTTTGCACATGAGAGGGAAGTCAAGTGATTTTAAAATCAACATTTTAGGTTCAACATTCTCTTCTATGATGCTGCCGCCACTTACTTTCACAGACACCATATTTTTGACTTTATATCTACGTTGCCAGACCCAAACAACCTCCTTAAAGCCGTACAGTTTGATGTCCAGCAGAAGATCTACCTCAAGTGCTCAAATTAGAGCACTAGGCATGGTAGACAAAGTTGTTACGGGTCCATTTTGGCGCTTGGCAGAAAGTACTGCCAGCATACTTGACCTAAATATACCACTAAATCAGATGCTAGAGAAGTTGAAGACATGGGTTGTTGATGCCACACCTCTGATGGAAGGAGAACCATTATTTACTGACGTGGAAATACACAAAGATGAGATGTACCAAGCGTTATTCTCTGATCAACGAGATGCTGATTTTGATACATATACACAGGTTGCGCTGGAAATGATTCTTACCGGTATTGTTTTGATTTTGGAAAGGCAAGCCAAAGATCAGCTTGAGGGAGGAAAATACTTCAAACCAACCCCAAGCCTCCAGGAGTCCGCAAAGAATGTTCCAACAACGAACACAATCTCTGAGCGAGATTTCGCAATCCTTGATGTTCTAGTGAGCCTAAAACCTGCTGCATCCTGCCATTCATTTGAAACATATATCCTGTGGCTTAACAACAAACCCAGCGAATGGCTCTACAACATGGACCCTGCCAAAAAGAACAACCTGCTGGATATGGCTCGTAACCGATACAGTTCAATACGAGAACAGTATATAAAACGGAAGGACAAACTGAAACAGCAGCGCAGACAGTCATTGAGAGCGAAGCAGGAGAAAAAGGAAAAACAGCAACAGAGAACTAGAATAAATATGGTTGCAGCTACAGAGGGGGTGATACAATATGGTGGTGTTTGGACACTTGATGACTTGGAACAAGAAATAAATAATGTAGAACCTACCAAGAGGAAAGCCGCTATCTATGCACAACTCAAGTACCACAGAAAAGTACTGAACTCTAAAGGACACCACAGACTCTTCAACAAATCCAGCCACAATGTTGAGTTCAGTGAAAACACACTGAAAGAAAACTTAAAAACAGTCCTGGATCAAATTCTAATGAAATAACAAATGCAAACATACAGAGTACTGCAGCTACAAATCTTCAGCATCATACACGGGAGGAAACAAATAGGAATGTGCTGAGCAGTAAAGACAAAATGCTGGAAGTCAATTGCAAGTTCACAACAGCAAAATAAGGTGCTTCCAAAAACCTCATTAGCCAACAAATATGTACTGAAAAATTGGTGTAAGTGTGTTATTAAATGTTAAAGTTATATGAAATTTAGTGTATTTTTCATTCATATTTTGACCTGTTTTGGGGTCATTGACCCCTATGTAATGTATGTGGTGCGACTGTCTTCGCCGTATTGCCCTTCTACTAGCTTGAGTAACTCCAGCTGACATGCTCCATATTCATTCACATGCTACATGTGAATGAATATGGAGCATGTCAGCTGGAGTTACTCAAGCTACCCTTCTACAATATCTAAAGCTTTATATCTCAAAAAGTATTTCACCTATTGACTTCATTTGAAAAACATTTTCTTTTCCTTTTGATTGTCTTCAATTTGGCACCAAAATCAACACTGTAGCCCTTTCATAACAATTTGACCTGAAAACCCTAGTAAAAGGTAACATTCTTTCCCAAACCCAAGTTACACAGTTCTGCAATCATCAAAAAGTATAGAGAGACATGATTTGAGGAGGAAAAAATGGGCCTACCTTCAGTTTTGGTTATTTCAAAGCAACAGAGTGCCGCGTTTTCGACTTCAGCCTTGCCCTTCAGTTCAGGAAGAACAGTGCAATGGCGTGATGGCTTGGGCGTCACCCTCCCCGCGCGCACGCAAACCCTCGCAGTGCAGTCGATCGGATTTCCGTCGATCGTCCGGCCCAGCAGCAGTTTGTGAGCCTTGTTTTGTCGACTCAAACGAACATGTTACAATCGATATATTGATAAAGAGATCTGCACCAGTGAGTGCAAATTATGTCATTCTTTTAGTGAGCAAATCAGCAAAAAAAGTACCAGCCCGCGAACCGTTCTGTGCACAAAAGCAATCTGCATGATCTAAAGCACACGTCACGTGACACACGTGACCACATACCTAAATCGTCACGTGGCAGCCGTGCCCACAACGAATTTGTAACAGCGCCCTCAAGTGGCCGATAGAAAATTAACATGGCGGCGTCCACAATCGTATAAATTTCTGATTGTAATTTCGGTTTTAAGCCGTCATTTTGCATTGATTTTCAACATTATACTTTTATATAGGTAGTGCATATTAAATATTAATTTCATCATGTGTAAATGTTACAGGAACTAACCGGGGGCTTGTACGAATAACTTAAAATCACGAACTGAATTCGAGTGAACCACGTGTGTTTGTCACTTCGCCCCATGTTAAAACCACTTCGCCCCCTAGCCCCATTTGTTTTTGTTGTTTTTTTTAAAACAAACTAGCTTTCAAATTTAAAACACTTTTACCCTGGCATTACCCTCTCTGGTATAGGTGTAGTACTGGGAAGATTCCCATATCTGGCCATCACTAATTTTTCCGGAAAGATTCCCATCACTTGTCACCCTGTGCACAAACCCTATGGGCATGATGGGACTGGTCTAAAGATTTGAAGTGTTTTTTTTCTGTTGAGATTGAGAATTCGAAATTTGTCCCTGCTAATTTTGACTTTTTAGGACATATAAGAAATTATTATCACTTTCTGGTACATGTAGCTGATTGATAGGTCATTTAAGGGAAAAATTACTGATGGCCAGATATGGGAATCTTTCCATTTTTCCTTTTACCTTTAGTGACCTATAAAACTAAAACTAAGCATCATCAGCCATCAGAAAGTGCTATATGCCCTAAAAAGTCAAATTTAGCAGGGAAAATATTGATGAAGTATTTATTCAGAAAACACTTAAAATGTTCAGACCAGTCTCATAGGGTTTGTGAACAGGGTGACAATTGATGGCCATGTAATATGGGAATCTTTCCCTAGTAGTAGTAGTACTACAGTAGTAGTTACCTGTAGCATGCATTTATTTCCATATTGAGAACTAGGTATTTCGTCCTTGACTCCCAAAGGGTTAAAACAGTTTGCTATGGGCATGAAATGGGCATTTATTTTAAGATTTTTTTTTTTTTTAAATCTAAACCTACAGGGTAGATTCCAACAGTGAACATCCGGTATTCAACATCTCAGCACAGGCCTCACCAACTTTGATTCAACTACCATGAATGATGTACATCTAGTGTTGTTGGTAAACAAGATTCATCACATAGACTTTACTAACTGAAAAGATTAGAATGTTAGTCAGGAGAGCGAAAGTGTTGTAGCCATGAAAGAGAAGTTATACCTTCCGTTGGAGGGGAAGTACCCAACACGCCAGACTCAGACAATTTTATTCTTGTGCCAGTACTGTGGTTACGACTCATTTGATGTCAGTCTAGTTCAGACAGCAGCTGAGGGAAAGTTGAATCACAAAGAAGAGCACACCGATTTGCACAAAGTCGCATCTGCTCCAAAAAGTACATGTCAATCTCAGGGATTGTGCCTGTTCCAAAGTTGTGGCACAGACACCTCAGTAGGTCAGTTTGCTGATGATGGACCAACTGACAGCAACACTGTTGAAGTGCCTTCTGTTGGACGAGCCAACGTTGTTGACGGGCCTTCTTCCGGATGTGCAGGTCAAGACTCTGAATCTGCACTAAGATTTGATCAACCAAAAGCAAACACCAGTTGTGCAGGATTTTCAGAGTGGCTACCTCAAGACTTTTGTTGCACTTTGAAGAATTTCCAGGATATTGATTGGCTCGCACAACAGTGCCAGCTACCAGCTGTCATTGGGTCAGGAGGCCTAACCAGTTACTCTGGCCTGTGTGCCGTTTTGAGGAGGATTGTCAAGAAGGCACATGAAAAACACCCAGCAAAGGAACTTGAAGCTCTTTTGGTAAGTCTTAATGTATTTTTTCATTGTTTTTTATACCAGAGCAAAATTACAGTGAGCCTGGGCTTTGCTGGGGTTTTTGTTTCTCAAATTACAAAATTTCCTTGATCGCACAATTTCCTGGGATGTTTTATTATTTTCATGAAATTTGCCAACAACTCCCCCTAAATATAAAAAAAAAAATTTACTTTGAAATCGTGTAATTTGTTATTGAAATTAATTGAAACAAATTCAAACATTTTATGTATAAATTGCAGACCATCAAAATTGTTTTTAAACTGTTTAACCCCACCCCACTGATTATTGGTGAATTAAAAAAAAACAGAAAATGAAATGCCTTTTACTGGAAACAGTTGGCATTGATTTTGCCGTTCTTGTCTATTAATCTACAGAAGTTTATTCGTGTGTCTGAAGCGTATAATGAAAAATGCTTGGATTTATTTTGCAGGGATTTAATCAAGCGTGTTTGAAGAAATGCTCGGAGGTCAGCCCCTGGACCAAACTGTGTGAAGTCGACATCTACCAAGATCTAACGGTGAATGGTTCCATCCCGGCAGCAATCCTGGAGCTTGAGAAACAACTGGCAAGCCCTGTGGTCATCTCCAGTAAGCTCCTAAGGAAGATGAAAGTGAAACAAACTAGAGATTGTCAGCAAAACCAAAAAGTGGAGCAAGGAAAGATCTTGGAGTCTGAATCAGTTTTCCACACTAGTACCATGCATCTGCTGGACAAGAATCAAATCAGGATTGCTAAGTGCTTGTACAAGGACCAACTTAACTCAAATTTGAACTCTTTTTCAAACGATCGAGCTGAAGAAGTCAAGCAATCTGATTGTGTTACTCTTCATAAGGATGGATTAGTAAAAGCACAAGATGCAAGGAACAAGGTTCCCCTGAACAAAACTAAAACAACTTACCAAGCCAAATCCGCAGCCTCCAAAAGATCCACAACTTCACCATGTGAGGAGAAATCTAACACTATGGGGGAATCTGTTGCACATCCCCAGCACCTCTTTGCAGAAGGTCCCTACGTCACCCTTTGTGATTTTGCACTCTTCTACAGTATGCACTCCTTCCATCAGAACTGTGTAGAAAAAGGCAAGAGTCCTATCCTCTTTTGGGATATTCCATTTGTATGTAGGTGGTACCAAAGGATGTGGAGCGTGCCTAATCTGAGGGTCTGTGCTGAGCGTTGTGGGTTGAATGAGGTCGTGATTCCTGAAGAGGTCATTCAGAGCGGCTGTTCAGCAAAGGTCAAAACTGAGGTCAAGGATGAGGTCAAATCTGGGAACACTACTGACAAGACAACCGAAGGCAACACAAAATCACTTCAAATCAGGTAGGTACAAAACTTTATGTAGATATGTGTAAAGGTTTACATAATTCACACAAAAGCGAATGCCAAGTGAATTTGAAATCAGGAATAACTTCACTATAACTTGAGACGTGTTCAGCTCTTGTGAGTTCACAGTGTGAAAATGTGCCGTGACGTCATAAATATGTGTTCACATTTGCTTTTGCGCTGAGCACGAACTTGCCTTAATGTGTTTAATCATAAGTAATTATTGTCAAAACAAAGTCTGTAAAACTTCTTTTTACCAGCTGAGAGCTCAGAATTATTGGTTTAACATGAGAAGGTTCTACAGCAAAAATTAACAGTTCCCTAGGCATGTGGAATAGTTGAATGAGACATTGTTAGAAATGCAAGAATAGTCTTGGAATTATAAGAATCCCAAGCTTTGCTACGAATGGCTTTTCAAACAAAAGTTGCCTTAAGTTTTAATGTAAGGTCTGCACAACTACGTGCCCAGTGAGGTGGTACCTTAATGTGGCCTTTCTCTTCTTTCCATGCCATGTAGTCAACTGCCGAGTGTGAGAGATCGTGTTGCAGAAATCATTAGCAAGTTGGAAGGTTGCGGCATACAGATCACTGTGGATGACTTGCCTGTTGAGAACGTACAGCTTCCATGGGACACTTTTCCAGAAAGTGTCAATCCTTCTAAAGGTAATTGTTTACTTCCTGTAGTTAGAGTTTTTCTGGTCCCATGCATGCGTCTCAAATACTGGACTTCCTTCGTACTTAGAACCACACAATGATGCATGTTCAATTTCATGAACAGAAGTAGCCAGCTTCTTATATTTTCAGTGTGTGATTTCAATTTCTTCACAGGCAGACCATTCTCAGCAGAACTTCTGTTATAATTCAAATAAGGGGGGGGGGGGGGGCAATCTATGGTCTTGAAATAGCATGCACTGGAAAATATTTTTTAGGAACCAATAGAATTAATGCTGGTATGGGAAACTTATGTAAAAGAAACCGCATGTTAATTCGCAATTTTGCATGAATATTCAGCTGGATACAATATCTGCAATGATTATCTCCCATTACATTTTTGAGATGTAGATGTGTGGACTTGGTGAAATTAACATATGCGCACAATATTTTCCCATAGTTCCCTATTGATGTCTAAGTTTCTACTTAACATGTTATGTCTTAGATGTTTCTGAGGAGAGAGCAAGGCACAAGAGGCAGCAGATAGAAAGCATTGTAGCGCCAGTCAAGATGATAGCCAAGCCGGGAGATGTCATTGTGGACTTCTGCAGTGGTGGGGTCAGTTGGTTTGCCTGTCTGTTTGTCTGTCTGTGTTTGTTGGGCTTCTCATTATATGAATTATTTGTAATGTACAAAAGCATCTAAAAACTTTCAACCCTAGGGACAAAAAGTATTAACTGCTTCGAGTGGTGCTATAAAACAAGCCTTCGGAGGCGATCAATGACGATGTTCTTTTATCCTGTGGCCCCTTCTGTTATCCTGCAACAAAGCCCAGGGAAAATAGAATTATCTATGAATCACAAAGTGTTCACTGCAATGTCACAAGTGTTACGTAACTGCTCAACATTTCAACCATTTTGTTGATAAAATTCAGTTTTCTAGAAAAATCATTCAATGCAAATTAAAATTTTAAGATCTTTGATCTCCCAAATGAGAAAATGACAACAGAGCGCTATTTTGTGATTGAGTGTGCCGAGTAACAATGGTTTATTCATTATGCTAAATGTGAAGAAAGATTCTAAAAAGGAAACACAAATTATCAATGTAAAAATCAGAATTACAAGATAATGCTATATAGCATGGCCAGATTCATTCAAAATGTCTGAGAATGATTGCTCAATTACTTCTTTATTTGTTGTTGAACAAACCTCGCCAGCTATTAACATTAACATCAGCCTCTAGAGATTCTTGAAAATGTGGTTCTGTCTGATAAATATCCAGGGCCACGTGGGCATAGTGCTTGCCCATTGTCTACCAGACTGTCACATCATCATGGTGGAGAGCAATGAGGAATCAATGAAACGTGCGGAGGCCAGAATACAGGGTACCAGACTGAACAACATTTCCTTCTGCCAGTGTAACTTGAATTACTTCACTGGAACGTTTGACATTGGGGTAGGCATTTTTAGTTAAATTTTTGTCATTTTTGTATAGGTGTGCCTTAGAAAAGTATGATTTTCAGCATGATTTTGCCAAATTTGTGGCCCTAGGGTGAGTGGTTAGAACATGCTTTTCCTGCTTGAGGTGCAGTTTATACTTATATAGCTTGCAATGGACTGTTTAAACAGTGAAAACATGTATTAATTTTGCACTAGCACACTACTTTTTGTCAGTTGTTATGCATTACCATTCAGCAGTCCAGACTCAAGAATCATTGAAATTCAAGAAAACTGAGTCTGGGCGCTAGACAAGCCAATACAAATAATTCCCAGATGTCTGCACTAGAATGACAGATTTTGAAAGAACATTGAAGACAAGTGTCGCTTGCTACTCAACTATTTCTCAAAGATGATTCAGGATTGTGCACATTCAGATGAAAATTAGTCACCTACACTCCATATTAGTTGCCCATAAACATGTATGCATGTAATGTATCCCTTACTGGCTGTCTTCAGTAAGGCATCAAATGCATTAGCAGTGATCGCATTGTGGGGACGTTTTTTATTGTTAGGGAAATTAGGGCAAAGTTGTGGGGACGTTGTACTGTCCCCAAAGTATCTTTGATCAACTATCAGGACAACTACAGAATAAGTACAGTGGAATCTCGATAAGTCAATGCTCAGGGGAATTTGAGTTAGGCAGAGTTCTGAGTTTACCAATGCATTTTCTATTCAACAACAATTGACGATAATAAGTTCTTACTTTGAGCTTGGTGGGTTTTTGAGTTAACAGGTTTTGACTTTATTCGAGATTTCACTGTATGTTTGTTCCTGAACAGAGTTTATAAAGTGTTCACACAGAAAGTATGCATCTGGAAATCTTTGTTCAATTCTTGACATTTGCTTAATCTCAGGTCTCCCTTCATGCTTGTGGTGTGGCAACAGACCTGGTCCTTGGAAAATGTCTGACGAGCCGAGCATCGTTCGTCTGCTCTCCTTGTTGCTATGGATCGGCGCGAGACTCGCATCTCATCAAGTATCCGAGGAGCAAGCAATTTCTCGAGTCTCCTGTGACCTATGAGGTAATATGCTGAATGGCTTTGCTTATGACAAGCCAAGTCGGAGAAAACTTTTGTTGATGGTGCCAAAATTGGAAACTCAAATTCTGCAGTGTCCCTTTAAGGCTGATAAGTTGTTTTTAGTAAGCAAATCATTTCTGAGATTAGGAACTGTTTAAGTTGCTTTTTGCGGTTGGCTCTTCATTTGCATTTGACCCACTCGAGCTTAATGAATTAAATTATACTTTTAAGGTTGTAAAGTTCATAATTAGTAATGATGCTCTATTATTCTTTATTTTAATTTCCAGGATTATCAGTTAGCTGGCCATGTCGCTGAGCAGACGTCAAGAAATTTTGAAAGTAAAATGGCAAAGCAGGGTAAGTCAAATCCAATTTATTTACCACTTCTTTTTTGGGGGGTGTATATAACAAGAAAAAAAAACACAAAAAGTTCGGGCAAAGATCTTTACTAAAATCGATGAAAACTAACAGTGTATGTGTTCTGTAAGATTTTTTGGTTTTTGTCCAGGTGTTAAAAAAAAAACAATGGGAAAGTGGGGAGGCACACTCACCGGGCTATCTAGGTCTCTTAAGTGTGGTCATTATTTGAATGTATGTTTTTTTCTTCAGTACTCCAACCTCTATATTTGGTTGTATTGATAATTTACTTCCGTGTTCTCAAGTGTACAAGAGGTACATGCACATGGTGTGTACATAAAAAAGTACTCAGACTGTTACTAAACTTATAATCTCAATAGGTGCTTCCCGGCCCGGTTACGGGATATGCGGCTGGAAAAACTAGCTTGTTATATACCAGCTTGTGTGGTTGTATCACCAAACCCACATATATACGTCTTAACATTTTGATGTGAAATGCACATTGCCCAAAGTGTCCCAGATGAAATAACCACGCACAACTGTAGATTTTAAAAAGCAACTTTTCTAAAGCTGCATCCGTATCCCATACACGTACCATTCCTAATAGTCCCTACTCTTTCTGTAACACCACCTTCATGTAAGCAAACAGTATCATCAAACATTTCTGAGAAATTTCTCATCGATGGACTAACTCCTCTTTTTGTCATTGCAGCTAAAGTCTGCATGTCGATCCTGGACACGGATCGTGCTGAGGCAGCTCGTGAGCTGGACTACCAGGTGGGATTGTACTCACTACGTCCAGCCAGCTGCTCCCCCAAGAACAACCTGCTGATAGGTACACCCTCCGTTGGTTCAAACAGGTTTCTGTTATAGACTAGGACCCCGTCTGAAATTACAAGGCTATGGCTATGGGAAGGAGCTGCAGCGGCTGCCTTGGGCATGTGTGGGAAAGAATGTTGTATCCAGACGCCATTTTCAGCGGCTGTGTACAAAGTCTACGGAGAGTCAAGAACATTTTCATTGTAAAAAGGTAAAGATCCCATAGCCATTACTGGCCGTAGGGGCAGTGGGATGTTAGAGGTCCACTGTGTCTTGGGCGCGGCATATAAGTGGCGGTGCCCAGTCCTCTCCTCTCGCCGTCTTACCTTCCCTGAAAGAATCAGGTACCCATTTTACTGTTTGGTCGTCAGAGAGAGTTTTCCAGTTTTTGGTTCGAATGGGATTCGAACCGCCAACCTTCCACTCCGTAGCTCCATGCTCTAACCGCTCGGCTACGAGGCTACAATTTTCATTGTATTTCCTAACAAAATTGGAAATGTTTCTCAGACTCAGATTCATGTCTTTACAACATTTTTGCAATGACTGATCTTTATTGAGATGATTGATATATATGAAGAAATAAGTGTGGTCAGGTTGCAACATTCTTTCCCATGTGTGTAATTTCCAGCCACAGCCAAGTAATTCAGACACGGCCTGAGATTGAAGAGCTTAGACTTAAGACATGGATGTATCCACAAGATCAATGTATTAAGCCCCACCCAATGACGCATTGGCCAATCATAGCTGTGATTAATGTCAAACATGTATGTATTAAAGTCTGAGTTGTGTACACCTGTGTATGACGAGCGCATCTGGAACATACAGTGTGGCATTAACGAGGCACACATTTTGTTGCCCAAAATACGCAGTGGGCGGGCCTTAATGGATGGGTCTATAGACCTTTATCATGCTGCCACCATTTCAGTCATGTTTCTTGTATCCAATAACAGTACTGAATGGTAATGTTTCTGGTGCAAAAAGGAACCAGACTATTTATTCTTTCAGCCTCGCTTTGGTTACATTGATTTGAATGGGAAAAAATCAAGATGGCCGCCACATGATAATGGTCTATTGGCCCTATGTACTCCCTCAGTGGTTACAAAGGGAGAGTTGGGGCAGACCACTGGAAAGGACATTCAAACACATCGCCGCCAACGCTTAATGCTCATGTATGACGCTATCAGTGTGTGCACATTCAGAATAAAAAAAAAGTCGTGCATGCTTCACGCACCACTTTAAGTAAGTTGTGCAAACAAGAACACACACACACACCCATACTTGTTTCACATGACTAGTGTGGACTTTCCATTGCTTTCGTGTAGTTAAGAAAAACCAGTGAAAAAACTCATTTTTCTCAAACTGTGAAAACTCTTTCAACCCAATTTTTTTTCTATGATTCCCTTTAGTGTTTCTCTTCATTCTGCTACAGATAAACCTAACCCAAAAATGCCTCTAAACCTGTTTTCCAGAAATGGGGAAACACTGTGTGGACGTGGGGTAAGTCCACACAACGTCGGTGCTACCTACATTATGTGGACGTCTTTTGTTCGGAAGTCCACACTGCGTATGTAAGACAAGCTCACCCAGTACCTCCCTTACACACTTTTCACGTTTTTGATCATGTCCCCTGAATGTAGTTTATTTATTTATTTATTAAGAGAATAAATGTGTGCTCCGGAGGTTTTTATCACTCTGTTTAAGACCACTTAGAGTCTGGGTGCTGATAATTACCCAAGCCGGAGGCGAGGGTAATTATCAGCACCCAGACTCTAAGTGGTCTTAAACAGAGTGATAAATACCGACGGAACACATATTTATTCCCATTCATAAATACCTTTTCGGTAAAAAAAAATCATAATTCGTTCAAAACATCCCGATTTTGTTCAACAAATTCACTTTATGCTTTTTGAAACATCCCTCTTGCAAAATAATGGAGTGTTCAGCTGGCGAGTAAGATGTAAACAACCCTTTTATGGAGATTGACGCGCGCGTTTCATGTTCTGCGCGATGTCGCGCAGAACGCACCTGGCGCGTTGCGTTTTGAATTTAGAACTATAAAATTCTGACTCCCTGGTAGTGTTGCGCATGCCTACGTGAGGATTGTGAACGTTCAACCAATGAAACGATAAGAGGCACTGGATTTTTAGGAGTCCACATTTTATTGTGACACTGGAAAAGTGTTTAAGACCAGCTAGCCATGTCTTTACCATCCGTTTAAGACCGGCCACGTGACGGGCTCTCGACCAATAGGAATGCGTAAACTGTCTTAGGTATTTATGAATTTTTTTTAAACTGTTGAATGGGATGGTGCCAGACTATTTGTGCGTTCCAATCTCGCTTTCAATTTTTTTTTCAAATAAGGATTAAAACATCAGGGTATGTTTTATCACAAATTTCAAATTATTCATCAGTTCAGACTTGTATTAAAAACCAACCAAAAATATAATGGAAGTGTTACACTCGGTTCAAGTCAAGAAATAAAATGTTCAGGAAATGGGTATCATGGTGTGTTGCTTTTTCTTTTGATTATATTAAATCTACGATTATCTTGCATCTGGGATTTTTTTGTCTATATTAAAAACAAAAGAACATAACATTTTTTAAAATATATTTTAATAGATTTATCTTTATATTTAGATCTAAAATACGACGTACAAACATGGCATTGCCTATTATAAATTTATTTAGGAATTTTTTTTTTTTCGTTTGTGTTTGATATAGATTAAACAAATCTGGTTTTCAAGACAATCTATATTAAAACCAAAAGAAAAAACAGTTTCTCAACATTTCTAACTAGATCTAAAATACTGGGTGCAAAATGCCATTACTCATTATAAATTAAATCAAGCAACAAAAATATTACTTAATATGAATGTCTGAAAATGTCTGAAAACAAACAACTCTCTAAACCAAACAATACGCATACATGTATTCTCAAACACGGGTTAAAATACTACAGACTGTTGCTGCCTCTCACCGTCGGTAAGTTATTGCATGCATGAATATCCACTTAATTTTAGCGACCGGTCGCATCGACCTTAATTAATCCTACACTATACACCTTCAACGATTAGTCAATTGGTGTATATATTTTACTATTGCACATACTCGGCCATTTGCTCTTGCACTGGTTAACAATTAGAGCTGCCTTTTCATTTTTCTTTTTACATAATAAAATGGTTTAAATTTTAGAAGAAAAAAATATATACATGAAAAACTAAATAAACAAAAGCCTGTATGTTTTAACAAATGCTAGTGATAATTAAATCACCATCAGTATCCACTAATTATTAATTAACTCAAAATAAAAGCATAAAGAGGATAAATTGACCTTTGTTTCAGGTTGCTGAAAATTTTACTTTTTTTACCTGCTTTCTGTAGGGTTTGTAAATGCCCAAATTAATTTCCATGAGTTTGTCGATGCGTGTTGTGATGACGTTTCCAATCTTAGGAAAATTCAAGTAATATCCATTGATACTAACAAGTTTGATTATTACAAGAAATGGTACCCTGGGAAGACATTCCCATAGGGTTGTGCACAAAATGTTTCCAACTTCAATGACCCCAAACCCTAAATTTTCCTTATCCTACCCCCACAAATTGTGACCTATTTATGTTTTGGGCCACGAGCAGTTAATCTAGCCTATTTGTGTCTGTCAACTTTTGCCTCTAAGGAGTTGAGACATTAGTGTCCGGTATCTCCTCACTTATAACGAACAAAATGTTTTCTTAAGGGTACATTAACAGGGATTTGTTTCATAGAAGATCATTATTTTCAAGAATAAACCATAACAGGTTATCAAATGTCAATGCAAATCGTTTACGTATTTAATACGTTCATGTTCCACATCTACACATTCAAATCTTGGATGAGCAATTTATATGCAATGGGTTGATTTTCTCATCAACATGCATGTACAGTTAAACGTCCTGTTGTTTCCCTACTGGCTGAAACTGGACCTTGGTTTTGGCACTGGTTTACCAGCGTGATATGAAGAGGCAGTTTGGAGAGAGTGACTTGTAGATGGCCCTGCATCTGAAGATTCAACTGCACTCAATGTTACCTTCAGTGGCTTCTCTTTCTCTGGTGGGTCCTGCTGCTGTGGCTGGTTCAGAGTGCTACTGATCTCCTTGAGAAGACTCTTACCAGCAGACTGTATGTACATGTGCTTCCCAGGCAGGATAACCTTCTTGAAGTTGGCTTCGTTGGTTACCTGCTTGCTCCAATCATCCAGGAGATTTGGACTGACAAAAGGATCGTTCTTGCCGCCAAAGGCGGTCATGCTGCATGGCAGTCGATCCCTGTGCCGGCACCTGTACTTCTTGCAGGTCATGATGGCCGCCTCGATGCTTCCTACAAGACGCTGCATCAGGCGGGGGTTGCTGAGGGTGGACTGGTCTAAGAAGCTGAATCTCACTGGGAAGGGCTCAGAGATCTTCATTGGGTCACCCCTAGCAGAGATGATTCGCTGCATCTTGCGGAATGTCGAGCTGGAAATGTTGAGCTCCTCGGGATGTGGGTAGGATTGGGTTGGAGCATACCAAGCACTGATGAAGATATGGGTCGGAAGAAGATCATGATTCTTCCACAGGTAGTGCGCCAGCTCAAAGGCAGTGAGCCCACCCAAACTGTGCCCGAAGAATGAGAACTGACCCCGCTGCAGATGTGGAAACAGAGCATCAGCAAGCCGACTGACTATATCAGACATATTATCAGATGGCTTCTCGTTCTCACGGCCTTCCCATCCTGGAATCTGCAGTGAAATCAGCTGCATGTTGTTCTGCAGGAAGTGCTGTTGCCACGCTGCAAACATGGATGGCCCACCGCCAACGGAGGGGAAACAGATGAGTTGGTGTGTTGGAAACTGTACCCTGTTGTCAATCCTAAACCACAGCTGCTGGGAGGAGCTCTCAGCTGCCACCTTGCTTGCTGCAGCCTCTTGCTGTGCTTCCGACGCGCAGCTCATCACTTTTGCATATACGTTCTGAGTCAGGTTTCTCACTGTCAGAGTATCGTTCAGCAGTTCCATGGCAGTCATGGTCACCCCAAAGCTTTCCTGGATAACAGCACTGAGTTCTGTTGACATATGGGAGTCCAAACCTATAGACAGAAGTGTTGCATCTTGACTGACGTCTGCACTGAGGCCAAGTCGCTGCACAAGATGATTTGACAGAGTCTTGAAAATCAAATCATGAGCTTCTGCTCGGGAAAGCAATCTTATCCTCATCTTGATGTCATTGTCTGTGGCCAGGAAACAGTCTCGGTTTGGAAATAGAGACTTTAGAGCTGAGAAAGTACCACCGGGCTCACTGAAGTGATGCGACAACATGGGACTGTTGGCCTTTGCATACTCTTTTTTGTTAACGGCCCCTGTGAGACCGAGCTGCGGATAGTCCGTAGCAAGGATACACCCAAGACCCTTCAGTATCTCCGGTGGAGGCAAGCTCTGCATGCCCATTTTCTCCCAGTGATGGACGAATCCGGCCCTGGCAGCGTGACCTGCGGTATTGATGATCCCTGGACATATAACAGTCGCCGGCAAACCAAGCTTTCGTCTCATACTGCAGATGCTTGCAAGGAAGCTATTGGCAGCACAGTATGCTCCTTGTCCCTCGTTACCCATCAACTCAACAATGGATGACATCATGACAAAGTAACGCACCGAGAAGCCCATCTTCAGTGTCAGTTGGTGTAGAACTAAAGCTCCATATGCCTTTGGGATCATCACCTTATTCCATGCTTCCGTTGTGACCTGCCGCAGAAGGCAGTCATTGTAGACAACAGCGCAGTGGAAAATACCCTCAAGTGGTAGTTCTTCGTTGTCCCGAATGGCGGAAAGAGCCTTCTCTACCTCGTAGTCTTTTGACATATCAACTTTCAAATGAGTTATACGAGCTCCTGTATCCCGGAAAGATTTGAATTTCAACACGGCCTCCTCCTCAGGGGTTGATCTGGAGATGATATAAATGTGCCGAGCCCCAGATTTAACCAACCATTCAACTGTTGTTAGGCCGAAACCTCTTGATCCCCCTGTGACTAAGTAGGCTGCATCGCCATTGGCTGTGAAACTGATGTCGTCAAAGTCTAAGGTCGTTGGAATGCTTTCTTCATCAATGCATACGGTCATATCTTCAACGGTGGCATGTGGCGATCGAGAGAGCTTGGAAATTGGAGCAGTGGGCACAGTGAGGGACTTCAGAGCTTGGAAACCATTATGCACACTAAACATCTGCAAGAGGCGGATCATGGAGTCTTGGAGTCTTGGCTTCATCTCATCAAACCGCCCCAACCCCATGTCAATGGACAGAAAGTAAATGTTTGGCGGCATGACGCTCAAACGGGATTCACCGGTGCTGTTTCGACCTTGGATGTGAACGATCGTACCAAACGGACGCAACTTACCAACAAGCTTTTTCAAGTTGTTGTTGTCCTGCGTCATCTCTCCAGCAAACAGGAGCACATCTACGGACCCGTCATTGATGAGTGTGTGGAAGTTATCTCCTGATGTAATGACCACTCTAGAATCACCCAAGATCCCAAGAAGTTTCTCTACCGGGAGGATATTGTCATCATCCGTTTCCACGTGAAGGAATACATTGGCCCCTTGCTCTAACGCCAGATGGGTGGTGGCCAACCCCACTCTGTCTCGGAGGGAAGAGAGACAAATGATCACAGAACCATTTTCACTGAGTTTCAGTGTGTCATGGAAGGCTACAAATGCCGGAAGATAGTCTCTAACTATGTTAATAGCCTCCACGGGTGTCAAGTTGGCTGGGATGGGCACAAGCTCGCTAGCATTGGCCAGAATTGTGGCTTTTATCTTTCCACCTGATCGCAGACCCAGAACATTGTTCCTCATTCTGAACAGAACCTGAAGCTCCTCGCTGCAATTGTTGATCTTCCCAGCAAAAAGGTAGCTCAGACCCGCCGTCTTGTCCTTTTCCGGGGCGTCTTTCATAATTTGGACCGAGAAAGCTGAGAGCTTGACTGCAATATCTTCAGAACATTTTGCTTTAGGTGCCTCCTGGTTCTGCTTCACAACTAGTCTTTTCTGCTTCAGTGTGTCATCTACATCAACCTGCCAGTTCGAGGAGAGAGTGGGAGCTGAAAAGCTTGATTGGGGCTGCATAACTATGCGAAGAGCAAAAGCTTCAAAGGCCAACTCCTTGGCTAGGTCAACATTCTGCATGGGCATTTTACGTCGCAGGGAAACAAAATTCTCATCTGTTGGTGCCGAGCGCATGTATTGGTACAACCACTCAGCAGACTCCTCTGGATCAAGCAAGGATGGCAGATCTACTGTGACCAGAGGAAACTCTGGGTCCTCGTGCATGAGAGTGAGATTGATTGCACTGGCAGAAGCCATCATGGGATCTGCTACATCGGTGTCTTTCACAGCATGTGCTGCCCGTGTGATCATCCACAGCCTCGGTCTTATTTTGGCATCATGCTTCACCACAGCCCGATAAAGACTGATTGGTGATGTAGCTGTCATTGTCTGGGCTTCTTCAAAAGTTTCTTTGGTGATGCTGGTCAGTGTCCCAAGCTGCTTGATGTCAAGGGTTGACAACATGATAAGATCTGTCACTTGACCCAAGGACCGCAACACCCGTCTGAAGCGCTCATCACCATCAACAAGAATCCTCGGGTCTAAGACACTGACAACGCTCTCAACCTCCATGCGTCTCTTTAACTCCCCAGAAACCCCTTGTTTGTCTTTGATGATTATGATAGCACCAGGATTCTCTGAGCCAATTGCACTGAGAGGCCGAGAGAGTATCCTCTTCAAAGGTACCTGATGGATGGCGGTTTCCGAGAATTCAACGTGAATCGGTTCCCATTCTCTCCTCCAAAGCTGTACTTTCTCGTCAGGCTCGTTAGAATGGACATTCTCAAAGGCAAGGCGGTCCACCTGAGCAAAGACCCACTGATTTGTAGCATCAGCTGCTACAACATCTCCAACCGTCTCGCCCTTATCTACGTGTGTCATGCGAACATGGAAAGCTACCTGTGATGGCGCTGTTCCTTTCACACGCACCTTTGTGACAGACCTCGGCACCTGAAACCATGTCTTGAATACAGTGTGGGAAGACCTTGCTTTCTCCTGCTCCAGGAACATTTGGCATATTCCAATTCCTTGGAACATGCTGTCTAGCAAGGCTGGATGGAAAACATACTGACGAAATTCCTTCTCCAGCGCTTCTGGGATAGATGCGTAGAGTAAAGCCTCACTGTAATCAGCATTGAAGTAAGCTGTGTTTACACACCGGAATGTGTCTCCAAGATGGAAACCACCCTTCCAGAGCTTAGCGTAGAATTCCTGTTCGTCAACCTCATACGGGCACCTGCGTCTGATGTCATCAATAGCTAACTTCAAGCATTGGAACTGGTCTTCAAGTTGGTGGTACGACAGCCGTGACTTCCCAGGAATATCTATGCTGGATTTCCCATGCAAAGTCCACTTCTCATCCGTTTGATTGAAACTTCGCAGGGCAAACTGAGCCTCCCTTGGCCGGACTGTTACTGTACTCTCCAGCATACCTTTCATGTTAGAAGGGAAAATGAATCTTTCAAACATGGCATCCCTCAGAGTGATGGTTTCGCTGTCAGGGTACATTGATCGTGCAGCCGCCAACATGATTTCGGTCTGTCCTGCGGCTGGGATCACGATGTTGCCTTGTAATTTGTGATCACGCAACCAAGGCACCGTTTCAACGCCGTATTTTGAACACCACACCCGTGGAGCGTTATCAATGCTGAAATGAGATAGGGTTTGTGGCTTGCCTAACAACGGGTGGTTTTTGGCTGGAAAACGGAACATCTTGTGACTTTTCTCTGTTGTTGCTGAACACAAGACTCTCTGCCATGGATAAGTGGGTAGAGACATAACCTTGAAGTCACCCTCTCTGAACAACAAATTGAGATTTATCGGGTAGCCTTCTACGTGAAGCCGTGCCAAGGATCGCAGAATGTTGACTTTGTCATCGGCAACATCACGAATGTCAGACGGACGCCTTAGTGAGCCTGTCACAAAGCGCTGGGAGTTGTTTGGATTTACTGACAAACAGTCTCTGATTGCCGGAGACAGGGCAGGGTGTGGGCTGATCTCCAACAAGCTGGTGTAGCCCTCCTTCAGTAGTTTATCAACTGCCCCGCGGAAGAGCACCGTCTGCCGGATGTTCTTCCACCAGTACTCAGCACTGTTGGCCGTATCTCGGTCTAGATACTCATTGGTAACCGTGGACATCATGGGGATGACTGGGTGGGCATTAATGCTCTCCCGGCTGGACGTCTCAAGAAATTTGGCCTTTTTCATAAAGTCCTTTTTGATATCCTCCTGCTGGTAGCTGTGGAAAGCATTCTGAACCTTGAGGGCTACACACCTGATACCATCCCTCTTTAGGGTGTCAACAAAACCAAGAACCGACTCACTATCTCCAGACAGCACGACCTGTGTTGGGCTATTGATGGTGGCGATGTCAATGACGCTAACATACTCGCTGTTCTCAAGCCTGGCCTGTATCTCCTCCACGGCATGTAGCACCGCTACCATGGCTCCCAGGCCACTTGTCTTGCGCAGTTGCCTCCCGCGTATGTAAATGATCCTCATAGCATCCTCCAATGAGAGGAGCGCTGCAGCATAGGCAGCTGCTACTTCTCCGACACTGTGGCCGATGATAGCATCTGGGGTCACTCCACGCATGCGGTATAATTCGGCCAGGGCAATCTGAACGGCGCAGATGCACGGCTGAGCAAATTCTGAGAACAAAAAATAAAATAAAATATGAGAGTTAAGACTACTTTGGGTTTTAAGTAATTGTGATTGTAAACACAGAAACCAGAAATGAATAGGCGTTTAAAAAAAAAACCACTTTGTATATGTACACTTCTGGTAGTGTTTTTGACAGATGATACAAATAACTTGCTTAATCATTCGTTGATATTTAGGAGAGAAACCATCACATCGTATACAATTACAATGTTATACTTCTTAAAGGCAATGATACATATGTCAATTAACTTTTTTAGGGTCAAGTCAAATAGTCAAACGGTTCAGTCAATGTTCGTTATCCAAAATATACACACAGATTTAAAAATCGGTGCTAGGTGAAAACGTGGTTAAACTTTTTAATTCACATTTCTGGTTATTGAACCAAAATATTGGGGTATAGTATTGTGTCCTGAAATGTTTTATTCCAAAGTATGGACAATTCTACTGAATACAAAATAATATCTTAAAAACGGCACCTGTTTGGTTGATTTTATCCCGGTCTGTTTCTTTGGTCAGCATGTGAAGTAGAGACCACTTAGCACCGCACTTGTTCAGTATCTTGTCAATCCTCTGTAACAAAGACAAGAGCAAACCAAACACTGACTTATGAACACAACAATATTTTGTATTCGTTCTATAGACAACAGAAAATAAATATTGAACAGGGCCTGAGCAAAATATATATTGTCAGCTTTTGAATGTATCCCAGCATTTTAAAAGTAACATCTTGTTTAATACAGTGGCGTTTGCTTCAGAGATCCACTGATATCATGGGATATTAAGATTCACACACACAAAAAATACTTATTAAATTTTGTTGTTTTTAAAGTTACAACAAATATATCAACTGAGCTTAATTGGAGAATTACTATGACAATTGTGAACGAAATTTTAAAGATCTAAATTTCTAACTTGTTGAAGAACATCAGATAAGATACAAAATACAGTTGTATTAATGACACCTGTTTTATATATTATGTATATACATGAAATAGTAAATTCGGCTGAATGACGGTTGTCTCTTACCCTGATGACACTTTTGAACTGCGGTTCTTCGTCCATCAGCTGCCTGGCCATTCCCCACCACTGCGTTCCCATTCCACTAAAGATAAACACCAGTCGATGACTATTGTTGCCTTCTGGTGTCTTACCCTCGATCACATTGTACGCTACCCGTGGGTCGTGTTCAACCTTCAGACGAATCTGCTCGGCGGCCTCCCGTGCCGTGCGAGCGATCACACCCAACCGATACTGGTGGTGAGTGGCCCGCACCGCTGCCGTGCACAGGGCATTGCTGAAAGCCCGAGAGTCGTTCCCAATCACGTCGTTAAGATAGCTGATCCAGTCTCGCATCCGCTGCCTCAGAGCGTCTTTACTGGCGGCAGACAGGAAGAGAATCATAGGGACGATCACCTCTCGTTCCGGCTGCACTTGAGATTGCGTGGTGGACGTGGTCGATCCTCTTTCCCCTCTCTGAGGTGGCTGAGGAGCTCCTTCCAAGACGAGGTGAGCGTTTGCTCCACCGAAGCCGAAGGAGCTGCATCCTGCCAGTTTCTTGGCTCCCTTTGGCCAGCGGGTGAGCTCTGCAGGTACGCGCACGTTTAGTGCCTCAAAGTCTACGCTTTCGTTCCCCTGTCTGAAGTGGACCACTTTAGGAATCTGCCCGTGGTACAGACTCAAAGTGGTTTTGATGATGCCAGCTACTCCAGCGGCGCCCTCGGAATGGCCGATGTTGGACTTGACGGAGCCGATGTACAGAGGTGGGTGATCCGGCTTTCGATTCATACTCATTGCTTCACCCAGCGCGTTAGCCTCCGTCCTGTCTCCAATCTGAGTGCCGGTCCCGTGAGCCTCCACATAAGCCACATCCTCGGGATCTGTATAAGCATGTTTGTATGCGATCTCCGCAAGGGAAACCTGGGCATCAAAACTTGGGTTAGCGATGCCCGGGGTCCTTCCATCGTTATGCAGAGCTCCTCCTCGCATCACTGCGTAGATTCTGTCCCCATCCTCCAGTGCCCGTCGCAGTGGTTTTAGTATAACGGACCCTGCTCCTTCACCCCGAGCATACCCATCGGCCGAGCGGTCAAAACTCTTGCTCTTGCCGTCGGGGGACAGCATTCCTGCTTGGCAAAATCCGATGCTTGTCACCGGGAGCAAGGAGATATTGACCCCACCTGCCACAGCCATGTCACAGTCCCCATTACGGATTGCCTCGCAGGCTGTGTGTATGGCGTACAAGGAGGACGAGCAGGCCGTGTCAATGACGAAACTCGGCCCACGTAGATCAAACTCGTAGGAGATCCGATTAGCTGCCATGCAGGAGTTGGTGCCCGAGTTAGTGTACTGGTTAATGTTCTCGTTGGGCATGGCCACCAGGATTCCATACTCGCTAGCCGTGACACCCACGTAGACGCCAGTCTTGGATCCGTGGACGGTAGACACTGGGATGCCCGCATCTTCAAAACTCTCCCAGACTACCTCCAGCATCAGGCGCACCTGGGGATCCAGCTGATTGGCCTCCTCTGTAGCATAATAGAATAAATATGCTCAAACGATTAAGAGGCTGAATGCAAGACCATAACATAATTTTATGTCAAATGATAAACATATTACTACAATTTGCAGGTGTGTATAAGGTTGGGCACTTCCAATTTCCAAGATCTTGAATGCGCTTTAACAGTCCAATATGGATTTCCATAAATACTAAAAAAAAAAGGCTTTTCAGCGCTTACTTATCTGATATAGCCTATCTGAAAAAAGGGACATTCGATATAAAAGTCAACAGCTTTCATCTCACTCATCCCAAAATAACCCAAAATGTTTCAATTCGCCCACCCAAATGCAAAGTGAACTGGGAATATGTGACCCTGGTATGCTGGCTGATTAAGATGGTTTTAGAACTGGTTTAAGCAAAGTGTTAAAGTTTTTTTTAGTATGAGCAATCAAAAATGAAATTGAGTTAATTATTTCCCATAAGATATCATTATGGGCATACCTGGCGAGATCTTGAAAAATTGTCTATCGAAAAACTCTGGGTTCTGTGTCAGGTAGCCAGCGCACTTGTTGAACATCTTTCCTGGTAGCTTCTTGCCGGGGTACAGGAAGAACGAGGCGTCGAAGCGGTCTGGCGGTGGAGGCACCGTGCAGTCCAGCCCCTTGGCCAACACCTCCCAGAACTTCTTGGCACAGTCGATGCCGTTGGCGTACCGGCAGCCGATACCGACGATAGCCACTTTACGGTCGATGGGCATGCTTGGATCATCGTGGCCGACGAAAGCGGCTGTTCGCCGGCCTTGCTTGAGGAAGGCGTCCTGGTCGGTCTGATGACCAGCTAACTTGTCGGAGCGACGCATCTTGAAGGAACGGCGCATGTGTCTTGGTTTCTTACTGAAACTAGTATTGCTTGCAGCCTCCATCTAAGTGTCCTACAAATGTCGGGGGAATAATAACCTGTGCACAAACAAAAATCAGAATGTTAATTGATCAGGAAACTATTAATCTAGATGTTTCTTTTCCATCCGTTTTGTTCCGAAAGCTTGCGAGAACAAAATAAGAAACTCCGTCAAGTGTGAACCGAGTACTTAACCTCCATCCTCAATGTTGCGAATGCATTTAAATGAAAAACGCAGTTCATTTTCATCGAAGGTTATTGTCTGGTTTGCCTATGCTAGTAGCAAAACTCAGAAGTTTTGTTTCCAGGCGAGTTAAATTTCGGTTTTCCCAGTTACCTTCGATCGGCTATAATAATTATGGTCATTCTTGTGTTCAAAGTAGTATACAACATTTTGCTTTTGCTGTAATGTTCAGAAATGGATGGATTTGGGGGCTAGTGTTTTATAACAAAAAGAAAATACAGTTTTGTGTTCATAAATGCTGGAAAAACCAAGGAAAAAACACGAATTTATAGCCGTATCAGCATTTCCAGGTCAGGAAACCAGACTAGCTGGCTTGCACCCATTCACAAATGTGTAACCGATTGCAAACAAAATGTAAAGTAACTAAATATGGTAAATTTGGGCAGTATTTTATAAAAGTCCGGTTTTTTTCCAACGATGGTCGGCCGACCATCGTTGGAAATTGATACAAAAATTCCACTTTTCTTGAAAATGACAGCACACTGGGTGCCATGATTTCACAGGACGCTTGAGACTATTGTTCACTTACAGTCAAGTTTAGGTATTTCATAATAATTTGGTAGTTTTGTTTTTTGATGTTTGCAAATGTTGCAGGCCTATACAACCTTTAAGTTAATCATAATCTATTTATGTACTTTCCCGCATCGTTCGTCAGAGTGTAGGCCTAGACTGCGTAGTCGATGTCTGAGTGGTCATAATAATTGTTATGAAGGAATGATCCTCCCAGGCTTTATTAGAAACTGAACATTCAAGGAAAATTAATAAAATGTCAGTTTTAGGTATTTATGAGGAAATCAGTGTTATATACTGCCCTTTGCCGTGCCCTCGGGATCGTCTAGCCACATAAGTAATACCTGCACGAGTTTTTTTGTTCAATGTTACCCCAGAAATGTCTTCTCATGTCCCTGAACACATGAAGTTGATCCCTGAACGACAGACTTCCCCACCTAAGTCCCCACTCAGTCTTCATCGTTCAATCATGTCTAAAAGCAGGCGTATGACTCAGCGCGCCCCTACACCCGGCAGGAAACCGGCCAAATTTCCCAGCAAGGTCTTCAACTTTCTCACAGCACCTCCACATAACCTGCAAATCTTCTTGTTGGTTACTTTCAACTTCAAATTACGTAATTTGTGCAGGCTGAACTTTCGACTTTTTCTCAAATTTGACGAAGTTTTAAGGTTCTAATTTAGCTGGTGTGTGGTAGGTTCAGCCAAGCAGCTATAAATGGTGCATTAATAGCGTTATGCCCAAAATACTTGGCATAATGATTTCTCAATTCCTTCCATAAGCCTTGAAACAAACATGCACGTGTCTGCGGGTCAGAATTGTGTAATAATGAAACCGTTAATCCTGAGTTAGGTGAGTTATGCTCAAGTAAGATCCCCGTACTCGGCCCGTGAGAAGCTAGTAAGACATTATTGTGAACCCGTGCTTGGGACAAGTTTATACATTGACAAAAAAAATACAGATTATGGCTCCTTTTAAATGTCACATTTGGATGAGCATCGGGGCGGTGGCAACATCGCTCTCCAAGATTCGTTGCTGGGCGCATTCAACCTACACAAACGTTTGCAAACATGGCTATTTGCCAATGATTGGGAGAGATTGCGGGGTGGGGGGGGGGCAATTTCCCTAATGGGTATAGCTTTACCGTCCCTACGACCCCTGTGCGATGCCTCTACCTGCCGTAGACATCCCTTCTATCCTATCCTAAGAACATTGGGTTAATTGCGCAATCACAAGGTGATGGCTTGAAATAGGATTACGCATAGACAAGATTTTTTTGTTTTATTACATTTCGTCGTTGTTTTCACGAAGGGACCTGCCCAAATTATCACTTCCTCCATCTTTTTTGTTCGTAATCGATTACAATCAATCACTAACAACAACTTGGTCAAGTTATTTGTCCAAATGTATTAAAATGAACCACATTACAATGATTTTTGAACACTTTGGTTCGGCGCAGCGTGGAGTAGTTCGACTACTCGTGAAAACATCGACGTTTCATCTTTAATTTTGATACATAAAAAAAATCTTTGTAATCTTTCCAGAGAAAAATAAATAATTGAACCACTGGTATGCTTCTCTGGGTTTTTTTAAGTTACAGATTTTGAAATTCCTTCGTTCTTCGATATGTGGGCGTTTGGCATTACTTCGACAGGGGATCACCCCACAACCTTACGTCTCTTGCTGTAGGCCAAAAATGATCTTACTTTTAAACGATAATTACCTCCTCTTAGAATGTCCTTAACGTCCATCCAAAACAAAGCTAAAAGTAACTCACCTGTTTAACAGCTGATTTAGTCAGAGAAGACTAGTGATGTGACGTTGACAAGTTCCATTTAACAAGTCTTCTTTAAAAGAACTTGTTGAAAAGCTGAGCGTCTTCCAGAATGGAAACTGATGTCCTATTGGTTTAAGATTTCTCCGCGGTGCAGTTTCCGAGTTGTCGCGTCGCGATCATACGACGTTCACCCTGTCGAGTTCTGCGACCGACTTGAAGTTCCAACTCGACTACCGGTGTATTTGTACTTGTTTTCCTTCCCCGTGAGTCCACGTCTGCGCAACCGCGGCCCCCAAGATCCGACCAAACAGTGGCTGACTCTGCCGCACCGACACAAACCCTAATCTAATTTCTGGCTGGTTAGTTTGTCTTTCTTGCCTCGTCTGCACTGCATGCAGAGTGCAGCCCTCAGCAGCCGACTGACTTCACTTCCCGGTGACTAAGTTCCGACTCGCGGGGTGTTACGTGCTTCGTTGAAACCTCTTCTGTTTTTTTTTTCTTGACGGAGTTGAGTAAAATGGTTATAAACTTAGACACATCTGGGAGCCACTTTCACCCGTCCCTCAATAACCCTTTAAGCTTTCTTCATGTCTACGTACGTGTGTGAGTGTCTATATATATAGACGAAGGGTTTCTTTTCCCTTGTCCAATAAAAATGTTTTCTCCAAATCTATTTCAAGAATGCAAACGATAATATAATTCTTCGCTGGTAATTTCCAAAGGAATCGAAATCATCTGAGTCGGTAAATAAGAAAGGCATAAAGTACATCTTTGAGTTGTCAAGATCACGGACCGTAAACATGGTAAGGGAACTACGGCGATTCAGACCCACCACATCGAGAACTTCCAGCGTCCTCTCTATGCTTCGATTTTCTCGAATCCTTACCATTACTTCCCAATTTGATTAAAAGATTTCTGACCGAGGACGAGTTAACAACCAGTTCCTGTGGTGTAAATATGAGCGAGCATCACTGTATAACATTTGGAAAACCGCCATTCGTGCAACTTTCACTTTTTCATAATTCACACCTATAGATAGGCTTCAGTACAATCCAATAGCAGCTGATCCGCTTTTTGGCCGTAAAACTTCTTTTTTTTCTCTCCCATCATAGTGGTCAATATTATGGCCTGCCGACACCACCATCACACGTACTTTTTGGAGATGTCCCATTCTAGTTATAGGTGGATTAAATTAATACTGTTTTAGCTTCCTGAACGGAAAGAAAGCATTGACGTCTCATCGTTAGACGTTCTTGGCCTAACCCATTATAAAATCATATCCAACATGACGGTTTAATAAAGTCATAGCTATTGTTCGATTCGGGAAGCTCATTTTGTAGCATTAGGCTATAATAAATTATAAGCTTTTCATCAGACACCAAACGAAAAAGATCACCGCTTGGTAAGTCAAATAAAAGATGTCGAGGCCTATACTCCAAAATTCAAGAGCAATACACGATGAAAAAAAATCATCTCATCTCCATCTCATAGGTTCAGTCAGAAAAATATCCTGTCGGATACATAACGCTAACTTGTTCATGGGTTTGTAATTTTTATATGGTGAATACAGATTTGGGGGGGGGGGTGGAAATACATTATGAGGATCAGATTTCAAAGTCTTACTGTGTAATTGAGAACTACAGTAGAATCGAAGGAAGCTGGTACTTATAGGCTGGTTACACTGTTATTGCCGGGTGGAGGCCGGAACCAGCCCATCATTTACAACCCTGATTGATTCTGTCCGGTATGGTTACCCTCTAGATCCAATAACCATTTCCATCCTTGTAAAGACGGATTTGAAATTAGTACTGGATATCGAGGGTCTCAGATCTAGCTTCCCGTTATGGTGAGAATCAAAAGAGAAAAGTCCCCAATGTCCTGCAATGGTTTAAGCAATGACAACAATCGGTTCGATTGGCCTACCGAATTTGTGGTTCGTCTACCAAGTGTTGAAAATGGCCATTTTGTAACTGGGGTATATCGAATTCGATTTCGCTGTGACGTGCATTCAAGTGGCCCGGTCCGGATCCTTTCGACAGGAGGGGGGGGGGGGGGGGGGCCGGGGGACGAGGGACCATCAGCTTCGGCCTGCCTATAGATTTTGTCAAAACTCTCTAAAAAGATATCTCCCTTGGGGGGGGGGGGGGGGTTAACTGTCAATAAATGGTGGGATTTATTGAGTGCAAGTCACTTTCTTTATAGGATTGAGGGAGGACAACTGTTGACATAGTTGTTCCTTTCCAATAATAATGACACTCAAAAACAAAAGGAAAATTGTCGTATTAACCTAATCTGTTCAAGCTTCAGGTCAGTGAACATTACACTTTTCGAGAATACAGTGAACGATATGTCTTTAATCCCAGTAGCTTTTCGATAATCTTTCAGGATAAATCGGATTAAGATTCCCCCCCCCCCCCCCCCCCTCCACCAAACCATACCGATGCCGGTCCATCTGTTGTTTGCTTTTGTTTCATCTCTCGTGGTCATGAGATAGAGGCGGTGCCGGTCACTGCGGAGGTACCTCATTTCCCGTACCTCCTTGCTTACAATAGCGCGTCAAATTGCTTGAGTCCCGTGGATCGTAAAGCACAAAATGCGGTAGTCTGTTTACCGGATCACACATAATATAGGCTCCAAATTCAATTTCCCTTGAAACAATGAGTGGTGCTAATGAATGGTTAGTTTTTGCTGCACCCTTGGGTTCCGCCCATCGTTAGAATGACAGACACGCCCAAACCATTGTGGAGCATTGTATTTAGCAGGATATCACGGTCAATCAAACAAAATGAAAGTAATCATTTTTGTTAATTTTTGTTTTGTTTTTCATGTATTTCTCTTTTAAATTTTGAGTCTGATGTGGTTAGATAGCTCTACTTGAAGTACAAAGTGTTTAGCATCATTAGCTTGTTTTCTATACACTGTTCACGAACTCAGACTGCGTATAGAAAATCGTTTGAGTTACGCAATAGATATAGATCAAGTTAACGAATTAATTGTAAAGAAAGTTGAGTTCCCATACCCTTTTTTCACAGCTTTAAAGCAAAAAAATAGGCGGCAATGATTGATGCATGTTTAACAAGCATTGTTCATTAGCTTTTCAACAACGAAAACATCTTTCCAATCAGAAAAATATTTTAGTTAGGGCCTATGGGCAATTTAAAAAAAAAGAAAAAAAAGTGCCGCGTGTTCATTTTGTCCATCACTGCGACGACGCACTCAAGCCGCTCATTTCACAACCGAATCAAGCAACATTGATAAAGGGTTTGGCCTTTGTTTTGAACTCAATAGTGCGCGGTCACGCAGAGACGAATAGTGTCAATGGAAAATACTAGTCTGAATTGCTTCCGCATACGAATCACCTTTAACAAACCAGTCAGTAGCCGTGAGTTCAAAACTTTTACATAATCATTTTGTTGTTTACGCCCTGTATTTGATTGATAACTTATCAAAATGAGCATCGATGCTACATTATTAGCAATTCCGTATTGACATAAGCAAATGCGCTCTCTACTACAAAACGCACGGACGATACGGACTTTAATTTTACTCTCTTTACAAAAAAGGCGTAATTGTCAAGACGCCTAAGTACAACCCCCCCCCCCAAAAAAATTGTTCTCCTGTCAGCAATAAATAGCGCCATCCACTGTCCGATAGTGTTTATGGTGTTTATGTCGACAGAGGGCGGTGGCGCAACGCGTACGTACGTGCGGCGGAATTTCTAGGGGATTTCCCCAGGAAGTTTCTAGGAATGTTAGTCAGAACGTTTACCGTAAAAATCGTTTTTATTGACCAAAAATTTCTCCTGTGATTGGTCTCCATTTCTCCTCCTTCGTGTGATATATTCAGGTGAGACATTTAGTTTCACGATTATTTTCCAATGGTTTCTGATTTTTCATTACATTTTTGGTATTGTTGCGTTGTCAATTGGCGTTTCGCAATGGCACTTACTTGGCTCATGAGTAATCATTGCGAAATGATCCGTGTGGATTGAAATAAAAGTCCCCACCTCTATTTATTAACATAGCTTAAGTTACTGGCTCTTTGTAAACCCAATATAAGTACGTATTTCACTTTCCTTTGTTCAAAAGTTTTTAATCTGCTGGTGTTGGTGTAGAGGGATGGGATCATCAGGTCTCAATCACTGAAAATCATGAAATCAGTCAACGATGACTGACATGTTTTTATTTTTTTTTTTTTTTTTTTTTTGGTACTGTCGTTTTCCTACTCCGGATTGTTCCTAGTTCGGGATTGCTTCAAATGAAAACTTACATCTTTTGGATTGGTCACCAATATCATTTTTGCCAAGAGGTGCTTTTTGAAAAGTAACAATACATTTAAGCTTCTTGATGTACAAATATCTTTTCGATACATTCTCTAGAAAAGGAATTTTGGCCAGATTTCCGACTCGCTTTGACATGTTTGGGTGGCTTGATATGTTTGGACAGCTTGTAAAAAATCTCGGCAGCCGCAAATCGACGATAAGTTGTCTCTTCGGTACTTCACTCAGGAAGTGTTATTCCAGTTGCAGCTGGTTGACCGGGGATGGCCGTTCGAATATTTTCAATAGCTTCTGACAGTGACTTTAATTTTCTGTCACAGAATAGCTGGAGTTACCCAGCCCTAAATTTTATCATTGGGTTGTCATTTAGGGCTGGAGGAAGTTGTTCACCAAAAAATTGGTTGCATTGGCAGGTTCAAAAATTTTTTTTTCGAAAATGTGCAATTTTGTCCCAGTTACACACAAACTTCAACTGGAATTCACCCAAACTCTGCCTGGAATAACCACTACACAGGTTCTTGAAGTAAAAAACGATCCACGATGAAGATTCAGCCAACAATTGCAGCAAAAAAGGAAGCATAACCGGCAACTGTGCGGTCATGATGATGCCCGCAGTTTGTTTGTGCACAGACAAAGCGCTGTCGATTACCATGCACACACAGCGAATTACCAGTCACACTTGGCCAACTGCACAGCGCGGCACGGTATGGCGCTGAAGCGCGCACCCGACGACTGTTTGATGCACTATCTGCTGCACTAACTATGAGGCCTCACTCGCATCACGGCAGAGGTAGAACGGCAGCCGAAGTTGGCCGACAAACATCGGGTGCGCGCTTCAGCGCCATGCCGCGCCACACCATGCAGTTGGCAAGTGTGACTGGTGGTTTGCTGTGTCGTGCATGGTAATCAACAGCGCTTTGTTTGTGCACAAACAAACTGCGAGCATCATCATGACCGCACAGTTGTCGGTTATGCCTCCTTTTTTTCACTGCAATTGTAGGCTGAATCTTCATCGTGGATCGTTTTTTACTTCAAGGACCTGTGTAGTGGTTATTCCAGGCAAGGTTTGGGTGAATTCCAGTTGAAGTTAGTATGTAAACTGGGACAAAATTGCACATTTTCGAAATAATTTTTGGAACCTGCCAATGCAGCTGGTTTTGGTGAACAACTTCCTCCAGCCCTAAATGACAACCCAATGATAAAATTTAGGGCTGGTTAATGCCAGCTAGTCACAGAAGCAAATTCTTGCCAGGAAACCATCTTACATTACAGGTCTTCTCTTTTGGTTTGACCAAATTGTCTTGGTTCTCGCCTGTATCCTGCTGGGTGTCTAACTGGGGGTCTAACTTGTCGACTGTGTTAGACGACCCAGCCATTAATTTAAGGAAATCTGTCTCTAATGTGATATCATGTACACTGTGTAATTCACTCTGGACCACAGAAAAATGTATTGAGGTGTGTAGGGCGTGGTGGCACGTTACACTTAGTATAAGTAATCAGATAAGTAATCTGATTTCAGAAGTAGAATAATCATCAATATGAAAAGTGAGTTTCTGTTTTGAGGGGAAGTGAGGGGGGTTATCAATTGTCAAACTGAATGGAGAAGAATCTTTTTGATAACCGCAATGTTGATTTGTACTTATGGAATAATTGTAATGCCAAAAAAAAGGTTTCTGCTGTTGATTACATGGCATTTGAAAATAGGGCAGGTAGGTGGGGAATTTGTTTTTGTTTTTTTTTTTTTTTTTTTGGGGGGGACAATTTTTGTTCATTGATCACATCATTGAGCTATAAAAAGATCATTGCGTGTAGTCATGGGTAAGAGGTAGTAATTGATGGTTTTGTTTTCTCTCTGAGGGTCGGGGCAGACCAAAAAAAAGTGTAGGTAGGGTAACCAGAATCAGAACTATTTTTTGGGGGGCCTTATCAATATCATACTGGACCTCCAGCAACAGTAATTGAGGCTGAGGGCATTGCATTCTGGTTTTGTACAGCTTATGTTTGATTCTAGCATTCATACCACATATACAGTGCAGGAACTCACAATCCATTAACAGGATGTATATGGGAAATACATGTATGTACATGGAAGTCACACCCTGCCATACTGACCTTACAGACAGGATATTCTATAGCGTAGGTAGCGTGATATCCAAGCATGTACATTGATGAGGAAATTGCTTCCAGGATTCTGTTTTCTCTGTACACAGTGACAGGAGCCTAGGAATACTTAGAAATGATTGGATTCCTGATGTATTTTCACTTTCGGTTTCATTGTGGTTCAACTTCAAGTACAATACGTGTAGGGTACTGTGTGAGTCACGCATGAGTGTTCAGGAGTAGTAGGCTATTAGGCAAACAAATACCTGTTATATCAGAAGTGACAATCAATCAAAGCAATAAATTTGAAGATCTCTGGCTAAACGTGTAGTAGTAACATTAGAAATGTAGTGTTCATACTGTTGTTTTAAATTTTATATTGTACAGATGCTAATTGTATCTGAAAAGAAAATATATTGAAAAAAAAGTGCAAGATGTGCATGTTTTCCCCTTAATACCTACATGTGCATATCATAGGACAGTTTTAAGTTTCTTAGATGTTTTTAAATGCTACCATGGTGTTTTTTTTATTTGTTATGAATCAGGCAGGTTTCACCAACAAGCCAAGTGAGGATTACCTATTTTAATAAGCTGGTTTCTGATCATTGGACGTGACAAAAAGGAAGTTGAACATGGATCTACTGGTGAGTTATGAAAAGCAAAGTTTCAAGTACCACAGGCATTTTTATCAATGGCAACTTAGAGCACCCCAAAAATGTTTTAACTTTTCATATTTTCGTGGCAGAAAAGTTTGACCTTTCGCAATGAAGACAACTTTTTCGAAACATTCAAAGCAATCCGATTTGCTCAGAGCCTGCTACATGGGTGTGTAACACATTTGTTGAGGAATGTACCTTTAGAAAAAAATGTACTTTGCTGTAGGAAAATCATACTAGTCATGACTAAATTTTTATGGTGTTCGACTCGCGTGCTGTGGTACATGTACGTGAGTTTGAACCCTGACGGGAAACGTGGTACTTGTGTTCTTGGGCAAGACACTTCACGACAATTGCCTCTCTCCACCCAGGAGTATAAATGGGTACCTGTGAGGGTAGAGACCAGATTGCACTGATCCCGAGCTGCTGCAGAAAAATGGTCTCATGGCCTGATGAACGAGGGTAATTGTGAAACGCTTTGAGACCTTTGATATAAAGTGTTAGATACGCACCATACATTATTATTATTATTAAAGAGTTTTTGTGATTCAGTATATTTATCAAGATTTGAGACAGGAGATATTTCCCTTGTGTCCCTTCCAGCAAAAAACACCCTGACGATATTGAAAAAAAAAGGAAATAGGGCTTGCTTGCACTGATGTCTAATACCACATACAGAATTCATGTGTTTAAAAGTCATGTCTGTAGGGTGGGTAGGCTGTGTGTTATTCTGCTGATAAAGTCACTGAAAATGATGTATCTCATTTATGTTGTCATGTTCACATACATGTATCTGATGCTTTTCCTTCCCTGCTTACAAAAAAAATATTGAACATAATAAGTAAAGCACTTTAATGTTATTTTGAAAGTTCAAAACGATTTTGTTTATCAGAAACTTGAAGTACAAAATGTAATCTTATGGTCTTTCCCCACAAAATGACTTAGATTGAATTTTTGTTTGCATTATTTCTTAGTAATGCATGTTCTTAAACGTTGAGTAAATTTATCATTGTTTTGTTTATTGTTTTTGATTGCAGGTGATGGTTTCAATAGGTTTCGTGCTAATCTTTTTAGCCAAGCACACTAATGCTGTTCTTAAGCCAACTATAACTGTACATCGGGACACTGAAGATTATCCATGCAACAGAAATGGTGCAACGTGCCCAGTGGGGTAAGAAATGTTATTCAATGGTTAACTGCATTTATGTCAAACATGACTCTTTAAAAACAGCATTGAACCTGAAAACAATTCTGTCCCTGCTGTTTTCGTATTTTATCCTCGAACACAGAATTGCTATTTTCCAGTTAAACAAAACTTGTTCCCTTTTGAATGAGACAGCAATAGACATTTGATTATGGAAAATAATTACTTCACAAATTGTGTAGTCTGACAGTAGTTCAGTTTTTCGCAGGGTAGACTGCTTTCGGCACCTGTTAGAATTGGTAATTTAGTAAGAACTGGGAACTGGTGTACTCATAGAGCAGATCCGTTTGTGCAGAAAAGCAACCTAAAAACTAAGTTTGTTTTTTTTTCAGAAGGTAGCAGTGCCCATTTAAAAAAAAAGGTTATATTTATTTGTATACAAGTTGAAAATTTGTCAGGAGAAAGGCAATTAACAATTGTTGATTAGTGTGATGTGGGATATGACGTTTTGAACATCTGAGGGTTTGCCTCGGGTGCTATGCACCCCGAGGGTGTTAAAAATGTCATAACCCACATCACACCAGTCAACAATTGTTTTGTTATACCTATGTCTTGGATCTTTTGGATTTTGATGTAAAAATCACGAAAACAAACAGCAGTAAACACAACAGTCATGACAATCGAATGTCAACTCACACGCATGTCGCGTGCTCGAAACAGCTGATCGGGATCGTCTGCAAAATCGCTGCGTTTTACGTGTGAAATGCGTACATACGGGTACGCGCATGCGTACATTTCGTATGCACGAAGTCATAGCACACTCCCTGTGGGATATCACGTACGTGCTTATAAACTTAATCACGTATGTGATATCCCACAGGGTGTGTGCCATGATTTTTAAAACTGAACATGTGATTGTTCTAGGCAAATGAAAATACAGTATTCAAGACAGAGGTATAACAATCACATTTGTTGAAGAGCACAGACAGTCATCTTGCACTGGTCTCAGGGTGTCTTACCCATACCATGCCAAAAACAGCATACAGCAAATGGCACAAGCCATATAAGTTTGGACTCTATTGAACCAAGAGGGAGGGGGATTGTGGCACATATTGTGGACCCTTTGATTTTTCTTTAGGTATCAGCCCCAACCCACCTTTCGAATTTCCACTGCCGAGAAATGTTTAGAATTTGCGTCATGGTCATCCCCCTATGCCCCAACCCGCATACTCAGATTTACATTTCTGCCTGCGGACCTGCAAAGGGTCCAGGATAAACTTGGTTCGTTCATAAATATTCTGTTTGCGTATGTATGTGTGTAATTGATTACTTCTGCTTTGTTTTGTGTCTTACAGATACTATTGCTTTGAAGAGTGCAGACCATGCAATCCCTGTCCAGATGTAAACACCTATAGAGTGCCAAATAACCAGCTTACAGTGATGGAACAGTGTGTAAAGCAGGGACAGTGTCCTAACTTATGCAGTTATATGTATTTAAAGCCTCATCAGCAAGCCAACCAGTCATTTTGTATCGGTGCCCTTCTGGTAACACAAGAACCAGGTACGTTATGTTAATGGAGTTCATAAAGCTTTGGCCGTGTTCCCCGCCTATTGGCACATGTGAGTGTCATAGTTTTCTGACTGGTGTCCTGTGGACATAGCCATGAGAGACTACCAACTTGGGCAAGCTCAGTTGGTAGTGCCTTGTTGTAGTGATATACAAGATTGCAGACGCATTGAAATGCTGCCTTCAATCCATTGTCTTGCTCCACTGAATATTAACAACAGGCCTCACAGTAAAGCCCCTAGTAAAAGCCTAAAAAATTCTGGCATTCATTTCAACAAATTCTTTTAAAGAAAATTTTAAAGATCACTTTGACCCACAGTTTAGTTATCATAAGTTCATGTTGTCAATATACCCCTACTTCTGTAAGGATTTTTTTTTGGTTCAAGATTTTCAGAGTTGGTAAAATATCTAGTGTGGAGAAGTTGAGGTAAGCAATTTGCTATACATGTACATGTATTTGTGCTACCTCATACAAAAAAATGCAAAACGTATAAATGCCTATAGATAATTTTACACTTCAAAATAGTTAAGACCTAAATTTTGATTTTCAAAACCTATTAAAAATCTGTACTGATAAAGAGGGTCACTGTGAGCCCTGAAACTAACTTAATAGTTTCAACCAAGTTGTCAAAAATCAAATGAAATTTCAACTATATGTAATATAGGCCCTGTCGCTTTGCTGAAAACTATAAAGTGGAACATACTTTAATTTCATAATTTTCACAGTCTGTTCAAAAATGGATTTTCTTGCCTCTTTCTGCTTTTTAGTTTGTGAGCTGCAATCATGTGACAACGGAGGCACGCTAGACACACAAGCATGCCAATGCTCATGCAGCGCCAACTGGAATGGACCTACATGCTCTGGTAAGTAATTGATTTTTGGGCCAGATTTATGAGCTAAATTCACAGGAAGTTTATGGGACTAAGTTTTCACTCAAACTCCTTCTTGTCCGACGTTGTAAATCTGAAGCTACTTAAATAAAAAGTATGTGGGTCATTCTCAAAGTATAAATTTGGGGTCCACTTTTTTTGTGTCCCTGTTACACCTAAAAGTGATTATGAATAGCAAATTACCTACCCAACAAATAAAAAAAGTTGTTTGAAGTGATTCTTAGTGATACTTGAATGGCAAATGACAAAATTCAGAGGTAACTGGGACTGGAGAAAGTCACACTGTGGATCCTAAATTTGTAGAATGGCCAAATACTCTGTTACTGTTTCTACACCCATACTAATTCGCTTTGTATTATAATTCTCCAACATCACAATCTGAGATTAGCAGATTTCTAAGGCTGGTTTCTACTTTCTTCAAAAATTACCTAATCAAACATTATGAAGCGATGATTTTTTTTTAAATGGCTGGCTCTAATGCAGAAACAGTACATTTAGTGATCATTTTGTAATCTTTACATTCACCATGTGATCAGTTTTCACAAACCATATCACATTTAAGGTAGTCCACATTCAATGGGTTTCAATTTGGGGGTATGTCAAAGCAATATTTGTGCACACTTTTAGACAAGAATCCTTAAAAATTATACTTCTTTATGACTTTGCTAGTCCACATATTCTGGACAAATCCTTATCATTGTCACACCTTTTTCAAGTTATAAAATACTAATGCAGACATTTTACCACGGGACCATTGAGCTAGGAGTGAGTGTATTAGATGTACCTTTGCATATATTTTCTTCAGATTGTGGACTGTCCTGTGTGAATGGAGGCACACTGGATGAGGCCACGTGTGAATGCAGATGCGATAAGGATTGGACTGGGAGCAACTGCACAGGTGAGGACTACCTGTGAATACACACCAATGCATAACTGACTTCAAATTTGTTGTTGTCCAGGGATGGATCCAGCGTTTGCTCAAAAGGGGGGGGGGGGGGGAAGCTGTCAAGGGGAAGGGGAATGGGTTAACAGGCATTGATTTTCCTATATTTTGCAGCCCAAGGTGGGGTAGGGGAGGGGAGGAAGGGGATTTAGACCCCCTCACGTGCCCCCCCCCCCAAAAAAAAAATACAGAAAATATTCACTGTTGTTATTAAATAGCATCGCAGCAAAAAATCTTGTTTGAAAATTTGTGTAAAGAGATAAAGATACCCTATTCACAGACTGATCCATATTTTTTCTTTTCCTGGAATTTTGTTTCCTGTTGTCAAGAATTGAGGTAATACGTGTAGCAAAAGTTAATGAGTAGTTTCATGGTAATGTGCGCCATTTTGTTCGCAGGGCAAAAACAACACGCATTGCTAGACGCAGGCGCATTTTGGAATGACCGCATGATGACTTGGAAGCACAAAAGTTTCCGGTTGATTTACACGTGTACATTTGCCCCATCAGCAAGATGGCGCATATTACCGTGAAAGTGCTTTTTGAAATCATTTGGACTGTAAGGTTGTGAGACACAAATATGAATGACACAAACGTGTTTGAACTGACAAGGTATTGCTTGTTGTTGAGTGTGGTACTGTAACCTGTTTCTGAAATTGAAAGAGCTTCGATTCAATTAGACAACAAATTTCGATGACATTTTACTCATTGTTTTCAGATTGTGGACTTACGTTCTGTGAGAATGGAGGTACAATAGATCCAGCATCATGCCAGTGTTTGTGCAATGGAGACAGCTGCTCTGGTGAGTCCAACGCCTTGTAGAAGATGTCATGATATAGTATATATATTACTTTGAGTGGTGTGGCAAAACTAGCATCCCAAAGTGATCCATGGAGCGTTCTGTTTTTGCGAGGCGTAGCCAAAGAAAATGGAACAGTCTGTGGATCACTGAGGGAGGCTAGTTTTACTACACCATGTGTTAAAGGGAAAATACAACATTTGCAAACATCAAAAACTAAAACTACCAAATCATTTTGAAATACCTTGCTGGACTGTTAGTGAATGACAGTGTAAAGCATCCTGTAAAATGCATGGCACCTGGTATACTGTCATTTTCAAGAATAGTGGTATTTTTGTATCAATTTCCAACGCTGATCGGCCGATCGGCGTTGGAAACAACTGGCTTTTTTTTCAAATACTGGCCCCAATTGACCATCGCACTTGTTTGCAATCGATTACAAACCTATGAACGGGTACGAGCCAGCTAGACTGGTTCCCTGACCTTACAATTCCCCAATGTATGTAAACTGCTCTGTTTCTTCTTATATGGAGTCAGGGAACCAGACTACAGGAAAATGGTCGTTTTTCTTGGTTTTTATAGCATTTTCAAACCAAAAACCTAAAAAAAGTCAGTGTAACTATATTTGCTATATATTTCCAACCCCCCAATTCCATCCATTTCTGAAAATTACAGCAAAAGCAAGTGATGTATATTCCCTTTAAAGTTGTCAGTATTTGTTTGATAGCACCTCACCCACAGATTCTGCTTGATTTTGAGAGATAACTGATAAATTTAACCAAATTTCAATCAAAATGTATTTCTATTTCAATATAAAATGAGTTGGACATTTACTTATACTTTTCCAAACTACCCCATCATGAAATGTTTAAACCCAACTCTGAAGCACGAGGGAACAACGTGCGTAATGCACACACTCGTCTGCATGTGCACGCAGACCTATGGTTGCTGCGTTGGTTGCTATGCCTATACTTTTTTACCGCTTAAATTGTCTCTTTGGCCATTGTACAGTCATTTTATATAGTAAAAATACAGGATGCCTCAAATTGTAGTTTACTTACAACCTAGTAAACTATTTAATTTCATTGGTGGCGTCAGTGGTGGTAACTTACATCTTATCAACTCGTTTTGAAATTCACAGAGCTTTGATTCAATTAGGTAAGAAATTTCTATGACATTGTATTCGTTATTCTTAGAATGTGGACTGAAATCCTGTCAGAATGGAGGAACACTAAATCCTACATCTTGCCAGTGTTTGTGCAGTGAGGATTGGACTGGACACAACTGCTCTGGTGAGTGCAACTACATGTAGATACACGTGTAATGTCAATATGTGCTGGCTGAATTATGAACTACGGTTTGTCCCTAAAAACAGTGTCAATCACTTGCCCTTGAGCATTTAACTGAGGTCTTGCTGTGATGATTGATAGCCAGGCAAATGATTCCAATCCCACCCGCAGTCCTTTACCACATCATGAAGGATTTCACACGGATTACAGAAAGAACTAAAATTGATTGAGACAAGGAACTTGGTCGCAGTGTCCAAAAATGTTGTCATGATCAATTGACAATTGGGCAGTGAGAAATGAGGGAAATTAAATGAAACACTCATAGGAGTATCCGCTCCGTTCGCAAGTACCCCCTCACTGGCAAAGGAAGTACAGTTGGGGGTGCCCGATCGACGCCATCTTGCCTGACTGCAATTTTGCCGTGACGGGCGGCCGTGACGGGCGGCCGTACCACTGTACATAGTACAAATCCCCTGGTATACGTGCATCACACACAAGGAACGGTGTATGTCAACTAGCTAAATGTCCCGCCCATGGGACGTCGTTGTTAGGTAAAAGGGCGCCCTCTTTTGTCAGCGCACGGAGCTCATAGGCCCAGATTCGGAGTACTTACTTCATGGTTTTGTAGTCATTTCATAAACATTCGGACAGACACTTTTTTTGGGACATACTGTGGTGCACTGTAAGTCATCTGAAGTCCTAGGTCCCTACAAAATTCTCAAAATGTCATGATACCCAAATACATACTATTCCCTGTTTAAAAACCACAATGTGTTCAATACTTGGAATAGAGGAAAGAAAGCATTAAGGGTGTTCAATATATATAGTACATGTATGAATTCGATACGTCATTCTACTGTAAGTGTTTAATAGCCAACTTTCTTTATGAAGAATGTATACCAAAGAAATTTCAAACAATTTTGTTTTGTTTAATGTAATACAGAATCACGGATCAAGGGAAAAATTCCTCCTACCCAAACCGATGTCAATGGTAAGTGTAAACTTGTTTGTTCTAGATCTCTACTAAATGAGGTCCATTGCTAAGAAATTCCCTGACCTAATGACTGTCTCAGATATGGTTGCATAAGTTGAAAGAAATGAGCGAGAGATAGGGAATAAGGAAGTTAAGTACAGTCGAGTCTCGTTATAACAAACTCGTTCGGACCTAGCCAAATTGTTTGTTATATCAGAATTTTGTATTAAGAAGAACATCAGTCCCATTCATTGTGCACGTAAATGCACAGTCGGGACCAAGGCTTTATGTTTGTTATAACAAGAATTTTGTATTAACAGAGTTTGTACTAACGAGAGTCGACTGTTATACTAAAAGTCAGCTAATTATTTGAAGGTGGAGGGGGCACATCTAATTATAAAACTGACTGTCAGTATGAATTTTGTTTTTTACCTTAATAACTAAATAAAAAAAACCTGATCATTTTTTGGTTCAATCATTAAAGTCAGACGCCATTTCACAAATGTCAGCTGGAAGATTCTTTTGAAAAGATCATTATACAAAGGACATTCTAAAAGAAAAGGTTTTAAGTTGCAACATCAAGTAGACAATGTGGACATCACCTTTCCTGTAGAGCTACGCCAGTGTGTCTACTAACTTCAATCATCAACTTGTGAGATACACATCTAAATCGAGATAAATCTATAACCAGAATCCAACAAATACCATAAACAGGGCTCAAACTCATATTTGTTTAAACATGCGGTAGGTACATAATTTGTGTTTCTTATTACTATCCTTTTTAAGGTCACAATGCAGTCTGTCATTTCACTGTTCAATACAATTGTCTTGCCTGAGATTAGTAAAGTACATGTATACAATAAAGTCCAGGAACTGAGTTGAAAAATGTATGTAACCTAAACGCCGGTGAGGTTATGTGACAAATTCCTAAAATGGTGTCTTCACAAAATGCATTTTACAAATTGGAGCTCTCAGGCTTTTCAGACAAATGAAGTCAATACTTTTAGATTACAGTTCTTTTTCAGTACAGGTTTTTTTTTTATTGTTATACATTTTATTCCATTATAGTCTGGCCTTAGGTTTTAATCAGGGGTGTGAAATCTCAGCTTTAAAGCTGATTTCAGCTTTTTTTGTTTGGGATTTCAGCTTTTTTTCCTTACTTGCTGTGTACAAAAGTATAGGAGATTTCCAAAGTCCAGCTTTTTTACACTTTTGTTCCAGCTGTTTTCAGCTATTTTTATCAGTGGTCACTCACACCCCTCTTTAATACATACAGCGATTTTGCATAGTGACACCTTACAATTTGTTTTCTTGTCTAGCAGAAACATCTGTCCTGGTGATTGTACTAATTTGTTTAGCGGTTGTACTTGCTGGTGGGTGTTCCATCAAGATGTTGCTCCCGAGGTTGACATGCAATCCAAAGTCAAGGTCCATATCTGATGTAGAAGGAGCCCTCTTAGATTGTAAGTTTTGCATTGGATAGAATCTCTTTTAAACACCTCACCCACAGATTCTGTTTTTTGATGGGCTGAGAGTACATATTTAGTATTTGTTGTTCCTCCCTATATTTTTCGGTGTAAACATTTCATTAAGGGGTAATTGGGAAATGTGCAAGTAACTGTTCAACTAATTTCTACAAGATTATGAAAAAGGGACTTTTGTTTCATTAAGAAACATACTTCCTAACTGTGGAGAATCTGTGAGTAGGATGTTATAGAACACATATTGACTGCTTCATCTCATGGTACAGTAAATTTTACACAACACTTTGAATAAATTCCTGTCATCTGATTGGTGGGTCATTGATCATGTGTCATTGGATTATTTGTCTCAATGCATGGCGCGGCCACACTGTAAATGGAATGTTCCATTGCACGGTCACCCCTTTTGGCAGCTCTGACCAATCAGATGACAAGGATTTTTTTTCAGGTGTTGTATAAAAAGAAATAATAAATGTTTCACATTTGTACAATGCAAAGAATAATTTCATTCAGTGAGTAACAGATGGACTGTTCCATTCCACTCAGCACATTCCATCTGTCACCTCATGATATTATTCTTACCATTGCACTCACAAACATTAATTATTTGTGTACTATCCTCCCTCGATGGTCCATGGAGCGTTCTATTTGTCCCTCAGATTCACTCTGGATCACCTCAGGAGGCTAGTTTTACCATACCACTTGATGCAGAGGTACTTATCCAAGAAACTTTAACATCTTTGAAGGAAAAGGAAGGGAAAAAAAGCATACATGTATATGCAAGTGTGGGGAGTCTTAAGAACTTGTGGTACTTCACTTACTCCCCCAAATATGGCATTTTTTAAAAATGTGTGCAGATGTAGGTGACATGGAAGCAGAGTGCCCTACACCTCAAAGCATCAAGGTCCGGGCGATGAATCCAAACCAGAAACTCAAGGGGAAGAAGATGAAGTTTTTCTGTCAGAACGCAGACGATTCCCAGGACCCCGTCCAGAAGTGGTCTGATGCAATGATATGGGATTCGGCTTTGCAGCACCTTTTTGAAGGACTGTGCCCAGGTGTCAAGTACACTATCTTACTGCACCAAGCCCAAGACTCGCTGAAGGAGGTGAACAAAGTAGAGGCCACCACGCCATGTAAGTGGAAGAAGATTTCTTGTATACACCATGTCCAAACTTAAAACTGAGCGTCGGATGAAAAGTTTTGCATATTTTTTTTTTCATTGGCACGTTTCAATGATGCACATATGCACAGGTACCAGGCAAGGCAAGGTTTAACCTGTACCTAGCAACAAGAGCTCATTTTATGTAGCATGGTTTCTGGTCTCTAATGTATTTTCCAACTTAGGTCATGATGCAGAGGCTAGATTTGATTAAGATGCCAACTCATGAAAAGGTGCAGACTATTTCATAAAATAAGGTGATCATGTTTTCCCCGGTTGAAAAATAGATAATGATTTTACTCAAGTTTAAATTGTCTACTGTAACAGATTATCCACTGTCAGTCGAAGTGAGTGGCACCGCTGCCACCATCAGAGGTCTGAAGGAGCTTGACATTAATGCTGTACAGAGCTGTGCATGCATGATGCTACCTAGTTGTAAGAAGTGGATTATCGTCTCACCAGAACAGGATGAGTTGGTAATCTCTGACGTACCTCCAGGTTTTGATTACTGTGTGAAAGCTGGAATTGTAGACAGTAAGCAGCTGCCATCTCGACAGAAATTCAGATGTAAAGCAGAGGGTAAACTACGTGTAGATGTGCAAGGTAAGACTCCACGGAAAAACAGTATCAGGTTCAAATGACATGACAGAAACTTGTCTTTCATTTAATTCTCCACTTTAAGTGTAAAGCCCCATACATGCTTCTCTCATCTACAGTCATCTAGACTCCTGTTAGTAACACAAATAATGACCATTTATGAGTGCAGTGGTAAGAATAATTTCATTCGATTATAGATGGAATGTTCCATTCCATAAGTACAAAATCTACCAAACTGCCCAAAACTGTTAATACTATCTGCAATTCATACTAAGCAGAGAGATGGTATCCCATTCGTAGTGCATGATATCATGCATGTTTATGCACAATACACGTATGTAGAACATTTGCAGTTTTTAAAAAAAGATACTGCACGGTTATGTTGGTACATCACATGTAATTGCATGTGAATAACATGAAAATCTTTTGCAATTTTTTTCTCGCTAGCCCTCGGCCATCACTGGGTATACAGTGTTCATAAGAATACGTCGGCAAAGGGTAAAACCCAATAAAACATTTATATCGCCCTGATGCAGATTCCATCTTACAAAAAAGTGGGATATTTTGCTATTTTTTATTAAGGGAATAAATGTTTGCTTTGGAGGTTTTAAACACTCTGTTTAAGACTGGTTGGAGTCTATCAGCATCCAGACTCCAACCGGTCTTAAACAGAGTGTTTAATACCGACCAAGCACATTTTTCTTCCCATCCATAAATACCTTTTCTGTCAAAAAATCTAAAGTTTTTGGTCCAAAAGTCAAAACAGGTCAAAATTATAAATTTTTACCGATTTCGATCAAGAAGGTACCCCTCTAGCTATACAAGTGGTGAGGCCCTCTGGTAAACAACTCCTTATACGGGAATAGACGCGGGATCGCGCATGATGCGTGATGTGGCACACAACACAGATGTACAAGTGTAGTGTGAATTTAGGACTATGAACTGACTCACTGGTAGTATTACACATGCCTACGTGAGGAATGTGAACGTTCAACCAATGAAACTGTGCAGGCACCGGATTTCAAAATTTCATGTGACACTGGAAAAGTGTTTTAAGACCAGCCAGCCATGCCTTTATCAACCGTTTAAAACCGGCCAGGTGCGGGCTCTTGACCAGTAGGAATGGGTAATACTGTCTTAGGTATTTATGAATGTTTGTTTGATCTGCTGTATGACTCTGTGATAACTTGACTAAAATCTGTCAAAATTGTTTCAATCTTGTATTTATTTCTTCCAGAAATCACGCAGGACCAGACTCACCAGAGGACAAGCAACTGCACAACGTTTGGAAAAGTTCTAAAATCCATCGATCTGAAAAGGTCCCTACAGGTTGAGTTAGAATCTAAAAAGAATTTTTATCTGGCTGAAATGGTTGCCGGGGCATTGGGATTGGTTGGAGATGATAATATGAGAATCAAAGATGCCAAGACTGACCATGTTGAGAAACTTGATCAAATTCTGAACCGCAGGGAAAATGACACTCAAGTTCACGACCTAATAGTGAGCCTTCTGGCTCCTTCTGAGCTCAAGGAGAGGAATGAAACAGAGACGACGCAATGGAAAGAAGCAGAGGACTTCTTAATAAAACTAGTTGGACACACATGGACCAACTTCCATTGCCTTGAGTGCATTCATCTGCTCCATCAAGCACATAGTGTTTAGCATTGTCATTCTGCAAACAAGGTAAAATGTCAAGATCAATATTAGGTTTTGCCCTTCACCGACATATAAACACTGTATACTCAGTTTGTTACCTCCCGAGTGAAAGTTGGAAAAATCACTCGGTTGGGATTTGAACCCACAACCTCCTGCTTTCTAGTGCAGAGGTAAAATGTCACATACGTAATGAAAAGACTGTCTTGTACATGTACCTGCATGGTTTATATTGCAATATATGTATACTTACATAATTCTTTTTCGTATTTGACCAGGTGATTTCTTTTGGAAACAAAATTGTAGAAAGGAGCAGTATGATGAGTGGTTAAGCAGACATGTCTTCCAAATTTTATAACTGTGCTTGCAGTAGAACATGGATGACATCTGTTTTGTTGATACTTGTGCCTCGCAAATTCAATTATTTACAACTGCTGCTTAAAAACAAAGGCACAGCACACCTGGAATATGCGACCCTGTTATTGCTAATGAATACTACATATATCTGTATAACCGCTCCGTTCACAAGTACCCCCTCACCGGCAAAGAAGGTACAGTTGGGGGTGACCGACTGACGCCATCTTGCCTGACTGCAAATCATTTGCCGCGAAGCGCGGCCACTGCATGTGTACATAGTACAAATCCCCTGGTGTACGTGCGTCACACACAAGGAACGGTACGCGTCAACCAGCGAAATGTCCCGCCCGTGGGACGTCATTGCTAGGTGAAAGGGCGCCCTCTTTTGTGGGCGCACAGAGCCCATTGAAATGCTCTGTAGTTTTTCCACAGGCATGCTTGTGTTATGATAAAAGAAATGAGATGTTTCCGACCGGTTTACCATTTTATCTATCTGTCCCATGACTACAAAGAACAAAACCATCCCGAGCCACATGTATTTTCAAATTGAAAAGCACTGCCATAAACACAACAAGGTATGCCTGTGGATAGAAATAATGTCAACTCAAACTGCCAAATATTTGGCAGTGAATGCTAAATGCTTTTTATAAGCCACATTTTTTCCTTGGTCCGGGTAAATTGATATTTTTAATCAAGTTTTCCGTATATGCAAGTATGCAGAGAGGATAAATGGATTTCCCCCTTTTCATTCAAAATGTACATACATGTAGCATTAAATTCTTACCATGTTGAACTGGATGTTATATTTTATTCAATAATGTGTAAGATGTTGTAAATATATGTGTAGTGTATTCAATAGAATCGTGTCATGCTGCTGTGTAGAAGATTCCTTTTCCATAATCAAAATTAAAGCCCAAATCTTTTTCAGCGGTCATAAAAATAGACAAAAAGACAAAAAGACCTGGAAGTTTAAAAATACAATGAAAATTTCAGAATTAAGTATCAAAAACTAAGTAAAGAAAATGTCATGGATGTGCATGAACAATAAACCATTAACATGTTGCAACTATCTTGATTTTTTCCCATTCAAATCACTGTAACCAGAGCGGGGCTAGAAGGAAAAATAGTCTGGTTCCTTTTTCACAAAAAACATTATCATTCAGTACTGTTATTGGGTACAGGGAATACGACTGAAATGGTGGCAGCATCGGTCTGTTGATGGCATTATGTGACCACTGGTGAGTGTGGACTGAATGGGCACACTGTTTGCATGTACTGAGTCTAACCTGTATCTGGTGAAGTACCCACAATTAAATTTAACTTGAGTGTGCACAAAACCCTGCATCTTTACGTGAGCGTGTGCGCCAGGTGTACAGATGAAACGTGTTTGCGTCTCCAATACTTTATATTATATCTTTACGCAACCATTAACCAGTTCACGCCGGGATTATTTTGACAAGAACGGAACGAGGCGCTGGATATATTTTCACTCGCCCTCAAGCCAGGCGGGTTGAAGCCATCACCCTTGGGCAGCACACTCATATTTCCGGCCTCGCTCGCTGCGAGTGGGTCGCTGACATATTCCGGCCCCAGTCCCTGCGTGTTTATCTGACATCCGTTCCGAATATCGCAGAACTTTTGCGTGTATACACGGCCTCCGGCGCGAACTGGTTAAGGGGTACTTGTACACAGAGTTTGTGGAAAGAATTATTGTAGTATTAAAAATGTGGTTTCTGTGGGTCTGTTACTTTCATGGTTTCTAGTTATAAAGATGGATTCATCATTGCCTTTATCTGTGTTGATAGGACAAAGAGAAAGCAAGGAGCTGGTGATTGGCTTTTGTAACATATTGTCCATATGAGATTGTACATAATTATGTTCCTCAATGCTGTACATGGCAAAGCTTTTGTGTATATATTTTTGAAATTTTGTTTCGCTCTCTCTTGGAAACAAATGACTTTATATAATGTGATTCAGATATGTAAAGAAATATCGGAATTAAATTTGTATTTTCTTGTGAAGATAAATGCAGTGTAAATGAATGGGTAAAGTGGCCTTTGAAATTTTGGAATAAAATATTTACAGGTAAGGTAAGCATTAGTGCCTAGCACAACTACAGTAAACCTTCAATGTGTTAAGGCTGAGTATAGAGAGCTATTGTTTTGTATTGCTTCAGTAGACATGGTCAAACCTTTTTTTACATTCATCGTTACTTAATTTAAAAAAAAAGAAGAAAATCCTTGGATATACCTGAACGCATACGGTCTGTTTGTATTCTGAGCATGCAGATCCAGCTTTAAGTAAGAGAAATATAACCGGTGAAATATATTTTCTGGATAAGGTACTCGGTTTTGTTTTTATTTTATCATTGGAAAGAAACATTATTTTCATTAAAAATGTTTTGTGTTAGTCATATGAAGGTGTACATGTATATACATTGAGGTCATGACCTTCAATTTTGTGAGTCTAGGAAAACGCTATTCGGAAAGCGCTCTTGTTTATGAAGTGAATTGCACTTGACATCTCAAGTGTATCAGATCTATTTTCTTTATTAAACCTTTACAACTGCTTAATTTCTCTAGTCATATTTTAAACTACAGAATAGGCAATAAAATTGTCAGAAAGTTTAATGATTGTTTTCTTGTATCTGAATTCTGTCTGTGTTGTTTTCTAAGAGGTTTATCACTTTCGTAGACGTCAGTAGTTCGCCCTACTGTTTACAAATATATCTAAGGTATTCTTGAAAATTCAATCTGGACCGGAACTAGGAACATTTTTAGAGCAAAATGTAAGTGTTTAAATTTGCATGCAACAAAACACCTATTTAATTGGGTTAGGAGCAATATATTCTATTATTGGGAGGTGGGGGGGGGGGGGGGTAAGGCACTTGAAAATCATATAGTGTTTGAAGAGACACATGTTTGGGGTCCGGATTCCTTGGGAAAACTATGAAAATTATACTAAGAAATCTGTGACTTTTCAAGTTTTCAACATTTACAGCCTTAATTTTTTACTATTTTTTTAATTTAAAATGTTCCCCTCTTTAAGTTTTTATTATTGAAAAAAAAAATCCCCGCCCCCTCAATTCCAGACTAAATCCACAATATTCTTTTGTGTTAGTGTACATATATAGTGCAAGTAACGTCCCTGGAACTGATGCACAATCTGTCTCCCCCAGCCCTGAAAATTGGACCCTAATTACGCCATCTAACATCGGCTTATTTTTCACAAACCTTCGATTAATTTGTTAGCATTTCTGACATTGAAAATAATTCGTATGCAGCTTTCCTTCCATTTGCATTACTTCATCCCATCACCTTTTGCACATTTTTTTCTGGATAATTCTGTGACTTGGCAAGTCTATGGAACCGGTTGGAACCGGTTGGGACAGCTTTCGAGTCAAATTTCTCTTCCCGCCCAAGCAGTTAACTTTCACCTGTTTTAGTCGGTCTTAACCAATCAAAATGCCCAGATTAACGAGCGCGGTCACTCTTCACACTTCTGACCAATCGCAATCGGCCTTCTATCGTCTGACTCTGATTTCGAAAAAAAATAGGGCCTAAAGTTTTAAGAAATGACGTTATTCATTATAAATTTTACACTTATTCTTATTTTTCTATCGACCGCATTCATGGCTTAACTTTTTCATATATTTTATTAAAAAATGCACTTTACAGATAAAAAAATCATAAAAAATGGCATTAGCGGAGTGATATACTCTGGACCATTTGCCCTAGGTGCGCGTAAAAAAACAGCCCGTCTTTTCACTCTTATCTCACTCCGCAGATGAATTTCAACGGGAGAGGACCTCAGAAAGTTTGCTCCTCGTAACGGTCGCGACTTTTTCGCATCGTCTCAATTAATGTGCACACAAAGTTGTAAATTCATCCTGGCATCCTCCATTGGTCTTTTCTGAACTGGCAGCTCTTTCTCCGCCAGCTCAGCGCACCAATTTTAAACCATCTTCTCTTCAAGGCATTGTACAAGCCACCGCATCATCACAGGCTTCGCACGGCGGAGAATCCCGCCCGGCCTGGAGAGTCGGCACAAGCTCGGAGTCCGGAGTACCGAGCGTCACAAATTGCGCTAAACTGAACTTAAACAAAGTAGGCCTACGGAACGTGTTGAAGTTGAAGTGAACCTGGACTTGGAGGATGCTCGAACTTCACAAAAACCAAGAAAACAGATATCTGTGGTGAGTGAAAGCTATTTTCATGCGATGAATTTTATAAGATTTATTAAGAAATACTTTTTTTGCTACTTTCTATTCCTCTTACATGTATGCAAACTATTTGACACCCCTTTTGGTTAATTGTATGCCAAAAAATGCACTTCTTTAAACACTAGGGAAAATCTTGCTTTTCCGGTCAATTGCGGGCGCTATTGCTGTAATGCCCTTTCACTTAATATCCAACTTGTGTACTGAGCCGTAACGTTGCGGTTTGACATTCACCGTTTTGCTAATCGAATACTGAATATGGAAATTCGCATCAGCATAACAACCAAAAAGGCACGAAAACTACCGTCAAAATGGATAAAACAGAAATTGAAACTAAGTTTAAATGGGACTCAAGGATAGCATTATAAAAATTACATTGCATGCCCTTTAATTTACAAACTTAGACAACAGCTTTACTAAATGTACTGTATAACCATGGATTCCTCCATGGTATAACTTAGATTTTCATTTTACTAAAAAATCCCCTTATTTTGTGTTAGTGGTTAGCTGCTACATTGTTAAGATTGCAGTCAAAGGTCATGTGCCTACATTTTCTAAAAGCTTCACATAGGCATTAAAATTAAATTCCACTCCGTTCATTCTAAACTGTTAACTAAGTTTAGGCCATTGTGTTGAGTATCAAAAGACATCTCTGGAGCTCTCTTCAAGTTAATTTGCATATATCGATCAATCTGGCTCATGTGATGACAATGTACTACATTTTGGCACCTGTGAATGAATAGTAGGTGTGGCTACAGGCTCCCCTATACCAGAAAGTTTTTGAACTTGTGCCAAGACCTTGGAATGTGGCCACTCTGTGGTGGCCAGGTGATGTTTATGGCTGACCAAGCATGTTTTTCCTGGGTGGAAAAATAATTGACAGACTGTTAAACACTGAAAATAATAAGTTGGTCATCAAAGACACAAACAATGTTATGAATTAGTGTGTACATTAAGAGGGTATGACATTCCAGTGGAAATTATATGTAGGATTTCAGACTGTTGCCTTTGAAATTATAGCTCATAAAAATCAGTAATTTTACATTAGTTATTTCAGATAACAAACCAAATATAGAGTAGAAAATCAGTGCTAAGTGCAGAAAATGGCATTAACTTTAGTTCAAATATGGATAATTTGTGGTAGGACATAAAGGCAGGACTGTCAGGGAAACTAGGGAAACTCAACAAAACATTTTGAAATTAGTGGAAAATACTGAAAAGAACAGAATGTAGCACTCATTTGCATTGTTACTTTTGCAAGTGTAGTAAATATCATGCAGCAACAGGACCATTTTAAAACGTACCATTAAAAATATCTTGAAACCATAATGACAAATATCAATGAATCATGCATTTTTTTGACAGAACTCACCTTTTTTCAATTTAGTAACAGACTTGTTTTTTTAACTTACATAAATATTGTCCATCCCCTTTAATGTCAACACATTCTCACTAAAATCTAGTGGCAATGTAAACAAAACACACTGAATTTTGCACTACGTGCTAAATCAAACCTGCTATTACTTCCCGACTGTTTTTAAGGTCAAATTTGAGGACAAAGTGAGATCAATGTTCTTAAAGTTGAGCTTGGTTGTTGTACAGTGGCATAGCCAGGAATTTTTCATGGGGGCGTCATGTAGATCAATGATAATATTTTTAGAAACTCAAATCTCAGTGGGGGGGGGGGGGGGGGGGGAGGGGGGGGGCGACAAGGTTTCATGGGGGGGGGGGCTGTCGACACCCCCCCATGTTTACTCATCAATGTGTTGGTGAAATGAAACGATGTGTTCAGTGTTTAAAAAGGCCAGCTTTTTGTTGTAAGTTTATGTTTATATTTTGCATAATTTTAGTGCTTTATAGCATTATTTTAGTGTGTGATACCTGCTATGTTCATGAGCAAAACTTAGTGATTATGTATCTGCATTGTCTTTAATCCTGTTGGCTGCACAAGAAGTCAACCAAGATGTGATAATTTAAAAATCATAATACAGTGAAATCTTGATAAGTAAAGCTCTGATAACTCAACCAACCAATAACCCTATTAGGGTTAACACCAGCCCTTTAAAAGGGCTGGGGGGGGGGGGGGGTGGTAGAATCCACCCCCCCACTCCCTCTACTTTTTCAGTGATACCCTTGCAAATACATGTTGTTTGACCTGAGCTTTCCTGATTTTTTATCCTAAAGTCTTGCGTATATTTTGTGACTTAGTGATTATGTATCTGCATAACAAAAAACAATAAATAAAATTCGGACAATAGGTTGCTGCACAGCGAATTATTTTTTAAGGTTAAATTTGACTTCAGACTTATATGTAGTGTGCACAAAACAGAATGACTTACCATATGTACATATGAAGAATCAATTAGCCATCCTTCCAAAACCCATTAACCTATGGTCATGAAATTTCTTGGGTATGCTTATATTAGGTGGTTCTATGCATTTCACTAAGTTTCATAATTTTGTGGCGTTCGTTGGCCGAGATCTGGGGGGGGGGGGAGGGGGCGAGCAAAACCTTTTTTTTTTTTTTGCTATTTTTAAGGGTATTTAGCATGATGCTCATGCTAATTTCCATATTCATTAGCAAAAGTGTGATGTCGTTTCAGGCAGAAACCTCAATGCAACAGCTATTTAAGCACCAAAAAATGCCAGAATTTCAGATATTTTACTGTCGTAAATGTTCTTTTCTTTGGTAGATATTTGTTTATTTATTATTAGATAATTTCTCAGGCACGAGACCATTGAAATATAAAAATATAAGACAATTTTAAAATTCAATTACATAAAAATTTGAGGAGGTGCGGCAATAGAGGGCGCGTTGTTGTAGCTTCTGTGTTAATTTGAAGGGGAAAAAAAGGTTGACGCGCATGATTAAAATCGACGCGCGCGCTGACCAGAGACTGAGTATTTTTTGGGGGGCCTAATCATAAACTTTATTTTTGTAACATTTGACCAACTTGTGACAATGCCATCAGCAGCATTGTCAACACTCCTTATTCAAATTCATTGCGCTGGTGTAAGAATTGGTGTTCTCAACTTTTTTTGGGGGGGGGGTAAACATTACAAACCACTGGAATGCTGCCCTCTGTTGACAGAGTAGATCAAAGAAAAAAATTTCAAGTGTGATCAGTTAAAAAATATTTTTTAGTTCATGTACCCATACTTGAAATATGTGGTACGGCCTCATGTGGCTTGAATAAAAATTTATTAAAGGAAAAGATAATTCTATGCGGAAGGGATCAACTCGAAACTAAAATACGACAATGTCTGGCACACTGCCATAGGGGGGGGGGGGGAGGGGAGGGGTGAAGGGGGGGGGAGGGGTGAAGGGGGGGGGTTTACCCCCCCCCCAATAAAAACTGCCTTTTTCCATTCAAATGCCCTTTTTTCAACGTGCTTACCCCCGCAATAATTTGTAAAGAGTGCCCTTTTCTTACGAAGTACCTTTTTTTTTTAATAAGTGCCCTTTTCAAAAAGAAGTGGTGCCCTTTTTGGTGGCATCTGCCATTTTGGGTGCCTTTTCTGGGAATTTCGCACATGTATCGCCCTGAAAAGCAACATCTATTGGGCCTTTGTGTGCATAATTGTCGGTTTTGAACAGTGCCCCCATCGACAGAGGGTACACCCCCCCCCCCCCCAACGGGTGTGCAAGGGCCCTTTTCAAAAAAATTTACCCCCCCCCCCAATAACAATGCCCCGACTGCTGCATGCATGAAGAGAAAACCCAAATTAAGAACCCAAGAATTGTATAAAATGATTTCATATCTAGGCTAGTTTTCACTCTTCTTGTCAGGTTCCCTCTCACAGACTGAAGTGCGTCTCTTGCCAATCCTGATTCTGAACTGTTTTCTTCTCTCTTTGTTTTTGACATTTCAGTAGAAATGGGAGCCTGTCATATCTGGATGAGAGTGGTCAGATGAAGAGGCTTCTGGTTGAGGCCCCTTTGCTGCTAGGAGGAGGACGATGCAGGGAGAAGAACCTACGGTGGATTGTGGACTCTGCTTGCTCACCTTCCCAGGAATTCCTACAAACTGCGGACATGATTCTTTATGGAGAGAAAACGCCACCAAATAATCGGGCAAGAAACTTCATTATTACTAATTTAAAAGATATTTCAAGAGATGAAATGAATAAGACTTAAGGGTTTGCATAGTGGACAATAATGGGAGGCTTGTGTTAGCACCATGTGAATGGTGTTTCTTAGCTTAGTGAATTGTGTGGTTCTGAAAAGAACCAGTTGAAAACAGATGAAATGGACTTCAGCGGCATGCGTCTGGAACAAGGTCAGACGCCTTGAACACTGTCAGAATGAAAAGGCTTTATGCCTTATTTATCTTATTGAATCATCATGATATTCCAAGTTATACAATTCAGTGAGGACGAACTGCAATGAACATTAATCACACTACTTGAAATATGATCCATCAGCCTTATAAGAAGGTTTATCATAAGTCAATAGTAAAAAAGGACTGCTTATACGAATTATTCCATGAGGAATACAAAGAAGAACTGAGATGTCACAGTGTCTCCATTCAGTGAAGACGAACTGCAATGAACATTGGTCACTATTTGGAATATGATCCAACAGCCTTATAATAAGGTTTATCATAAGTCAATAGTAAAAAAGGACTGCTTTCCATGAGGAATACAAAGAAGAACTGAGATGTCACAGCATCTCAATTAATTGAAGACGAACTGCAACGAACATTAGTCGCACTACTTGGACTATTATCCAAAAGCTTTATAATTAGAAAACGACTTCTTATGCGACTCATTATTCGGCGAGGAAGACAAAGAAGAACTGACATGTCACAGCGTCTGGGGCGCTGTCCTTTTACGCATTTTAAACAAAATTTACCTTCCAAAGCAAACAATTTTCAAAAACTCTGAGTCATCAATACGGGCACTGGTTGATAATTTGTTTCTATAAATATAAAGAAAGAAACTGATTTCATCCTGCCTGATATTGAACATAAAACCATTAGAGAGTCAAATTATAATTTGTGAACTGAAAACAATCAGTTTGCTCTTTACAAAGGTGATGATGATGATTGAAAGTAAGAAGGAAAAAGTCAATCATCACTTTTCCCATAGTAATGACTGTTTAAGAATTGATCTCTGTGTATGATGTGATTATTTCTTGTGTACGTTGTGATTATTTTGTGTGTAGGTGTGATTATTTCTTGTGTACAGTGCAATTATTTCTTGTGTACGGTGTGATTATTTCTTGTATATGGTGTGATTATTTCTTGTGTGCGGTGTGTTTTTTTCTTATGATTTTTAAAGTTTCTAGTCTCTGACTGATCACAGATCTGCAATACTCAACAAAAAAAACTGTAGAGAAAGAAATAATACTTGAAATCAGTGTTATTTAGTTCTCCAAGGTACAATACGATACAATAGTGTTAATTATTTCTTATAGGTGCGATTTACTATACGATACGACATGATACGATACGATAGCGATGGTGAGAGAAATAATTTTGGAAAAAGTGTTATTTTCTCAAACAAAAAATGTTACGAAATGTTATTAAAAAACGTGATGGAAACAAAATTATTTACGATACGAAACAATTATACGAGAGCGGTAAATTTCTATTTTTTTCCCTCGAAAAAATCAGCCATGAAATGACACGTGTGAAAGAAATAATACTAGAAATCGTGCAACCTACAAAAGAAAAAAATGCAAGGAAAATTATGTAACGGTGAAATAAAACAAAGTACGTAGCGGATAGAGACAAATTGTATTTGAAAAGAAAGAAAATGTAAAGAAGGAAATAATTATTTTTTCTCAAAGGTGAGATATGACACGCCATGCCACGATACGATACAACACGATACAATACCTCTTGGTACAATACGATACGATAGCGATGGTAAGCAAAATAATATTTGAAAAATTGTTACCTTTCTCGCCCACAAAGAACGTAGGGAAAGAAATAATACTTGAAAATCAGTGTTGTTTATTTCTCAAAGGTGCAATACGACAAGACACGATACTACCCGATAGGATACGATATGATACGATACGATACGATACGATACGATAGGATATGATACGATAGCGGTGGTAAGAAAAATAAAATTTGAAAAATTGTTATTTTTCTCACCCACAAAGAACGTAGGGAAAGAAATAATACTTGAAAATCAGTGTTGTTTATTTCTCAAAGGGGCGATACGACAAGACACGATACGACCCGATAAAATACGATATGATACGATACGATATGATAGCGGTGGTAAGAAAAATAATATTTATGAAAAATTGTTATTTTTCTCACCCACAAAGAATGTAGGGAAAGACATAATACTTGAAAATCAGTGTTGTTTATTTCTCAAAGGTGCGATACGACAAGACACGATACGACCCGATAAAATACGAATCTCAGGACATGTCATGTGTCACCTTCACAAGATTTAGTTCAGCCGTGTCTAATAATGTTTAATTGAACAGTAAGTCCGATCTATAAATGCATCGGCAGGGATTACTGTGGCTTTATGCCACCTTCGAAAGTTTTTTTTTCCAGCCTGTCTTGAATTTTAAACAGTAAGTCCGATATTCAACGATCGGCAGTTACACTTCTGATATTTGTCTCCCTCAAGAGCTTTTTAAAGTCTTATCTAAAACCAAAGACAGTGACTCTATTTATGGCATTGTGCCATCTCCAAAAGTAATTCTTAGTCTTGTTTTGCACTAGAAAAAAAGTAAGTCCGATCTTCAATGATTGGCATGGATACTTGTGGCATTATGTCACCTGTAGTTATATTCTTAACTTGCCTTCGATTTAAACAGAGACTAGTCTGCAACGATTGGCAGAACGTGTACGATATTATTTTGCCATTGGTAGTCGTGCATATATGTATCTGTATATAGTTTTATTGATTTAAGTAGGTTTTTTTTTTTTACCTTTTTCTCTTGATACACTTTTGTTTTCTTCTTTCCTTTCCTCATAACAACTATTTTGTTGGCCGGGATTTTAATAAAATTAAGTGTTTTCTAACCATCTGTAGAGATACAGTGTGACCTAGCTAAGCTGGGTCGAGTTTTCTTTCTCCCTGTAGCTCATTCAGCCAAGAGATGTTGAACATCTACAAGCATAAGACTGACTGGATGATGAGAGGCTGCTTTGTCAGGATGGAAACGAATCCCTCAGAGGAACCGGAAGCAGGGAGGAGGACCGACGGATGAATTGATGACTCTGCTTGCAGGGCTACCCATTTCTAATTCCTAAGGTAAGTTTTCAAAAAGGTTCTCCTCACAAAATGACTGCATTCGTCATCAAATCTGTAGTTTTCTTCCCACTTTGTTTTGGAGACAAACATACCTGGATGAAATGGTAAGATAAATAAGCTTCTGGTTGAGGATTAAACTGAGGAGTAAAAGGCAGGGAGGAGACCTGCCTGCCAGGCTTAACTTCTCTGATTTTTGAGTTTTCACTCGTCTGATTAGGTTTCCCCTCGCAGAATGAATTGATTTTCTTGTCAATACTGATGCTAAAATGTCTTCTTTTCTCTTCGTTTTTAATCTTTTAATAGAAAGCGGAGCCTAGTGAACATGGATGAGAGTGGCTGGATGAAGAAGCTTCTGGTTGAGGATGACCTTGCCCTCCTGACACCACTTCAGTTGGAACTAGGGAGCCGGAAGCAGGAAGGAGGACCAACAGATGAACGGATGACCTGCTTGTCGGGCTTCCCATTTCTGATTTTTGAAGTGAGTTTCAAAAGGAAAAACAAATAAACAGTGGTAAACTGTCATAAAAAAAGACTATTTTTTCAGTATTCTGGTTAGGTTCCCCTTTGCAGAATGAATTACATATTTCATCAATCGTGCATCTGAATGTTTTCTTTTCTCTTTGTTTTTGATCTGTTGATAGAAAATGGCGCCTGTTATACATAGATGAGAGTGGCTAGATGAAGAAGCTCCTGGTTGAGGATGACCTTGCCCTCTCCACCCACTTCAGCTTGAACTAAGGAGCCGGAAGCAGGGAGGAGGACCAACAGATGAACGGATGACCTGCTTATCGGGCTTCCCATTTTATATTTTTAAGTAAGTATCAAAAAGGAAAACAAATGAACAATGGTAAACTGTCATAAAGAGACTAGTTTTAACTGGTCTGGTTAGGTTCCCCCTCACTGAATGAGTTGCATATCTCATTAATCCTGATGTTTTCTTTTCTCTTTGTTTTTTATCTGAAAACAGAAAATGGAGCCTGTTATACATGGATGAGAGTGGCTGGATGAAGAAGCTTCTGGTTGAGGATGACCTTGCCCTCCCCCACCCTACTTCGGGATGGAACTAAGGAGCTGGAAGCAGGGAGGACGACCAACAGATGAACGGATGACTCTGCTTATTGAACTTGCCGTTTGAGAATTTGTGAGGTGGATTTACTAACAAATGATTTAACACATTGATGTAAAAAAGAGGACAATGCCTGGAGCAATGCCTTAACAGCTACAATCCTGAAACAAAGTACCAGACTTTTTAAAAGACTCTTCTCATGGATAAGGAAATGCAAATTACAAAGAAAATATCAAAATAAATGAAAGTCTCTTTTCCTTTTTTTGCCAACCAAACAGGAATTGTTACTAATGTGACCTAGTTTGCCTAGGCCGAGAAGTTCTTTATTATTTTACAGGATGGAGATCGTCATAGGGAAGATCTCAAGCCATTACTTGAGGAGAATGAAAGATGTCTGGCAACCGGAAGCAGGGAATGACTGATGAGCCTACTTGCTCAACATGACATCTGTGATACATGAGGTAAGTGTAAACACCCCCCCCCCAAAAAAAAATGAATGTTGAATTCTGAATCTTGAAAAGTTCGACAGTGTGACAAACCTGTTAAACTTGTCAATTTAAAACTGTGCCTTTGGTCTTTATACTTTTTGCAGATTCACCAAGACATTAACCGTCAACAACAGCATATAAACAGAGATGGCTTGCCAGCTAACGCTAACTACCCCCCCCCCCCACCAGAACAAGAAATCAATTAAAATGTACTGCAACAAATGAAATTAGAATGTTATCTCTTACTTTGGACTAAGCAAAATGTTAAGAGGCTATGGGACACCCCCACCCTGCCTAATCGAATGAGCCTGCCTCATGCACTTACAAAACGGTGCTCACTTTTAAATAAAATTCAAACCTTTGAGGATTCTTTTCAGTCAAAAAACATCTAGACATGGAAATTACACTGTGCTTATGTTTTTGTTTGTTTGTTGCATGAATTCACTGTTCCTTTTTGGCATGCGTTGTTCTTGCACGTTTTATCATAATTACCGCACCTTTTGGTTTTAATAAGCAAAAGGATAACCACAGTGTATGGCCATAGTCTGACAAGTGCTACATTAAAAACTCTTAACATATTAAGCTGAATTTGAAACTAATAATTCAAAATAACAACATCACTTCAATGCGTAATGTATTTTGAGGGGGGGGGGGGTCATCCCCTAGCCTTTATCTCCCTTTCGCACCTTGTCCTTTCATGTCACCAACAAAATCTGACCAAAAAACATTAAAAGAAATGGCCCTTTCCTCATCCTTGAAACATTGAATTTTTTCAGGAAATTGGCTTTTTAGTTGGAAAGCCTCCCTTTCAACAATGAAAAACACTTATTTATTAGAGCATTTAAATAATTGTCTGCAGTAAGGTTCCTTCTATCATTTTCCTTAACTTACTATTGTCTGTCGTAAATCAAATGATGATGTCAACGAATACATCTGAGGAAGAAGCCACTGGTTGAGGATGACATTGCACTCCCCGTCCCAGGAGCCGGAAGCAGGGAGGAGGACCAACAGAAGAACTGATTATTCTGCAGTGAGCTAGCAATTTCTGATTCTCAAGGTTAGTGTCCTCCTAAAGAAAAAGAAAATGATGCCACAAATGAAACGGCTAGTTTGTATCTCCTGTGCAGCTTAATTACCTTGCAAGATAATGACATGAGTGCAGATTATCTTGAAATTAAACTTAAATTTGTTTCCACATTTGTTTTAATCATGTTTAGAAGCGAGGATGAGTCTTGGAATGATGGAGACATGGAGATGCTGTTTGTTGATTTGACACACCCCGACCATCACAGACGTACCTGAGGAACCGGAAGCAGGGAGGAGGACCGACAGATGAACTGAAGACCCTACTTACTGAGCTTGCCATTTCTGATTTTCAAGGTTAGTTTCCTCCAAAAGAAAAAAAAAAGGAGACGGTGCCATAAATTGAAAGAACCATCAGTAACTCATCTGGTGGTGTTTTGCTGCTTAATTGCCTCGCAAGATAATGCCCCGAGTGCAGAGTTCTTTTGTGTATTATATTAAACTGTTTGGCCTTTTGTTCTCAAATGATGAAGACCTGGAAAGCCTGTCTGTTGACGCATGAAACCATCATCACATATGACTGAGGAACCGGAAGCAGGGAGGAAGAACGACAGAAGAACGGAAGACCCTGCTTGCTGGGCTCTCCATTTCCAACTTTTTAGGTTAGTGTGAAAAGGGCAACAAATGGATAATAGAATAATGTCATGGTTTTTACTCTTCTGGTCAGGTTCCCTCTTGCAGAATGAAGTGCGTCTCTTGTAAATCCTGATTCTGAATTGTTTTCTCCTCTTTGTTTTTGACATTTTAATAGAAAATGGAGCCAGCCATACCTGGATGAGAGTGGTCAGATGAAGGGGCCTCTGGTTGAGGCTGACTTTGCCCTCCTCACCCCACTTCTGCTGACGCTAAGGAGGAGGAAACAGAGAGGAGAACCTACAGAGGACTGTGGACTCTGCTTGCTGAGCTTGCCAGGAATTCCTACAAACTTAGAAAATGTGACAGTGTCTGGCACACTGCTCCATGGAGAAAAAAACACACCAGATAATCAGGCAGGAAACTTAATTATAATTGAAAGAAATATTTGAACGGTCATTGACATTCCTAAAGATGAGATGAACATCAATGGCAACGTCTGGAACAAAGTCAGAAGCCTGGAACATTGTCAGAATGAAAAGGCTTTATGCCTTATTTATGTTACTACTGAACTGTCATTGACATTCCAACAATTCAGTGAAGACGAGCTGCAGTGAACATTAGTCATACTACTTGGAATATTATCCTGAAGCCTGATAGATTATAGGTTTATCATAATTATATTGTAAATATAAAAGACTAGGCCTACTGATGAAACTTACAATTCCAGAAGGAAGACGAGGAAGAACTGAAATGTAACAGCGCCTGGTGCGCTGTCATTGTACAATTTTTAAATATAATTTTCCAAAGCAAACATGATTTACAAAACAAAGTGAGCAATCAATTGGCTGATACTTTGTATGAACTAAGGGGGAAAAAAACGTATTCCGTCTTGTCCTATAATAAACCTCAGTCCCTGCCAAAGAAAAACCTGAACATAGTACAGACAGTTTAATAAAATTATTGTCTGTTAACCAAAGAAATTACTTTGCTCTAAATTTGAAAAGGTGATGATTGAAAGTAAGAAAAAAACAAAAGAATCTTCAATTATCACTTCAATCATCATTTTACGCCCCAATTTGCATGCTTGCCGTGTACGATGTGATTATTCCTTGTGCGCGGTGTGATTATTCCCTGTGTGTGTGGTGTATTTTCTTCTAGTGATTTTTGAATTTTCTAGTCTCTGTTCACAGATCTGCAGTACTTTGACAAAAAACAGATCAAGATCGAAGTTGTAGAGAAAGAAATAATACTAATGAAATCAGTGTTATTTATTCTCAAAGGTGCTATACAACACGATACGATACGATATGATACAAATCAAGGGAATATTGATTCTTCCTTTAAATGTTCAGTCACCAAAATGAGTTAATGGCAGGTGTGAAACAAATACTTGAAATCTTGTAATCGACAAAAGCAAGAAACCGACGAAAATTAATAGAACATAAAATATTTGAAAAAAGGGTAATTTTCCTTATCCACAAATAAAATTGTAGTGAAAGAAATAATTTTTTAATAAATTAAGTGATATTTTTTTCTCAAAGGTGCGATATGACACAAAACGAAGGCGGCGATACGACATGACACGATACGATATGTTACGATACGATACACGATACGATACGCGGATACGATACGGTGGTGAGAAAAATAATATTTCTAAAAAAGTGTTATTTTTTTCACCCACAAAAATAATAATGAAATGATACTAAATGAAACGAAATAGAAACAAAATGATTTACGATACGATACGAAATGATACCGAAAAAAATTTCCCTCGAAAAAGTCTGCTACGAAATGATTTACTTTTAAGAAAATACTAGAAAATCGTGCAACCGCAACAAATGAAAGAAATGCGATGAAAAAAGTAAATTACAGTAAAATACAACAAAGCAGCGGTGAGACAAAGTATATTTGAAAAGGCTTTTTTCTCACCCACAAAAAATACAACACAAAATGTAAAATGATACAAAAGAAGTCAATCGCGATAACTTCTTGCAAAGATTTGGTAACGAAAATAACTAAGATTCCAACGACTAAAAGGAGGGGAAACATTGCTTAAAATCGTTACGATTTTTCCCATAAATGTGAAACGAAATACAAAAGGACAGACTAAACACATTCGCAGAGGAAACTTATTTTATTGGAAAAATAAGCGATAGTGACCAGAATAACCAATGTCATGCCGCAGGTTTAAGTGTAGGTGACACCATCTCTCTTTGCAAATTGTTTCTTCGTCAGAATGTTCAGCTTTCTGTCTCCATTTTTAATCTGCATCTCGGGACATTGTGTCATGTGCCACCTTCTCTAGATTTATTTCAGCCATGTCATAATTTTAATTAAATAGTAAGTCCGATCTATAAATGCATCGGCAGGGATTCCTATGGCTTTATGTCACTTTCTAAAAAATTTTCCAGCCGTGTCTTGATATTTAACCCATAAGTCCGATATTAAATGATCGGCAGTAATATTTCTGATGTTTGTTTCCTTCAGAATTTTTAATTTTGTTGATGAGCATTATGGCACTATGCTGTCTCCCAAAAGTAATTTTTAGTCTTGCAATTGAGAAAATTGTAAGTCCGATCTTGTACGATCGGCAGGGATGTACTTGTGGCATTATATGTCACCTGTGGTTAAATTGTTGCCTTGTCTTCGATTTAGAGTGAGTCTGCAACAAGTAGCAGACGGCGTCAACATTATTGCCTTCAGTATATAGTCGTATATGTATTTATAGCATTAATGGATTTATCAAAGTAAGCCTGATCGATATGCAGCTATTTTTAACAATTGTTTCTTTCTTTTTTTCTCAAAATATCTATTTTGGGACTAAAGTAAGTCTTTTCTAACCATCTGTAGAGATACAGTGTGACCTAGCTAGGCTGGGTCGAGTTTTCTTTCTCCCTGTAGCTCATTCAGCCACGAATGAACATCTACAAGCCTAAGACTGACTGGATGAGGAGAGGCTACTTCGTCAGGATGGAAACAAATCCCTCCGAGGAACCGGAAGCAGGGAGGAAGTCCTTCGGATGAACCGATGACTCTGCTTGCAGGGCTACCCATTTCTTCTTCAAAAGGTTAGTTAAAAAAAAAATGTTCTTCTCACATAACAAGTGCATTTGTCACCAATTCTTTTTCTGAAGTCTTCTTTCCTCTTTGTTTTTATTTTTTTAATAGAAGATGGGAACTAGAACACCTGGATGAAAATGGATAGGTGAAGAAACTTCTGGTTGAAGATGACCTTGCCCATGCAGGATGAATTCATATCTCAGTCCTGATTCTGAAATGTTTTCTTTTCTTTCTTTTTTGATCTGAAAACAGAAAATGGAGCCTGGTATACATGGGTGACAGTGGCTGGATGAAGAAGCTTCTGGTTGAGGATGACCTTGCCCCCAGCCCAATTCAGCTGGAACTAAGGAGCCGGAAGCAGGAAGGAGGACCAACAAATGAACGGATGACCTGCTTGTCGGGCTTCCCATTTCTGATTTTTGAAGTAAGTTTTAAAAAGGAAAGCTCATGAACAATGGTAAACTGTCATAAAAAGACCATTTATCACTAGTCTGGTTAAGTTGCCCCTCGCAGAATGAATTACATATCTCATCAATCCTGATTCTGAAATGTTTTGTTTTCTCTTTGTTTTTGATCTGATAACAGAAAATGGAGCCATATACATGGATGACAGTGGTTGGATGAAGAAGCTTCTGGTTGAGGATGACCTTGGCCCCACCCCACTTCAGCTGGAACTAAGGAGCTGGAAGCAGGGAGGAGGACCAACAGATGAACGGATGACCTGCTTGTCGGGCTTCCCATTTCTGATTTTGAAGTAGGTTTCAAAAAAGGAAAACAAATGAACAATGGTAAACTGTCATAAACAAAACTATTTTTCACCCTTCTGGTTAGGTTCCCCGTTGCAGGATGAATTACATATCTCATTAATCCTGATTCTGAAATGTTTTCTTTTCTCTTTGTTTTTGATCTGTTAATAGAAAATGGAGCCTGTTATACATGGATGAGAGTGGATGGATGAAGAACCTTCTGGTTGAGGATGATCTTGCTATTCCTGCCCCACTTCAGCTGGAACTAGGGAGCTGGAAGCAGGGAGGAGGACCAACAGATGAGTGTTGACTCTGCTTAATGAACTTGCCATTTGAGAATTTGTGAGGTGGATTTACTAAAAAATAATGATTTAACAAATTGATGTAAAAAGGAGGGCAATGCCTGGAGCAATGCCTTAACAGCTACAATCCTGAAACAAAGTGCAAGATTTTCAAAAGGACTGTTCTCATGGATAAGGAAACACAACTTACACAAGAAAATATCAAAATAAATGAAAGTCTGTTTTACTTTGTTGCCAGCCAAACAGGAATTGTTACTAATGTGACCTAGTTTGCCTAGGCCGAGAAGTTTTTTTTCCTCTATTTTTCAGGATGGAGATTGTCACAGGGAACATCTCAAGCCATTACTTCAGGAGAATGAAAGATATCTGGCAACCAGAAGCAGGGACCAACAGATGACTGATGAGCCTGCTTGCTGATCATGTCATTGCTGATACGTGAGGTAAGTTTATCAACAACTTAAATAAATATAAAGAACTCCCAAACATTACGGACACACTCTCGCAAAATGTGGTCCAGCAGCTTTCTATACAAAAACCTCGTTGGCTCGGGGTTTTGTACGTAAACCTTATCAGTCAGCCGATCACGCTCAATTGACTTCGGCCAAACCGCACTCCCATCATAAGAAATAAGTTAACAATGGTATCCGGACCATTTTTTCCGAGAGTGTGTCTGTAATGGTTGATGGGCTTTTAAAAAGAACATTTGCGAATGGGAAAGACCTTTGGAAAAATCCAATCAGTTTGAATATGCTTCATGAATTTCTGAATAAACGAGCACATTTTTAACAGTATTTAATTACTATTATTGTTTTGGTGTGGTGGTGGGGGGGGGGAGTGGCTGGCTGGGGGGGGGTGCCAGACAGAAGATATATCAGAATGGCGCAATAAGACCGACAGCGGGCGCAATAATTTTGATTAGGGTTTCAAAAATTTCTACGCGTCCGAGTCGTTAATTTGCATAAAAAGTGCCCCCACAATTTTTTGTAAAAAACGAGACCGTCTAGTTTAAAAATCGGTGGAATCGTGCGAATATAGCCGAGGATCATCTCCCTAGCTTTTGGGCTATTATCTAAGAGCAGATTTGATAAAATTAGGGTCCAAAATGGGTCCTATTTGCAGGAGAAAATGTAGGCATGCCACTGGTAACTTTGGCAGTATGCAGGCTCAGCATTACCGGCAGGCTTCAAGCATTACGGACACACTCTCGCAAAATGTGGTCCATCAGCTTTCTGTACAAAAACCTCGTTGGCTCGGGGTTTTGTACGTAAACCTTATCAGTCAGCCGATCACGCTCAATTGACTTCGGCCAAACCGCACTCCCATCATAAGAAATAAGTTAACAATGTTATCCGGACCATTTTTTCCGAGAGTGTGTCTGTAATGAACAAAATCAAAACAACGATAACAACCACTACTAACAAAAATAAAGTGAACATCTTTCTGATCATGTACCATGTAGATGCTTAGACTGATCTGCTGAATCCTAACATTTCCCCCCCCACCCGGTACTTTTTAACTCTTTCAGAAGATGATGACCACCAAGCCTAGATGAGACTGGCTAGATGAGCAAGAGGATGTTTCATCCTGACGAGGATAACACCACTCCATCACTGAAACGGAAGATCTGGAGGTAAGGAAGATAACCAGGAGATGACTGATGACTCTGTTTGCTTACGTTGCAGTTCTGATTCTTGAGGTTAATTCTCCCTGAGAGATGAGAAAGATGGCTAGATAGGTAAAAAAAAAAGAAAAAAAGGATATTCAATTGAGACTTTTTCTACTAGTATAATTTTGGGTGTCAATCAAAGAAGAAACAAATCAAGAAATATTCTATGTATTTCATAAAAATGCATAGATTACTTTTCTGGTGGACGTGAAGGATGCATAATTATTGTAATTGATTTTACTTTTGTTTCATATTTTCTGATATATTCAGTTTTCTCTTTTAAACGTTTTAGGAGATGAAGACCATACATGCAGTGGATGAGGAAGAGGCTGTAGCTGGATCAGGATAATCCTCAACGCCTGTCTCTGATGAACCTGAGGAACTGGAGACAGGGAGAACACTGATTTCTGAGGTAAACTGACCCATGCTTCAGTCCATCAATCATCTACAGGGTGGAGTAAAAAGCAGGAAACCCACTTTTGACAGAAATTTTAGCAAACTTATACTTAGTAAAGTTATTATACTTAGTTAAGTAAAGCTCTTCAACCATACATGGTGAAAAAAATCTTTTAAAAATTGCAAGAATAGTGTTATGATAATTTGACATTTTGAATACAAGTCTCCAAAATCACTGTTGTCCACATGTAATTAGTCTAAAGTGTAGTGTTTTTTTTTTAAATCAAGCTCGGGAGCTCAATCAAGCGGATGGAATAAAGCCATCCGTGGACAAACAAGTTTGGCACATGAAATTTTTTAAAGTACCATATTTCAGAGACAATGCATTTGTAATAATTTTTTTCGTCACTTACGTTTTAAGAAAAACATTTTAATATCATTAAATTGAAATTTTGAACTATGCTCAACTAGCATGTATAAAAAGTGCTGTCGAAAGTGGGTTTCCTTCTTTTTGCACCACCCTGTTTAATGTTTCACTGTGGTAATTTGCCACTTCCAGAAAACAACAAGTACATGTAATAGTTAACTGCTTTTTGAGTCGCATGGTTTGGCCTTCTGCTTCACAAGTATAATGCTTCCAAAAAGTGACTGTGTGTCTGACCTACTGGAATTATTTATTTAATGCCTTGTTTTTGGTCTTTATACTTTTTGTAGATTCGCCAAGATGTAGCCACCAACGACAGCTGATACAGGGATGGATTGCCAGCTGCCGCTTGTCTACCCCCTTCCCTTTAACCACAGAATAAAAAAATAAACTAAATGTCCCCTCAAAAAATGAAAGAAGAATGTAATCTGTGAATTCGCTGATAAACTTTTGAATTGAGCTATGATGCTTTCAAAAATAATTGAAATGCGCAAAAAGCAATTTTTGGACCAAAATCATTGATCTTTTATGAAACCAGTAAAACCTGAAAACTCATCTACATAACAATTAAAAATAAAAAATTAACAATAGCATAAGTATTCTGTGGTTGAAATAAGATGTAGCACAATTATTTAATTGTTAAAATGATTTGAATTATTCATGATAAATACAACCCCCATGAAAACTATAGCAATTTACTCTCAACCCAATTTAAAATACAGATATTATAGTATTTTGCACTTTTCCCTTAAAAAGTTATTTTTGTGTCCAATAGAGGAGGCAGTTTCAAAATTCATGGAAATGTGGAATTACTGAGCAATGTTCATAGAGCTATACAAATGGTTAGGGTTAGAGGACCACCCCCCCCCCCCCAAATGAAACAGCCCAACTCATGCACTTAGAAAAGGGTACTTTTTACAAATAAAAATAATATTGTAAACCAGCATTCTTTTCAATCAAAAGGCATCTAGACATTGAAATTACACTGGGCTTATCTTTTTGCAATGTTTATTTGCACGAATTTGAGTTGTTTTTTAGTTTGATTTTTTTTGGTGTTTTTTTTTCGTTTTTGTTCCTGCATGTTTCATCAAATTGCATGGTTTTACAAAGCAAAAGGATAAGCACATTGTTTGCTCAGTGTCATAATTACGACTTATTTTTTTTTAATATTGAATTTTCATTGGGGGGGGGGGGGGCCTGAACCTTTGCCTCCCTTCCACACCCAACTCTTTTGATTTTTACAAAAAAATTGATGTAAACATAAAAGCGGAACCTTTTAGTTGTTATCTTGATAAATAGGCTACATTCTTCATCCTTTAAGTATTAAACTTTTTTCTTCAAAGAAGTTGCTTTTTGAGTTGGAAATCCTCTACCTTTCAGTTTCAACACTCAAAAAGATATATTTGCGATATTCATTAACTTTGAAAAAAAGTAGGTTTATTCTATCGTTTTCCAAAACTGACACGTGTAAGTCGTTAATCAAAAGCGGTGCTTTAATTGTCCTTCCGGCGTTCCATACTGAAATACTTGAATCAACAGAGGGTGCTTTCGAATCCACATTTAAACCTCAGTGGGCCTTATGCACGAGTCGGCCATATTGAATTGAAAGTGAGGTAAAATCTTAATTTTTGGAACTTGCGAAGAGAAATGAAAGCAAGATAATTACTAATTAACTCCAGTCTGCTTCAATGACGGTAATTAAATATTCCCTAATGTTTAAGCCAGATTAATTGACATCAATTAATAAAATACATTCAGGCAGCTCGACAAAAATGGCCAACTCATTCATAAGGTCCATCCCACTTTTGACTGCCATTAAGCCATTATGAATGAAAGCACAAAGAACCAGTCAATTAAATCCCAACAGAGGGCGCTGCCATTTTAATTACACCTGGAGCATTGTGCTTGATCGCTCACAAAGAGGGCCGGAAAGGAATTTTCACATTTTTCCCCCCATATAAAGGGTTTTATTTTTTTTGCCTTTCCCAGGTTCCAAGAATTATTGAAAAGGGTAAAAATGCATAGGCCGCATCATGAGACATAAGTTATTTGGGGCACAAGTCTTGACTTAAAATTAGTACAATATTTAGCCTTCATTTTTAAATTTTAAATTCATAAGATTGTCACAAACTTTTGATCTGTACTTATCTTTGTAATTACACAGTACTTATGTGCAAGTTTTTCGAAAAGTACGCAATAAAACTTAAAAAAAAGAAGAGAAAGATTGATTTTATTCTATTATTCTGTCTTGGCATTTTTAATTTTTGTTTTCAAGAGAAGTCTTCATGGGTGTCGCGAGGGGGATGGGGGCAAGGGGGAAGGAGCGAAGTCATATTGTTGCTAATTTAATGGGTGGAGGGAGGCCAATGGTCCTGCCCACCCTCGAAAAAATTGTAAATCGGGAAAATGCTGGCAATTATATGAATTTTTGGGGAAAATGTGATTCCCCCCCCCTAGAAAAAAATCCTGGCGACGCCCATATGGGCCGCGCCTGTGAGGGCGCTATATATATACATTATTTTTGTCGTACATCATTCACAACTGCCACGTTATTTGCACATGATGTTTTTTCCTGTCTGAAGATCTCGAAATTTCACAGTCATACCATATCTATTTGATATAAACAATTCATCAGATTACGTTGCTGAATTCACGGAGGAGGAAGGGATAGAGTAGATAGAATCTAACTTTAAAAGGTAAGCTAATATTTGTAATCAGATAATAATGGTCTTGGCCAACAACAGGCAACATACAGTGCAGTCAATTTATGCTTAACAATGTCACGAACATATGTAAATCTGATAATCATGCATTGCATGTACTACTAGTACAACTAGTTCTGGATCCCTTTTTCCGTGTCTGAGTGACATCATTTCATCATCCTCTTCAACATGTTCAAATTAAAACCAATGAATGTTCTCATGGCTTTTGTATTGTTGATGTACTCCTAGAACTATGAGGCTCCACATAGTGGAGCCTCATAGGTTCAGAAGCCCGCAAAATTGTTGTCAGCACAAAACACTAATTAAGTACAAAAACGTCCATCCCAAGCAGGCCGTTTTCCACAGAACCGCTGCACAGTTTGCCCCTAAACTCCATACAATACCTCATGACATACTCACGTTATGTGCACCCAACAAACATCGGTGGATTCTGTCTGTTTTTCGGCAAAAATGATGAAAAATATGCCCTTTCCGCACTGAGCCAACCTAACACTTGAAACGAGCACGCGTGCAGAATGATCGCAGTCATTTTCGGTTTGATCGCTTGGAGCGCGCCGCGGGGGGTACGTACTTGCACTTGTACGCATGTGCATACTATCGTTCCGCTCTACACCATACCCCCCGCGGCGCGCTCCGAGCGATCGAACCGAAAATGACTGCGATCATTCTGCACGCGTGCTCGTTTCAAGTGTTAGGTTGGCTCAGTGCGGAAAGGGCATATTTTTCATCATTTTTGCCGAAAAACAGACAGAATCCACCGATGTTTGTTGGGTGCACATAACGTGAGTATGTCATGAGGTATTGTACGGAGTTTAGGGGCAAACTGTGCAGCGGTTCTGTGGAAAACGGCCTGCTTGGGATGGACGTTTTTGTACTTAATTAGTGTTTTGTGCTGACAACAATTTTGCGGGCTTCTGAACCTATGAGGCTCCACTACGTGGAGCCTCATAGTTCTAGGAGTATTGTTGATGTAGGCTAGCTGGAGTTACCCAGCCCTGAGTTTTATCATTGGGTTGTCATCTAGGGCTGGAGCGCATTTTTCTCAAAACTTGTAGTATTTGCAAAAAAAATTTGGAAAATGTTCAATTTTGTCCCCGTTACACACTAATTGCAACTGCAACTCATCCCAAACTTGCCTGGAATAACCATTACACAGGTCCTTGAAGTAAAAAACGATCCACGATGAAGATTCAGCCTACAATTGCAGTGAAAACAGGAGGAATAACCGCTAACTTGACAACCTTGCTGGATTGACCAGGACCGCTATTGGTTTGTGCACAAAAAAAATTGTGTACAATGAATGGCGGTCGATTAACAGGCACAGAGAGCGATCGCTGTCAACTACTCGTTTTTGCCGGCTGCGCTGGCTGTTGGCGCGTGACGTCACGCGGAAGCGTAACACCCGATGACAACCCAATGATAAAACTCAGGGCTGGGTAACTCCAGCTAGATGTAGGCCTAGGCCTACACGTTGTTGGCGCGGCCCCCAACGTGGCACACTTTGATTTTTCGCCTGTAGCGCCTAGCTAGAACAAAAATCTGAAATTTCACAGAAAGTGAAATTTCATCAAGTTCTAAACACTTCCGTTCATAAATCGCGAGTTTATTTACCCGTAACAAATGTAGAAGAAAAAATTATTTTGGCGTGATTTTCTAATATTATTTTCAAGTGCAAAGTGAACCCTTTGAAAATGCCCCGAAAAATAAGAAAATAATTTTCTGACAAATATCTGGCTGGGTATGTAAGTAGAGATAATAATGATGTATCAGAATTTATCATGTTTACAGAAATTCTTAAATGTTAATTTGGAATTTTCCGAGATTTATTCAAGTGCGCCACGTCAGACCTGCCAACCAGTACGGTTTTGCCGTATTTAATACGGGAATTTATTGAAAATACGGCCGTACGTTTTTTCTCCATAAAATACGGGTTTTGACCATTTTGACACGCCAAAAAAAAATCCTAGTTCGGCTGCGAGTGAAGAGTGCGCAAGAAGAAAAAAACGGCGGCGAACGTAGACTACGTTGAGACACGAGGCTCGACATCGCGATCAAGTAAGCTAGGGTGTCTGTGATTGGTGCATGGGATGTAAACAAACCATGGACCGGGCGTATTAACCAATCGGATCGTTGCATACAAAAGCGCTAGGCATATACTGCGCATACCATGTGCAACTAGCTAGCTGAGGATAATTGAGCGTGGAATTCGAAAGCAGCACTGGCGTGAAATAAATATGGCTTCGACCTCCAAAAAAGATATTAAAAGGAAGCAACTGTACAAAAAAGAGTACACCGAGAAATGGGATTTCATCCAGCCGTCTCAGAGAGGAGAGAATTACGCACGGTGTACGTTGTGTATTTCCGATTTTAGCATCGGTCATAGTGGATCATATGATATTACCCAGCACATTGAAACGACCAAGCACCGAAATATTGCCGAGACTAAGAGTGCTAATCGCTCTATTAGACAATTTATGCCATCAAAATTAATACAGACTATGATCTGATAAGAGCGGAAACTTTATGGACTGAGTATGTTATCGAACATAACATGCTGTTCGTCTCTTCGTTTAGTAGGCCTAATATTATTATTATTAATCAGAATGGTTTTGTGAGTTTTTACTGAAGTTTACTCGCCATATAGTTTTAGTTGGATTAGGGCATTTTTAAAATAAGTTGTAACGTTAAGGGGCATATAACGTCGGGGGAAATAATTTTGAAAAATCGCCGCCCCCCAAAAAGAATTCCTCAAAAAATGCCTCCCTAGTAACCACAAGCTTTTGATTCAGTTTTAAACTGGAATCCTGGCGTCTAGTGGAAAAAATAGAGAAAGAAATCACCGTAGTCCGTACATTTCCACATGCCCTGATCGTTGATTGAGTACGGCCGCCCCACCACGCTGGCGCCCTTATTTATCAGGATGTAGCATGCTCGCAGCAACGTGTTTTTCGTTTGTGCACTGGTTCCTGTCAACAAATATATCTTGGGCCTAACGGGCCGGGTACCAGCTGCACCGACCATGCGACCGTATTGGAGTATGCATCGACAGCTTAATGCTCGCGTACTTTTCGATGACAGGTATTGAAGCGACGACTTTTTTTTTAAGCATACATAGTTTGGAACAAGATAAATAATGACAGTTTGCTTAGTCTGCAGACTTTCTCCTTCATTATTTATGTACTTTTAATGTGATAAACTCGTGCAGTGAAACTGAATGACGATGTTTTGTTCGAACACGAATACTGTGTCCGAAAACTGGGCGCACTATTCCGGGCGCGCTGTAAGTGTAAAGGGCGTTGATTTTTATTTTTAATTTATAAATTCCCTCTCACCGCCCGACCCGGGGAACCAAATCCGTAATCCAACTAACTGCGAAAGGTCTTAACTAAGTTTACTTCGATATATAGTCAGTTGTGAATAGAATTGAATTGAATTTTGAATGGAATTGAATTCCTTGAATTGAATTTGAAAATTATTTTTTTTGTTACCTAGGCTATTACCTATTACCTTATGACTTAGTTTCAGCGGGCCCTTTTTTTTTAAAGTCACTGAATACAGCAAAGCTCTGCTCAATTTTTTTTAAATTAGGTATTTCTAAAATCCTCACACCACGTGGAATTGCAGCAACATTAAACCTTTGTAAGCTCGTTTGTGCATTAAAACAAAAAAATACAGGTTTTTAAGGAAAAATACAGGTTTTTGAGTTTCAGAATACAGGTTTGTTATCTCACAGGTTGGCAGGTCTGCCACGTTAGGGAGCACTCCGCCAATCTGTGCCCAATTTCCGGACTAAATTCTATGAAACCGAAATTGTTCACAGAGGTTAAATAGCAAGCATTAATAAGGAAAAAGTACCAGTATTTCACTGCATGATTTTGAGGTTTGTCAAGAAAGAGGTTTGGCAACTCTACACGAGGAAAGTTGGGTAAGCTTCGAAGTGCCACGTTAGGGAACATGACTATACAGGACTGAACCTGACAGTTGCGGATCACTTTCGACAGTTCCGGATCATGCACGCTGCGCTATCTTACCCACAGAACTAGAGCCCCATAATTCTAGGGGTAGCACCTGGCACACAAATTCATCACTCACAGCCTACTCCTAGAACTATGAGGCTCCACGTAGTGGAGCCTCATAGAGTCAGAAGCCCGCAAAATTGTTGTCAACACAAAACACTAATTAAGTACAAAAACGTCCATTCCAAATAAGCTATTTCCCAGAGAACCGCTGCACAGTTTGCCCCTAAACTCCGTACAATACCTCATGACATACTCACGTTATGTGCACCCAACAAACATCGGTGGATTCTGTCTGTTTTTAGGCCAAAATGATGAAAAATATGCCCTTTCCGCACTGAGCCACCCTAACACTTGAAGCGAGCACGCGCGTTGATATCGCAGTCATTTTCGGGTTCGATCGCTCGGAGCGCGCCGCGGGGGTATGGTGTAGGAGCGGATTGATAGTATGCGCATGCGTACAAGTGCAAGTACGTACCCCCCGCGGCGCGCTCCGAGCGATCGAACCCGAAAATGACTGCGATATCAGCGCGCGTGCTCGTTTCAAGTGTTAGGTTGGCTCAGTGCGGAAAGGGCATATTTTTCATCATTTTGGCCTAAAAACAGACAGAATCCACCGATGTTTGATGGGTGCACATAACGTGAGTATGTCATGAGGTATTGTACGGAGTTTAGGGGCAAACTGTGCAGCGGTTCTGTGGGAAATAGCTTATTTGGAATGGACGTTTTTGTACTTAATTAGTGTTTTGTGTTGACAACAATTTTGCGGGCTTCTGACTCTATGAGGCTCCACTACGTGGAGCCTCATAGTTCTAGGAGTACTCACAGCCCACGTCGTGTGTCATGCCATCATCATGTACACTGCACACAAAACTGCATCGTGTGCATGGGTGATCCGCAAATGTCTCATGCAGGGATAAAAAAGGGAAATTCAGTTCATTCATTCATTGCTCTATGGTTAATTCAAATGCCAAAATCATTATTATTCAGTGACAGGGCCTACTTGTGATATTAAAATGTCCTTACAAATACAAGAAAACGGAATGTTGTGAAGAAAAAAATGCTAAATGTCGACTACGTCCCACAAGAAACCAGATCTTTGCCTTTACGCGCTTCCTTTCACACCTAGGTCAGATACAAAACAGGTGGATATTTCACCTAACTGGATCATGGGTAATGTTTAAGCGATTTCCAAAATTTCTTTTACCCGACCATTGCAAAAAGACATACCTTCAAATTGGTGGAAAAAAGTTCTCAGGAAAAAAGGTTAGGTAACTTACAGTTGAATTCATTTTTATATAATCAAGTGTGATCCAGAACTGCGTGATCGGGAACTGTCGCATGGCTCACGAATCCTACATTTTGTGTATTACAGAATACATTACACACAATACTTCCAGAACTACATACATATGAGCAGTGGCGCACCCAGGATTTGGCTTTCGGGGAGGGGGGGGGGGGGCTCAAAAAAAAATTCAAAAAATGTTGCCCACAATTTTGGCCGCAGAAAAAAAATTGGGGTCATTTTTTCAGGGTGGCGGATTTTTTTTGACATTTGGTGTCGCCACGTACACCTCTATCATACTACTTGAAAAAAGGCCACAAACATATCAACAAGGTCAAATCCTGGGCCAAAAAAAAAAAAAAAATTAACCCCCCAAAATATTTTTATTTTGGACAACCTCTTTGGACCCCCCTCCCCCTTGGGTGCGCCACTGTGTATGAGTAGGCTGACAAAAAAGTGGTTAAACTTTTGTATTTATGTAGTTTTTTTTAACTGAAAATACACTCGACTCTACATAGACTTTGTAAAAAAAATGTGTTTTTTTAACTGATTATACAGTGTTTATATGTCATCAGTGTAAGGGCAAAACCTAATTTGATTTATCACCCACATGCAAAAATTCCATCGTATCCTTTTAATAAACTCCTTCAGTCATGTTTGTGTACAAAGAATTCTTCTACATGTAGTTATTCATTAACCCTAACTCTCTCTAGGGTGTGCAAAACAAAATCCTATTAAAATAGAAGGATGACGGTATATGGTTTTAGACATGTATGTAGCAGCCACGTACATTTATGTATTCGGCCAAATTGCAGAGCCCTACAGGGCTTTGTTCAAACAAGGAAGTTATGTGACTGTGAACCTTAGATTTATGTGTACAACTGTACAGATGTTTACAGTTACTTGAGGAAATACAAACCTTTATGAATCAACTCTATCCTGTTTTATACAGTGTGTCACGTCATAAGACAAACAGGCAAACAGACTCATGCATTTCTGTATGCACATGAATTTAATAATGTTTTGCATTGTGTGCAACATATTGTCAACAGAAAGTTGGACTTTGACAAGAACATTACAATATGCCACGTAATGACAGTAATTATGTGGATCACTGGCATACACTACGTTCAATGTACATGTACATGCTTTGACCAAATTTGCCTTTATAAAAATTTACATTTTTTAATTTTGTAATTCATTTATTTTATTAATTAGTTTTTTTTTTTTTTTTTTTTTTTTTTTTTTTGCTTTTGCTTTTTGCTTTTTACCACGGACTGAGGTGTGAATGAAAGATTTGTCTTTTCAATTGTACTATTTTGAAATGGACTGCATTGTCTATGCACATATAGTTTTGTTTTTCATGTCACATGTGCACGGTACATTTACCACTGCAGTCTCGGGCCCAATTTCATTGTGCCGCTAAGCACAAAAATGTGCTGAGCACAAAAAAAAGTCTGGCTTATAAAAGCAGGTTATCAGCCAAAACTTCATGTGATTTTCAAGCACACAACAGCTGAATACCAATCTCAAGCAATATACATAACGTGGAGTTTTGGCTGGTGCTTTTACTAAGCGAGACTTTTTTGTGCTAAGCAAATTTGTGTGCTTAGCAGCTCCATTAAATGGCCCCTGAGCTCCAGTCATTGTGTTTTCTCCTAATAATGGACACCACCTTGTTTTCCCCTCTGTATTGGCAGTGTACACCGATGACAGGACAATTGAGCACAATGTATACGCACTCATTCCTGCTACTGACTATGATACCAGCAGCCTTATCTGCCTGCCCACCCATACACATTAAGATGCAACCAGACGAAGATGATTGGTGCCCAGGAGGATGTCCATCTGGGTGAGTTACAAAATGAGTGCAAATCGGCTGTTATAACATACAGCTGTCTCCTTTGTGGTAAAAATGCTAAGTATAACTGGGCCTAATTTAGCCCTGCTTACCGTTAGTGAAAAATCCCTGCTTAGTATAGCAGAAAATTTTGTACAGTTTACGGTAAGCATACATGTATATTTCATGCCTTAGCGTGGAACTTTGGCTTCTGCGCATGCCTTCATCCCTTAACCCTAACAATCCTGAGCCCATCAAGCTCCAACAGCGGGTTTTGCTTGATTTTGGCAGGGTTGGTACCGAACACTGGCCAGCTGGTGTTGGACTTTGATTGACTGGGTACCAAAGGCCCAGGGAGACCCTGTTGAATTTTGTGAGGTTCGGGGCAGAAGGGCATGAGATTTGTGAACACGTTGGAGTTTGAGGGAGTTCACTGGCATTTCTTCGTGGGTATGCTCACCCACGGTCCTCAGCACAGTTTGTGGTCAAATGTGCATGTACATGTACATGGGAGTTCACAGGCATTTCTTCGTGGGTACGCTCACCCACGGTCCCCAGTACAGTTCCTGGTCAAATATATTGCTTTATTTTGTTAGGTTTGGTACCATCCCTATCCAATCACTCTCACAATGCATAGGCCCATCCATACCAAGTCAATCAAACTCCAACAGTTGGAGTTTGGCAGGTTTAGTACTGTTCCCCGAACAAGGCCTGTTGGAGTTTGGCAGTTTTGGTACCAGTGCTTACAGACCTGTATGCAGCTGTTGAAATTTGTTAGGCTTGGTATCCTTTCTAGTGCAAGAGCCTAGAGGGTTAGGGTCAACTAAGGATTCTGTGCTTACTGGGTTATTGCAGAATTTTTGTGCTAGTGCAGTTAGCACAAAATGGTGATCGTAAGCGCGGAATTCTGTGGTTAGCAGCAGATCCATGAAAGTGGGCCCTGGTGTCTATGGACATTTTACTGCACGGTACGTCAAGGACATAACAGATAACCAACAGCTGGATTTAAACTAGCTAACTAAGCAGTAGATGCACTCGATTAGCTTCCCTGTGTGCACAGTGTATACACTGGTTGTACACTTGAGGAAACGACAATAATTAAGGGAAAATTCAGGTAAAGGGTGACAGGAATCTACAATGTAAACAAACCAGGCATACTGTTGTCTGCTCCACTAGTAAAAATGAAATTAGTTTGATCATTGCAACCAGATCAATAATAATAATTGCTAGAATCAGAAGACATAATCTGAATTATCACAAATCTACATACAGTGTCCTCAGGCATCTTAGTGTCATAATTGTACTCTATTCATATTGAAGATCATGCCATCTTCAAACGCTATGAAAGCTGCGGGTTCTGGGTTCGAGTCCAGCCGGGGGTCATGGTGCGTGTGCCCTTGAGCAAGACACTTTGTCACTCATTGCTTCTCTCCACCCAGGAGTAAATGGGTACCTGTGAGGGCAGAGATGGTTATTGTGATTGAATAAGCTTGCTTGCGCCTAACGGGCTGCATCGAGCTGTATACTCCCCAGAGAGCTGAGATGGTATTTGGAATGTTTAATTGGCCCAATGATCAGCGGTAATAATAATACTATAAGCGCTGTGATTTAGATTATTAATAAGAGCGTTCTTAAATGCCGATTATTATTATTATTATTAATCAAACGCTCTCATGTAAGTGTAGGCTACTAGACCACACCCATGGCTCCCTATATGTAACACCCATGGCTCACAGTAGTTCTTGGAACCATGTGCATGATGAATATAAAACTGTGCCTCAAAAACAGGTTGTCCAAAAAAGTTCTGTGGCCCTGAAGAGAAAACAAAGATTATATTTATTTCATGCCATTGCATCTTGTTCAAGGTCATAACAAATATCGCAAGTTCATTGTTTCTTGTTTTCCTTTTTTCCCTCCAGATCTTACTGTCAGGATAGCTCCTGTTTACCCTGTTCGCCCTGCCCAGACCCTTACACACTGGCAGAGCGAGGAGAAACAGAGATGTATATCATTCCTGGGTGCATAAATAATGGCTACTGTCCAAACACATGTGCTGCTAATTCATTCACTCCAAAAGCCAATGCATCCTTGTGTGACTGCGAAGGGGTAACCCCACCACCTCCAGGTACAGTATAGACACGCCATCCAAAACATACTATCACAGTTCCTCACAAAGGCCCCCTTCAATGGGGAAAGCGTAGTATACAAATATTGAATGCTTCGAGTGGTGTAGTAAAACTAGCCTCCCGAGGCGAAGCCAAGGGAAAATAGAATGCTCCATGGATCACCGAGGGAGGCTAGTTTTACTTCACCACGAGATAAAGCATTCAATATTTGATTTATAACACTTCGCCCACAGATTCTGCTTGGTTTTAATATTTTAGATTATTTAAATCTGAACACAGTTGAAATAAACTTCAATTTCAATACAAAAGTGGTGGAAAATGTATTTCTCTCTTCCAAACTACCCCTTCAAAAAATGTTTGAACCCAACTCTGCGGCACGCTCTCTTTGGAACAATATGCGCTATGCGCAACGCGCACACCAGCATGCATTTGCACACAAATACCGCGCCGTGGATATAGTACTTTGGTTGCTTAATGGTATAGTACTTCGGTTGCTACGGGTATAGTACTTTTGGCCGTGCACAGAAAGATGGCAAAAATAGAAAGGAACATGTGACTCGCTCTCAGCCAATCAAGACACAGAATCTGTGGGTGAGGTGCTATAATGCCAGCTATTGTCCAGATGATCCATCATGTGGCACTTGCTTTGTACTATAGACCTTTCGTACATAGCATCCATCTTGGAGGGCAACGCCTTTGTTTTTCTGATTATGCATTCTGAGTGAACCTTTTTGTGCATTCATTATTGTTGAAGTAAAATGAGCCTTCCAACATGGATGCTATGCATAAAGTCTATAGCAGGCACAATGCTCTTGCTCTTGAATGGGGCCTCCGTGGGTATATAGTGGTAGTCTGCTCAAAATGGTCTGTACATCACCACAGCAGTTTTTTTAAAGGGAAGATACAACATTTGCAAACATCAAAAAACACAATGATCAAATTATCACATAATAATGTACTGGATTGTTAGGAAATGACAGTCTAAAGCATCCGTTTAAGTTGTGGCTCCTGGTGTGCCGACGTTTTCAAGAAAACCTGTATTTTTCCAACGCTGGTCGGCCGACCAGCGTTTGAGAAAACTGGCTTTTTGTAAAAGGTGCTCCTAATTGTTCAAATTTTGTTTGTCTGCATTTTCTTTGCAATTGATTACACACCTGTGAAGACTACAAGCCTGCTAGACTGATTCTCTGTTCTTACAATTCCCCAAAGTCTTTAAATTACTCCGTTTCATCTTAAGTGGGGTCAGAGAACCAGACTACAAGAATATGATTGGTTTTCTACAAACCCAAAACGTGAAACAAGTCAGTGTTACAATATTTGCTATAACATAACTAATCCTCCAAATCCATTTATTTCTGAAAAGTGCAGCAAAAGCAAATGTTGTACATTCCCTTTAACGTGAATATTTGAATATTTGGAAAAAATTGATGCTTCCTAGACCAAGCTGAGCCATGTCATTTAGACAAAAAAAATCTGAGACCTGCAGCCAGTTTCACGAAATGTTATGCAATGGCGCCACATTATCTTGCGGAATTTGTGCATTTGATTTTGCACGGCATTGCTGTTTACAATGGTGGTCCTATTTGAAGGGCGTGCAACAGTAAATGTAATAGTGCATGCACATAACACCATATGTCCGCTGGTATAGCATGTGAATCATGGTACATATCCAACTAATTGCTGCCAAGGATCAATCAATCAGAAATTCATGTGTGCTTAAAGATAATATTTGTTTTAGTTACTGATTAGTTTTATTTTCTGTCTGCCTCTGTATAGTAACCACACCTGTCATGTGTAAGGACGGCTGTGTTCATGGACACTGTGACATCCCTGACGAATGCATGTAAGTTATTAATAGTCTCAGGGAATACATATGGAAACCTTTAGTACAAACGTAAAAAGCGGTAAAAGTTAAACGATTTTGGAAGGGATTTTGGTTTTCCATTTGAAAAGGCTTAAATTCTTGGTGAACAAGGCTTCATTCACCCATCTATGGTTCCAGCATCCATACATTGAAGTTTTGTTCAGAATTGGGCTCATATTCTGCATAATATCACGAATAAAGCACACAGCATTGTTAGATCTGATGTTTTTGTTTCAAGGTATTGGCTTCATTCACACACTTGTTTCGAATACAAATGAAGATATTCAAATTGTTGTAGAAAAGCTGTAAAAAGTTAAGAGCTTCCTGTACTTTTGTGTGTGCACAAACATGAATACGCCATGGAAGAACGCCATGGTCTAGTGGTTACGGTGTTTGACTCACGTACGATGGTGCGTGGGTTGGAACCTGGCCAGGAACATGGTGTTTGTGCCCTTGGGAAAGACACTTGGCTACAATTGCCTCTGTCTACCCAGGAGTATTAATGGGTACCTGTGAGGGTCGAGGACCGATTGAGCGCTGATATCGGCTGCCGCGTGGTCCCATGGCCTGATGAATGGGGAAATAATTGTAAAGCGCTTTGAGATTGTTGATACGATGGAAAGCACTATATAAGCACAATTATTATTATTATTATTATTATTAATACACACACACAGATACTTGTGTTTTATTTGGCAAAGTAGCTCTATAGTAGCCTATATGTGTACCTTTCAAAATGAGCCAACAGCTCACGATTAGCTCCCCTCAAACCATTCACTAAGCCTGTGGTCCAATGGTTACGGTGACTGAGAACATGGTGCTTGTGTTCTTGGGCAAGACTCTTTACTACAATTGCCTCTCTTCACCCAGAAGTACAAATGGGTACCTGTGAAGGTAGAGACCAAATTGCACTTCAGTATAATGTGGTGTACATGTAGAAGAACCACATTACTATTATAACTATTATTTTTATTTTGTGTACCGCTTTATGTGCTTGGACCGCTCAAAACGATTCGTCCTTGGAATGTCATTGTGATAATCAAGGTATACATCTTAGAGAGATTGAACTCATGGTTCTCCTGACGACGGGCCGAGCATACTGTTCGAAACGTTGAGTCCCTCCGGTTCTTTTCAGAACCACACATACTCACAAAAGAGATTTATTCACATGGTGCTACCGCAAACTTATCTTGTCTTAGTATTTTTTTTTTTATAATAATTTTCTTATGACGGGCCGAGCATTCTGTTCGAAACGTTGAGTCCCTCTGGTTCTTTTCAGAACCACACATACTCACAAAAGAGATTTATTCACATGGTGCTGTACCGCAAACTTATCTTGTCTGGGTTTTTTTTTTTTTTATAATTTTCTTACGATGGGCTGAGCATTCTGTTCGAAATGTTGAGTCCCTCCGGTTCTTTTCAGAACCACACATACTCACAAAAGAGATTTATTCACATGGTGCTACCGCAAACCTATCTTGTCTTAGTATCTCTCCACCATGCAAACCTTCAAATCTCAACTCATGGTGTCTGTTTTGTTTCAGTTGTGAGAGCGATTGGGAAGGGGGGTTGTGTGACACGCTACCATGCATCCCAGGCTGTATGAGTGGGTACTGCAACACCTCATCAGGAGAATGTGTCTGTTCATCAGGATGGGGAGGTGACATCTGTGATCAAGGTACCGGTAGTAATTAATGAGCCCAATCTGGCAACCACAATCATTAGACATAAGTGAGGTGGCCCCATGCATTGCGCATTTTACATTCACTCCTAACTTTGAGGTCGGTGTGCATTGCGCACATTGTAAACAATGCTATTAATCAATCGGTACCCACTGCAATAAAACAACTAGCTCCCAAGTGTGATGCCACCTCCTGTATGTCTTCTGATGGTTGCTGGAGTACGGGGATTGTGTAAAAGACCAACAATGTTGTGTTTCGGTAAGGCCAAAAAAAAAAATAAGTCGGTCTCTGGTCAGCGCGCGCGTCGATTTTAATCATGCGCGTCAATCTTTTTTTTTTCCAAAATGTTCTGCGGTAGCTCCAACAGCGCCCTCTATTGCCGCACCTCCTCAATTTTTTTTTACCAAAGAGCACCAAGGAATGGGAAATTGCACCAAGGCAAATGATCGAGAGCACCAAGGCAAATTATGGAGGACACCAATGTACATGAGGACAACAAATAGCAAAATAGTACCCCACCTTGTCTGTACAATCCAAGCTTGAAGAAAAAAAAAAAAAGCAAAAAAAAAAAAAACGACGCACTCGCATTCAATTTGCATTGGACAACGCGCGCGCTTTGCAAGCGTTACCTGCGCCAATTATGGTGGCGCGAGGATATATATTGGAAACAAATTGTACAGGTAAACATATTTGTAAGCATGTACTTTTTTGCATATTTTAAAAAAAAAGAGTATTTCATGCTCGTATTTACGATAGTTTTTCATTTTTTAAAACAGATTTGTATGTGAATCAAATTTTTAAAACACCTGCTGACCCTCTGCACATATCCAAAATTCTAGATAAGGTCAAGTCACCTGAACAACAGCATTTTTTTTGGTTTTGGCCTTATCGCATGCTATGGGGAGAAAATCCAGACAATTGTAAATTTTGAGGTACAACTTCAAAGTATGCACATATTTATTCAGGACATGCTCTGAAAATGTGTGTGTTTAAATTCTTTCACAAGTAACCCGTTTAATTCATGAACAGGTGTTTTGATAGCTCCAGCCCAAGGGCAGGCCACCATTTAAAGCATTGGGGAGTTTTGCACCAATCCCACCTGTTTCATTTGTATTCATTGATTTGTTTTAGTACGTTCTGTTCATTGTGCATGATGACAACTTTGCCTGATATAACATCCACACAGGCTATTCCTGCATGTACTAACTTTTTGAACAAGCTGATGGCATAAATGAACACAAGGTAATGTACAGTGGCTCCAATTATTTTTCTGCTGTGGCTAGAGACATTTTTGTCATAATACTAATACAGACTTAGCACAGTTAACATCATTGCCATGCAAAGCTCACAATCTTCCACTACTCGTAACCAATCTTTCTTAATGCAATTAATTCATAGCCAAATTTTCTTTGCAAGCAAAGCAGACATTCTGTCCTTCTGTAACAGACCCCATTGTTACTCCTAGTTCGTAACAAAAAGACATTTTTTTTCGTTTCAAAAAATAAAACTGAAAATAAAACATGGTACCTTTTCTTTCAACTTTTGATAAAGTTCTTTTCGTTTACGAATTGCGAATAATAACGATTCTGGTACGGAATGACAAAATGTGTGTGGAATTGCCCACATCACCCTTTTGCAGGTTTCAAAAAGATACATTTGACAAACTTTTTCACAAGACAGGGGAATGATCACAAAGACTGACATTTTTGGTAAAAATGATTACATTTTACCAAAAGGAGCATGACAGATTGGTCAAGGAAATTGAATGGCGGCTTCATGTACAAATTAACATAAAACTTGATCTGCCTTGATCTGATTAAACGCAACTGTAACAGAAAAGGGAACAATGAATCAATCACAAAAATAACTGAAGCTTTGCGTTTCTGGTAATACTCAGCTATCTTCATTTGAGCTTTGCTGTTATAGTAAGCGGTTCAATTTGCATTGATGCATACTAATTGTTGTTGTCCAGTCGCTACACTTCTCCTAGCCACTGCATAACACAGGCTTCGGCACACGGATTGAAATCCTTGCATACTAATGATACAATATCATTCATGATGTATGTGTAATGGGTGAAGCACATGGTGCGTGTGTGACTCATGGTCCATTATCTTGGATAGTTAGAGTGATAAATCATTCATGAAGCAATCGCTCACTATCATAATGTTCTTAAATAGGAATAACAGCAAACTTCCATTATTGGGGACCAAGTTATGAGTAGTTGTAGGCTCATACAAAAAAAGCAGGATTTCATGTATATGTTTACATTGACACAATTAACAGTAGCAATTTAATGATAACATTTATTCTGGATAAGCGCCTATTTGTTGCCTTTTAAAATCCTCCCCTCAGTCAGTTTTGATGGCTGTTATACAGTTAAACTAATAATATAAGAATACTATGAAGCGAAAATTGTAGTCTAGAAACCTCTTATATACTACTGTGTATGCTTTATAAATTTTCATAAATGTGCAAGTTTTTAACTTTACAAAAAAAGAGAGGATATATTGCATTTTGGAAGTAAACTCATATGCCTTTGGACATGTACCAAGAGTCTCTGGGTGCCTTTGCTCTTGTAATTCACCAAATGCTAAATTTAATCTTCAGCCTTTTCATATCAAAAGATTTATGATGCACTCACACATTTACATGCCAAAATGCTTTGCATAATTTTACTCATGCAGCTAATTTTACTCATGTACTAAGTGATGAGAATTATAGAAGCTGACTTTCACGATGATCACAGATATTCATCTGCCTCATTGGGAGACCTGATCATGGCTTGGACAGCTTGACATTTAAGCAAATAGATCAGCCCTGTCCCATTTTGTTTTGACTAAACACAGCTGTAACACCTGACAAAAAAAACTCTTTATGTTAACCCTAACTCCCTAGTAAATTTTGCTAGGATTTGCCTCCATTTAAAAATGTGCATACAGCCTCAATCCTGCAAAATCCTCCGTTATTTCTTGAATGCGGTCCTTGGAGGGGTGACCACTGCCTCAATCCTGCATAATCCTCGGCAATCACTGTCAATATGTTGAGGCAGAGCCAGTGACATCCTGGAGCAGTGCGGAAGATTTTAAGTATCTAGGCCTAAATTTATGTACGGATGTGCATAAACAAAACAAGGTCTGGCCAAGTCCTTGACTCGGTGCATCCTTCAAAATAGACAGTCACACATTTTTGCCATATAGCCTCAATCCTTCAAAATCCTCCATTTTGTGAAGAGGATTTTTGAAGGTTACATTTAGGGTTAAGGGAAAGAATGTTGCAACCTGACGCTACCTCAGTGGTTGTGTACAAAGTCTATGGAGAGTCAAGAAAATTCGTAAGTATTCCCTAACAAAATTGGAAATGTTTCTCAGTCCCAGATTCATATCTTATCATTTTTGCAATGACTGACATTCATTGAGATGATATATGAAGAAAAAAGCAGCGTCAGGTTGCAACATTCTTTCCGGTTTAAGCATGATACATGCAGCTGGAACAGGCACTTGCAATCATTAGCCTCACAATTGATAAACACAAATATACAGGAACTTGCTGTGGCATTGTCTCTTCTAACTATATATTTTCTCCTAACAGAAATCGTTATGCATCTGGAAATCTGAATGGTACACTAACAACTGATGAAAAATTATCTTACTTGTGTGTACATTAGATGACCAACTTCATGTAACTAACAATGCTAATGGAATTCATCTTATTTTGACTACTGATGAAAGCTGATTTGGAGAAACACTGTTTCTTGGTATTTTGAATGATGGACTTTGTAAGCCTACAATTTTTTCTGTCAAATAACATTAACAACAAAGCATTTTAAACAGATGTGTATTTGTTCTGGGTCTTTGCAGATTTGAGATACTGTAGTTCCAATCAGCCATGCAGGAATGGGGGAACCTGCCTGGACAGTGAAGATGGAAATTACACCTGTCAGTGTGTGCTGGATTTCACAGGAATCACCTGTGAGACAGGTCAGTGAAAAGCATCACAGCTGGCCCTGGAAATTAACCTAACATTTAACCCTAAATTGTCCGTATTCATGTACCTCAAAATATATTTAGACGTGTAGGATTAAGCAGAATTGTCTAAAATTCAGAAGGACTTCCACACAGTAGTGAGTGGTGGAGGATTCGGGAACGGTCCAAGTACAAAGGACAAAAGAGTTGGCATCACAATGTAATTAGCTTTGTTGTGAGCATATTTCACAAATGAACACTGCCATACAGTGCACGTTTTCATTGACTTAGTCCCTATAATGAAAACTCACTTTGCGACTAGTATTGACAGGGCATTTATTGATAGTAAGCAACTGAAAGGTAGAACTTCAGTACTAGGCTGTAATTTTTTGCCTTTTTCCTGTTGCAAACCAACGTATCCGCTTGGCATCAGATAACAGGCCATAAACTGTCGCTCACGTTTTTTTTAATTTGGTTTTTAGAGATAATTTAAAACAACCTTCCCTTTGAAATGCACTGGTATATTGTGTAGCACCCCCGCCCCCTTTAAAAATATTATGAATAGGTTTTGAAATACTTATCCTGTAATCAACGATTATCGCACTGTTGGATTTGGTTATTAAATAAATAAATAAAAAAAAATTGTTATTCAAGGAAAAATTGTTATTTAGGTATTTTTTTTTCTTACATTTTAATATGAACAGCTACAATTCTACATCTGTGCGAAGAGGATTGCCACAACAATGGCACTTGTCAGGAAATGGAACGTGATGTGTATCAATGCCAATGTTCAGAGGGCTTTACTGGCACCAACTGTCAAGTTGCGGAGAGTGAGTACACTGGGTTAACTCTATCCACAACCATAATCCCAGGGTGTGTGAACAATTTTAAAAATTGGGCGGATTTAAGGATATTTAGTTAACTCTGGGCTTGAGCAACTCAAATACTTTTGGAATTGATATCGATTTCATTTTGGAGTAACGATTACATTTGCCCTTACGTACATACGTGTACATGTATAAACTGCATGTATGTCCAACCATTGGCACTATCCGGTTCGTTACTGTGACGTCAGTTCAGTTTAAACCGCGTTCACTGTCCATTTAATGGCATTGGAACCATTGGAACCGGAAGTTTAACGCAACTTGAGTGTTTATCCAATGGGCGCTAGTAATCAGTGGTGCGCGTCCATGTATGACGAAGTCACTAATGAACCGGATACTTCCACCACCTGTACATGTATCGGTGGAAATATGAGGCGTTCTGGCAAATGAGGCATAACTTGGCAGAAATAGGGTTTGTGGGTATTACAAAGGAAAATAAAATTCTCCTTACAATACTGTTTGTTGCACTTTACTTGGACATTCAGTTGACAAGTTAATGCTGTTTAAAGTTAGCATTTATCAGCATGTCAAAAAGTAAAATACTGAGGAAAAAAAGCCTTTGAAGTTTCGAGTTTTATATTCGTGGAAATGAAAGATGCCAAATGGTTTTCTTTAAAAACACTTTTATTCCACAATTTTCGTACTATTTCTTTAAAATATGTGTGGTAGATACATCACATTATATCAAAAAATCTGAAAATCGAAAAAAAATCACCCCCACTCAATTTTGCATTTTTTCCCCACTAGGGCCTGTGCCCAGTTCCGTCTCAGAATGCCTCACAAATATTTGTGTATCCATGCTTAATGTGCCCATCGTCAGTGACGCTCAGCTGATCTTGCCAGAAAGGTTACCAGTATCAGCCTGTTTGAATATGTAGTGGTTGAATCTTATTGTTGCCCAAGACAATAATCCACTAGTCGGGCAAATGAAATCAAATTCGTTATGCCCTTGTTCGCTTGACGGGTAATTTGTTTTTGCCTAATGTTTTGGGCCCTGACCAGTAACAGTCGTATGTGCATTCATATAATGCATGTTTATCTGGATCAAGCGATAACATGCTGATTGTCACATTAATTTGGTTTGTCCACTGCAGGTAGAGGCCTACAAGGCATGCAAGGTTGGAAGAGTGGACTGATTATTTCAGTTTCTGTCAGTGTGATGATTCTGGCTGTAGTATTGATAGTCTATCTCTGCCGTAAAAATTTGTACATTAAGCAAAGATGGAAGCATGTCTGGCCGTTCAACAATGATAGCGACGTACAGCTAATAGGTGAGTACAATATTCATGTACGTTTGGTATAACGCAATATACCCACTATATTGTAGCTAGTCACTGGATGTGACTTGAGTTAAGTCGTTGTAAAGGCTGGCTCACACTCAGCAGGAATGCGTACACAAACGCGAATTTGTGACATTGAGGTAATTTTTCGCGCTGTAAAGTTGATCAAAGTGGAACACATTTCAATTCCGACAAATTTCACAACTATTTCATGACTTAAGATTTGCTCCGCATTCGCATTCACATGGATTGTGAACCATCCCTAAGGCAGCGACTCAAGTCTCTCAATCAACCAGTTCAAGTTGAGTCACGACTCTTGTAGCCTTGATCAAGGCATTCGACGATAAGAGTCTGATGATCAATGGTTGGTCACGAACAAGGCACCACCTCACATGTACTGTGCGAAGTGCGAACAGCGACCTCACGCGGCTAGGCTACACTATGCAAATCAGGTGAGGCTGAATGAATGCCTCGGAATAACCATACCAATGGCCTATCTTTTCAGGAAATTTTTGTGTGTTTTTTTTCGCGGATTTGTATCGAGTTATATTTGGTCTGCGGCCTCCAAATTTTTTGGAGAATGTACCACACTATCCAACTAAAATATGAGCCTCCATATACAAGCACTGAATAATTATCTCATCTTTATTCGCACACGGAATCGTCGCTGGAATCGCTGGAAATGCAGTGACAAAATAAAGAAGAACGTAGTCCAAAGCTCACGGATGTTCCAAGGTGTTCATTCAGCACCACCTGATTTGCATATTGTAGCCTAGCCGCGTGAGGTCGCTGTTCATGCTTCATATAGTACGTACATATAGTATCTGAGTGCATAGTGCGCGTCTGTTGTGCATGTTAGCGGCTGACTGACCACCGATCATCAGACACTACCCCTGAACGCCTTGACCAAGGCTGCAACTTTTGAGACATTTGCATTAGATATGTGAATTGAATTTGCTCATAGTATTCAGGTTAATGTTCAGGTCAATGTAGAATGACATTTTTGTAACCCATGGTACACATGTCGGAACCCATGTCCCTATTACCCTATTACCCTATGCACATATAAGTTGGAATGCTCCCTCTCTCCCATTCTTTTTATTTAATTTAAAAACAAAAGAAGTGGCAGTGAAAAAACAGTTGCAGTTATTGAGACAACTGTAAGTAGAGATATTGAATTTTAGTAAACACTATGTAATTGTCTCTAAGGATATGGGTCATTCTATAAATTTAGGGTCCAAATTGTAAACATTTTTTCCTTGGAAGATGACCCTATTAAATCATACATCAGATGTACATTGTAACAGGGATAGGAAAAAGTGACCCCAAATTTATAGAACGACCCATCTATAGTTTCATTACTGACATTCCGATACTGATACTCCTCCTTGAAATGCCTCTTGTCTTACATTCTACAGTTTTCTACGTAATATTGCAACTGTACAACTTGTGCACTACATGTATGAGCATGTTTATGAAATTGTGTTTCTTTGGACATTCTCCCCCCCCCCCCCGAGTCCAGCCATCCTGCCCCTCCCATCCTTCCCCTCCCATCCTTAACCCCGTTTTACACATTCCTGTATAGCATGGTTATGTATTGATTGTATTGGTTATGTATTTTTGTTTGGACATGGTGCAGGTTATTCTAAAAAGTCTGGTATGTATTCTCAATTCCGTTGCCAGTTTTACCCTATTTTTTTTGCATGAAAGATTTGTCAAATAACATGTGTTACAATGTAAAGTATGTTGTGAGCTGACGACTTACTTTGATTGTCATTTGCTCGTGTGTGAATTGTGAGCATGTCATCAGTAGTAAAACTATCTGAAGATTTCTTAACATAATAACCTGTAAATATATTGCAACTATTACTTTCATACAGTGCTCGTGTGTAAAACAGACAAACTAGCTGTACTAAAGTACTAACTAAGGATTTGAGTTGGCTAAACACTATCTAACACTTTCGGAACTGCATTGCATCAGAACCATTGTGCCGGAGTACTCGACCGTTAACCCTAACCCCCTAGCCCTTTTTGCTGGGAACCATCCTCAATCCTCCAAAATCCTCCAAAATTTTAATTTTTCAAAATTTTCAGAAAATTTTCAGACAGTCCTGCCTCAAAATGCATTCATCCTCAATCCTTCAAAATCCTCCTGATCCAAAAATGTTCAAATGAAGGGTACCCAGCCCCTCAATCCTTCAAAATCGTCAGACAGTCCTGCCTCAAAATACCATTCAGCCTCAATCCTCCAAAATGCTTTTCTGAAAAAATACCATTCAGCCTCAATCCTCCAAAATCCTGTTCAGAAAAAATACCATTCAGCCTCAATCCTCCAAAATCCTTATTTAAAAAAATACCATTCAGCCTCAATCCTCCAAAATCCTCCAAAACCACAATGAGGATTTTGGAGGATTGAGGAAGGTTAGGGTTAATGTCTTGAACCAGTTCCAGATTATGGAATCGAGTACTCATAACCAACTTTACAAATTAGTTAAAAACTTTTTAGGCAATAGAAAGGAGAGGTTTTCAACGCCATTTGTGGGGAATTTTCAAAATGAAATCCTGGCTACCGGTAAATGGAAAAACAAAACAGATTACACTTTTATGTGCATTTTACAACAAGTTTCAGATGACATTCGCAAAATTGCAGTTTATACCCTGAAGCTATAAAGCCCTTCGGATTTGAATTTTGGGGTTGGGTTTCGTTTACGGAAACCTATGTTTTGGCTCAATCCGTTCCGTTCACAAGTACCCCCTCACCGGCAAAGGAAGTACAGTTGGGGGTGCGCGGCCACTGCGTGTACATAGAAGAAATCCCCTGGTGTACATGCGTCACACACAAGGAACGGTGCGCATCAACCAGTGAAATGTACTGCCCATGGGACGTCGTTGCTACATGTAGGTAAAAGGGTGCCCTCTTTTGGTAGTGCACGGAGCTCATAGAGAAACTGGTTCCCATACTACCTCATTTTACTGACAGTTTCGTGATTTTGCAAATAAGGACAACTCTGTTCCTGGGCACACCCAGGATTCCATCTTCAGATGGACAGGTACATGTATAATTACATACTAAATGAGGACGTTATACTTTTGTCAAAGTGTTCGCATACATATGATCCAGACATACGTACAGTGTGTATACACTTTAAACTAAAAATGATAAAGTAACTTGCGGTTTTCATCCTGTTTTGCAAAAGCATTCTTTACTTTTAAGATTGTGTGAGTAACAGCTTGTTAATGTTTTGTTTAAATAATGTTTTCTTACGTTGTCATTAATATACTTTGAATTCCATCTTAACTAACCTAACAGTATGAATACATGTAATGGGAAACTTTTGAGACGTTGGTGGCAGCAAACACATCGGTCCTTTTCAATTGTTAACATCATGTGTAAGCTAAAGCGCACATGCTCAATATGCTGCCGCCAAAGTCTCAAAAGTCTCCCATTATGCAGAACATGGACTCCATGCGAAACCACCCTCTCAGCTCAGCTATAAAAATCCAAGATGTAACCATTCACGGGAGGGATTCAAGGGGGAGGTGCTAACCACACCCTTTTTTTTCCTGACAAATTATGATAAATAAAAAAAATGACAAATTTCTTGGAATGAAATTATACACTCTTTCAAACATTGAAGTGATGCGTCCAATACCGGCTATCATGATTTTGCCATATAGCGTCATCTACATGTACAGTTCGTGCATGTGTCGACTTTGAAAAGCTTACTTGAACTAAATTTGTCCAGTTACTAATGAAGTTTGTTCTTGAAATTATCCAGCTGCACATTCCGTGCCAGTAGATGTCTATTATTGTATGCTGTTCTTTGCTATCTGTGATGAATGTTTTCTTTCACCAGTCAGTTAGGTTTTCACTCTTTTGAGGAAACAATTTCTTAAATGCAATCTCTGAGCACACTTTCAATTGTCTTCCATCACTGCTATACTATAAAACCTAAAAGGTCTATGTGTGTGTATTAAAGAGGTTGTGGAATGCTCGAAGACATTTCTGTCATTTTTGGGGTATATGTAGCCTAAGGTGTGATGAAATAAAAACGACTATTGTTTCTGTCATGAAATGAGTACAAAGGTTACTTTTGAGAGCTATTTTTCAGGTCCTGTTTCGACCCGAACGTGCAATTTGTGTAAAAGTCGTCGTTGCGGGCAGCAAACAAAACACAGTAAATCGTGACGTAATAAACAGGACTCGTTTATGCTACTCTGCATCGGGAGTCCTGTTTATTACGTCACGATTTACTGTGTTTTGTTTGCTGCCCGCAACAACGACTTTTACACAAATTGCACGTTCGGGTCGAAACAGGCATGACAGGACTTGAAAAACAGCTCTCAAAAGTACCTTTTGTACTCATTTTATGACAGAAACAATATTCATTTTTATTTCATCACACCTTAGGCTACATATACCCGAAAAATGACGGAAATGTCTTCGAGCATTCCACAACCTCTTTAAGGACTGAGTTATGGGGACTTTTTGCTGTCCCAACAGCATATTCGGTCACCATAATAACTATCGATCGTTAGATGTGTAGGCCCCACAGTTACGGAACAAGTATGCGTGAGCAGGCCGTTGCCGCGTTATGGGGAAGTTTTTTATTGTTAGGCAAATTAGGACCGAGTTATGGGGGACTTTCTGCTGTCCCCACAGCGTCTTCGGTCCGCATAGAACTATGGGACAACTTGTGTGTAGTCCCCACAACTACTGAACAAGTACATGTATGTGTGTGTGTTTACAAGTTAATTAGCGTGTCAGCGAAGTCCTACCCCCCAAATCAGGCAAGCGGGCAAGGCAGCAAAACCTCATTTTGTAATATTCAATTGTAGGATTGCCATGTCACAGCATGTTTTAGTTATTTTTGAGTCTCACATTGTGACCTTGTTAGGTCATGTTTGTCACTCTTTTACTTTCGCAGTTGCTTTCCAAATTCCAAGCCTAGATGATCAACACTTCTTTAATTCCCCCTCTACAGGCAAGGCACTGCGCTGCGATCTCTCAGGGAACACAGTTATTCTCCGAGATCTGCACGAATGGCCCCACTGCGAAGTCCACACTTGCCCATGTCTGCCGGACTTCCCCGTGCTAATCACTGAGGGCATGAATGAGTTGCCAGTGTCCAATCTCCAGCCAGGGTTTACCTACACCTTTGAGATTTGCAGACAGGATCGGGATGTTGAGGGGAACGGCAGCTGTGTGGCCAGCTGTGATGTGCCAGTGGAAGGTCAGTGGAAATCATTGCAGAAATTGTCCAATCGACCTTTATCATGCTTCCACCATTTTAGTCATGTTCCCTGTATCCAATAACAGTACTGAATGATAATTTTTTGTGCAAAAAGGAGCCACACTATTTTTCCTTCCAGCCTCGCTTTGGTTATGCGCCTATCAAATGTTTCCCCCACCCCTCCCCCCCCCCCCCCCCCCGCGCTGCCCCAGGTCCGATGTTGGGATTTGGTCACAATTTTCATGCCCCAGGGTGGGGATTTTGGTCACTCAAATTACATTAACAATGGCGTTCTGCATGGAAAGGCAATTACTAGTGCTCCCCACGTATGTATGTCGGGGCATGGTCGGGGATTGTTGCTTAAATTTTGCCCAAGGGGATTTTGTCACTTCAAAAGTGACAATCCCCACGTCTTGGGCGGGGCAGCCGGGGGGGGGGGGGGAGGGGGAAGAATGGCTGCAACATGATAATGGTATATACTTCTTGCCACGGTACACTTGATGAGAATTTAAAAACATCATTTAATATTGAATTTTCTTCATATTTTCCACCATTAAATTGAAGTGAATCTGTTGGCCAAAAAACTCCACAATATTCTGAAGACAGTACCCATCTGTTGTGTCAGGAGGGGACAGAACAAAGTATTATTAATGGCTGTACTCAGTGGAAAGCAATAAGGCGTGTGTAAGTTTTGCAAGATGGAAATTAAACTTTTTTTGTAACGGTTAACAAATGTTCTGCAAGCTAAATGAGTCGTTTGTCAGGAATTTTTATTTGGAGATACAGGCCAAAATAGGGCCACTTCATCATATGACTTCATCACATCTCTTGGTGTTCCAACTTCCATAATTTTTTGACTAAAGATGGTATCAGCATGCAGTTTTCACAGCAGTAATGCTGAGATTGTGCTCTTTTCAAATCTGTAATAAAAAAAATTTGACCAGTTAAAATTCCACAAAATGCAGGATGCAAAATGGATCTGCTTAATGACGAAATCATGTTTCGTGGTCAAATTTGTGTGTGCTTTTTCTCTGCTATCTTAAAAAGCGTAATGTCCACTGAGCAAAATTTTCGATAGAAGAATGTTCAAAAACTCATTTTGAAATTTCTTCTTTGGATTTGGTGTGGCGTTATTAGAAACAAATGCATGAAAAGCAAATGATTCTATATGCCTTTATCTTATTGTCTACATTGTTTCACAATACAGGATTTGCTAATGAAGATGAAGCGTGCACTGGCACAATGAAGCTGATTGAGGACAGCATCTCACTGCGCAGAGACCTGGACAGAGTCTTAGCCGGAAGCCAGGACCTGCGTCAATGTATCTCAAGTTTCTTTCAATTCAAGGAACGTCAGAGCGAAGCCTTTGTCAAGTCCGGTGATGAACCGTGTGTGAAGACACTATGTGAGATCCTTGGAGCCATGGACAGACTTGACTGTGGCGTGGACTCATTACTGAGCCACCTGGCAAGGAGCAAACCCAACGGAGCCCAAGAGTTTGCCCAGAAACTGTGCAGATCTCACCCTGGGTGTGCCGTGTGTCCTCACATCTGCCATCACATGCATGGAGGACTGACAGCGTGGGCCACGCAGCATGACAATCAGGTCACTTGCGATTCATCCTCTAACAGCACTAGTGTTTGATGATGTAATCTAGAGAAGGCGAGAAGTTTGATCAAAGGTCCAACCATTATCGATTGGGCAATCTGGCCAACTCACGTTGTTACTTCTTAACTGAGGAACTGTACTGCTCCCTTTTGTTTTACCTATACTGTTCCTCATGTGCATATTGCCCGGGGCCAAATTGCATGGCTCTGCTAACCACATAATTCCGTGCTTAATATCACCATTCTGTGCTAACGCGCCAGCATACAAATTTTGGCTAACCCTGTAAGCACACAATCCTTAGTTACGGGATGTATGCATGCGCATAAGCCATAGTTCCTCGCTAACGCCTGAAATAGGCTTGTCGTAAGCGCAGAATTTTCTGCTATAGTAAGCAGGTTTTTTCCTGTTAACTGTAATCAGAGCCAAGAAATTGACCCCTGGGCTGACCCATATGAACCAAATATTCATATGTTCGATCATGAAGCGATTATTCGAATAGCTTTTTGCCAGTTTGAATATTCAGACAAAAAGACAATTCACCCACACACATGACTGTGAGGTTATTTTATCGTAAAGTTGCGGTGCTACTTTTTTTGTCGTCTGTAACTTTTTGGTCGATGGTGATTCATTATTCCCATCCTTTTAGCAGGTTAAAGCCCTGGACAGTTATAAAATACTTACTAGAAAACACTCCAGCGGCCCATGTTGATCACCACTTGCAAATTATTACTGGCCCGCTCTGCGTGCAACTCTTGACTGGCAAAACAGTTGCAGCTGACAATTTTTGAAAATCTGAATATTCGGTCAAGCACAGTTTCAAGTAATTGATACAATTCGGGCATTTCACAATGCAGTGCGCCACCAAGAGTTTGTCGTGGAGAGTCCATTATTCAATTATTCCATTATTCAAGTTTACTGTCGACAAAACATGGCCCGTTTGAACGAGTGTCAGTAGACAACGAGCTAATTTTTGTTATAGATTGGGGCATAGCGTTTAGCTGCCTTCCAAAAAACTCGTATTGATAAAAGGCAAAGAAAAGGGCAAACAGATACTCGAATCATGCTTACGAAACTAATGACTAGAAAAAAAACAACTGTTTCAAATGTCCCGCGCTGCGAATTTGTCGACCATTTCCCACAATGCACCGGGAAAAATGAACTCTCTATGGCAAACTCTTGGTGGCGCACTGCATTGTGAAACGCCCGAATTAAATTTGGACAGCCTTACCATTGCCCATTCTGTGAGATTCATGTGCCTGTATTGTGTTCCATTGACAGGTTTTTTAAGAATGGAATTAGATACCAAGTTGATATCTTGGGGTTTGTTCACAACTTATAAGTAGGATACTGTTTTCTATCCTTTTGTACTGTTTGATGCAATGTCACTTCCGTAGCTAGTACTGATGTACCTAATTCTTCTGACTTGTGGCAAAGGCCTTACATTGGATGTTGTCTGTAAAAACCCACTGAACTCCAGGTAAAAATTCCTGGCACAGCAAAGAAGACTAAGCTCTTGCATCGCATCATTCACCAACAGTCCCAATATAAGTACTTGAAAAAGTAGCAATGGCCCATGTCATTAATTCACATCTGTAACTAGGCAACATGTTAGTTGTCGTATAAAGCCAGCTGATGATTAGTCCCAGATACTGCAAGGACTATTCCATTCATGTAATTGTGAACGTTGTATATATTCATTTTGAACATTACTTATCTGATTTTCCACTGGTGAATCCTTGAAAATGAAAAAATACCTTAAATTAAACCCCAAAAGATACGTACATGTACCTGGGACTTGAATGGTACATTAGTAAACACATAGATGTATAGAAGTCTGATTATTCATATGCAGTGGGCTTTTGGCCAAAAGTATTTAATACACTTCACTATTCTTGACTAATCGCTTCATTGTTCCTTCATTCAAAGAAGTATTCCTTAAGCAGCCCTCGGGGTGACCTAAGATTTGGTTTCGCTGCGACAGAACTAGCCTTGGCCAAGGCATTCATCGATAGCTTCCGTACACGTGATGGTATCTGGCCATTCACTGCCAACCTATTTGCATATTTTAGCGACGTGAGGTTGCTGTTTGCGATCCGCACAGTGCATAGCGCGCAGCCAGTGTTTTTGTTTTTAGCTGTCAGATACCATCACAGACACAATCGACGAATGCTTAAACCAAGGCTTGTTCCGTCATGGCGCAAGCGAATCACAAGACGACCTGAGGGGGCTGAGGTCCTTATAGTGGGACTGTTTGGGGACTGACATGATGCAAGAAGATAGTTATTCAGTGCCTAGTCAAGCTTTCTACTTGGAGTTAGTGAGTTTGTTATCGACAACACCCCAATCTAAGGACTTGCTCTCATGTCTAATAATTCCGTAGTGTGGTAAACAGTGGTCTTTTTCTTTTTTCCCCCTTCATTTTTATCCTAGTAGATTTGGGACTGTTGTGATGTGTAAATATTGGTGAATCTTATTCCTTTGCATAAAATGTGACTGTCTATTAACAAACCCGTGGTTTTAGATTTGCAGCTGATACTTTAGAACTAGTGACGTCATTCTATTTAGGCCAGTGTTGCATGCATTAAGTACTCGGGCATTTAACTCATGGGTGTTATGTATTTGTATCTGTTAAAAAAAAAATTGTTAATGTTTACTCAATCAGAGAAATAATCATGATTTAAATGCTAAAATGTAGGATTAGTTGATGTGCACGTGTACAGATGAAAGGGATTTGTGTTTGAGGATGGTGTGCAGAATATTTTTGATTTTATAGCCACGGATATTTCTTTCAAAGAAATTATGTCAGACGCTGCACCAAGTGCACATGACAGAATCCTGTGGTGTTCTAGTGGAGGCCATCTTGGTATTGTTACCTATCACATTATGACTATTGATGTTGGGAGGTTGTGTGCAAGGATATTCTCATATAAGTACCTGCTGCGTTGTGAAAATTTAGCACATCGGTTGACCACATTTGTCGAAGCCATGTTGATGTAGAATTTTGAGTCAAGTACTAAATCATGTCAATTTTTGATTTTTTTTACATTTTACAACTACATGTATAGACTAATTCAATGACGGCCATTTTCTGAGGTGGAACCAGACTCGCGCGAGTCCACTCAGCTAGTATGCACACACTTTATGCTCCTGTGTCCAATAGGTTTATCAAATCATCCAATAAGGTTACCGTGCGCACTTGTCTTTAAGAACACATGCGGCATGCGTGCGATCATGGTTCCACCTCAAAAATGGTTTCTAATTTTGTTCGCTGAATTTATCTATACTGCAGCTGCAGACACAGTAGGCTACATCAGAATTCTGAAACGTGGCCCAGATATGCCCAGAGCTTGCATGAGCATGTGAACTGGTTATTAGGTATAATTATTTGAGAAAATTCTGCCTTGTGAGTAGTGTTAGCATGCTCTTTGCAGTGTTTACTGGACACAGTCTTTATGGAATGGAGTTCTGTTCCTTGCATTGTTGATTGTCGTGCCTTGAGTTGGGCCAGTACTTTATGTTTGTAAGGTATCAGCCCATTTAAGTGGAAAATGGACTCATTTCATAATTTCTGAAATGCATATTTTTATGAGACGGAATGTGTGTACTTTTGGGCAACATTTGTCCATTCCTTCTTTTTTATTCTAATGTATAGTTTGTTGCAAACAATGTTGAAGAAAATGAAATTCTATTAATTGAATTAACTTTTTTTTTTTTGCTACTGTCTTTTTGCAATGTGATTGCATGGTTTGGAAAACCAAGAAAAGGGTCTGAAATGGTGATATTTTACCAGATGAAGAGTATTTTCTTTGTATTGAATATTGAGTAATATGGACTGCAGCTGTTTTGAAATATATAATGAAAATTGAGAGTACAAAATTGTAAAATCTGTACAATGTTTAAGTAGGCAAACTCTGCAGGTTGAAGTATAAAGATTTTTTTTTATAAAAGTAATCAAAGGTTCCCCCCCCCCCCGATATTTTTTTTTGGGTTTGTATAGTCATAGTCTATCAGATACTGTTGAATGGTTTACTTCAACTTTTCAAAGCAACTGAGGCCTGTTCTAAATTGTGTGTCAGCACAGCAATTTAGACGTTTTGGCTCTACTTCCTTTGGCTTGACAAGGTCTGCCGTGATATTTTCTGAATGGCAGTAGCAACACTGCCATTTTGTGCTGCTCACCTCTCTTGCGTCTGCAACGTGGGGAGTGAATGTGGTGCGAATACTTGATGGCGCAATAAGTACTTTGAACTGCTTGAAAAAATATTTTTATAATGGCAGGGTACTCTGGATACATTAAGCAATTAAAGCTTGGTATTTAGAGCAGCTCCCATGCTATAGACCTTTATCATGCTGCCACCATTTCAGTCATGTTTCCTGTATCCAATAATGCTACGTAATGATAATGTTTTTGGTTCAAAAAGGAACCAGACTATTTTCCTTGCAGCCTCGCTATGGTCATGTTGATTTGAATGGGGAACAAATAAAAATGGCTAATGATAATGGTCTATAGCCAAGCAGGTGCAGAGCTCAATTCATTTGAGTTCAGCATGGCAGCAGCATGGTGTTTAGAAAAGGCCTAATGACAGGGCTTAAACATAAAGTTTGTTTCTACTTGTACAGTATATTTCATGCAATACATATCTTCTTGCCAGTTGTATTTAGTGTAGATTGTGAAAGTGCAGTTGGAACCTTAAGGATCCAGATACTAAAAAGTTTCATTTTTCGTTTATTTTTTTTATTCCAATATTGGATGAATTTAATTCTGGACTATAGTAACAGAACAAGTTCACTTCTAGATTGTAGAGGAGTGCCTTTTTGTTTATTTAAATTTCTTTGTTTTGTTTTTAGATGTTGTTTTAGCAACATCTGCCAACGTAGACCTACCTATTGATAGTCTTCCCTATACTAAGTAATTTTGACAGTGGTATTGTTTCTGTGCTGATTTATTCCGTCCTTTGGAGATTTTACTTTGTGAGCAGAAACTGTACTTGTCACTAACAGGTACAGTGAAATCTTGATAAGTCAAACTCTGATAACTCAAAAAACTGTAAAGTTAAACAAAGAATCAATTGCCTTCAGTAGAATAACAATGATAAACAACCCTGCTTAACTCAAAACTCTGCTGAAGTCAAATGTTGAAAACCTGTTCCCTTGAAGTTTGATTTACCAAGATTTCACTGTAACTGCAACATAATAACTATTGATTTTGTGATAGATGCAATACACTGCAAAATGTACCTCAAGAAAAGCTGCTTTTTGTACAGTTGAGACCTAAAGCGGTCCAAATTAAGAATAACATCACAATCCACACCACTTGTTAGATCCCAATTCAAATTGTAAACCCTGTTTTGATTGGTTGGAAAGTTATACTGAAGAAAAGGTATCGCCAACATGGGTGACCGAAACCATTATAACCTACGCAATCACAGAGTATTAAGCTTGAGACCACTGTTTTCTAAATTTCTGGAATCATGTTAAGAATGTAAAAGCTTTAATTTGAAGGTGGGTTGGTTCTCTTTATTTGTTCTTTTTCTGATTCATAAAACGAAATGTGAACTGTTACTTTGATCAAGTAAACAATTTATGCATGAAATGAATTTGGAATTTCAGTTCTGGAGTACTTGTGTTTTTTTTGTTTGGTTTATATGTTTCTTATGAGACAGTGTAGACAACAAGGCCAATTGTCAAGGAAGCAGTGTTCAGTTATTTAAGAGAAATGCATTTTTAATAGGAAGAGAAGTTGGGTGTAGTCAAGAAAACCGGAGGGGAAAAAATGGGGGGGGGGGGACTTAGTGTGGACGTGTGCAAGTCCACAAAGCGTTCAGGCCTCCTTCATCCTGTGGACCTCTTGTTCACAGATCCACAAAGATTATGCAAGGTTAGAGCAGACTGTTTGGCCAAATACATGTACAATTTTACCCTAGCCAATCAGCGCCCCCCCCCCCCCCAATTTGTATTGGACAAATCCAACAGTAGAATCCCCAATATAACAGGATATATATAAATATAATACAGTACTAAATAATTGCATTGACAAAAAAATTGAATGAATCCACCCCTTCCCCAAAAAGATAATAATGATGAGCTACGTGGCAAGTTTCAACTCGGTGACTACTGAGAGAGAATGATTGTAGACTTGCATTGTTGGAATATATCATACATGCCCCCCCCCCCCCAGCAGTTACCAAAATTTCTCAAATATTTATGCCATTTTTCACTTGAGGAGCCCTAATTTTGCCCACCCCCCGGCGGTAGACTCTCTGGATCAACCCTTGATTATATGTGAAGATAAACTACTACTAGCACTGAATTTAGAGTTCGCAAATTTAGTCATATTTACTTTGATGTATAAAAAGAAGTATAACAAAACAATAAACGGCAGAAATTTCCGTCCACGGGAATTAATGACCAATCACAAGACTACCAACCCGTCATGCATAATGCATGAAGCCAGGGCCGGCTACTTGTGATTGGCTAATTAAAAATGCCCAACATCAAAGATGGCTACCGTGCACGTGCGGCTTTTTTCGACCGGAGCTAGGTGAGTTTTAACAAGTAATTTATCAGGTTTTTGCGAGAATTGAGCCAATTTTGTTGTGTCACATGGTTTGTTAATATATCGAGAAACCTCGGAGACAATTTGAGATGAAATTAAGGCTGTACGTCCTGAGTTAGGAAGGGAAATTGTGAGTGTGAACTGATACTAACGTGTCGGGAAAATTTGCATTCTTGGGCGGGGGGGGGGGGGGGGCGGCGTGGGGCTGTTTTAGGGGGGGGGGGGGGATAAAGGACTACCGTTGTCCTGAAATCACCGAAATTTGTATGTTTAATATCGTTTTAAATTACTATAAATCCTATAGAAAGATTCCCATATCTGGCCATCACTTGTCACACTGTGCACAAACCGTATGAGACAGGTCTTTACTTACATGACTTAAGATTTGTAACTTGTTTTCTCAGTAAATATTTCAATATTTTCCCTGCTAAATTTGATTTTTTAAGGACATATTTATTATCAATGGTTGAAAATAAACTAAAGGTTGCATTTCGGGAACAAAGTTAATTCACTTTTAAATTATTTGGCCTACCAAGCTAGAGATGGCGACATCAAGAACATGCAGCCTATGCCATAAAGTGAAGGAAGGGTTTTGACTTTTTGAGGGAAATTTAGGGGTAAAATGACGACAACGACAAAATGCAACATATGCAACAAATTAAATATGGCAGCCACTGCCCGATGTACTGTGAACGCACAGGCGCGCTGAATCGTACGGCACCAACTGTAAACCGCTTGGGAAAATCTTTATTTCTACCCCAACTTGCCCAAGGACTGTTCAAAATTAGAAAAATAAAAATCAAGGTGTCACTAGAATTGAGAGAATCTGCTTTAGGTTGAAAAGGTCACTTTACACGATTGCCTTTTGTGGCATACGCAAACGTATTTCAAGCCGTAAATATATCCCCTTCTTGGATGTTGCCCCCAGCTTCTGTGTCCATGATTTTTATATTTTATTGGACGTTTATGTTCAGAGAATTTTTGTGTGACAAAATTTCTTGTGGAAATTGCCCCAAAATCTAGACATAAAATCTGCCCTCTTTCAATGACATTATTTTCATCGCCAAAACTGTTTGGCGTACAGTTAGGGTCAAATAACATAAAAAGTGTATGTATTCATTCTCCTGAACAGCGCAGCAATACCGACACCACACTAGTGGGGCTAATAGGATTGGTGCCCATAAATCCATTACAGAACAAATTTCACTGATTGACTACATCCATTTTGGTTTGCACAAAATATAGTATGGTAAATGGTTGGCAAACGGTCGGTGTCCTACCGTATTTTGATCTTATGCACTGCCCATGATGAAAAAATGAAAGATTCTTAAATTTATAATCTCCAATGTCTCTTTCAGGAAGTCAGTCTGCTCTTACCAAGGAAGCCACCCACTATCCTCCCATATCCAACAAGTCATTGAGCCAGCAGGCCCTTGGTGTATGTTTGATGAGCATGTACATATTTCAAGACCTTGCCAGCGAAGAAAGTTGTAGTCTCAATTAGCATCGGCAGCTAGATTAACATGCAGCTTTTGAAAAAAAGGAACTACTTTATTGGACAGTAATCGACTCGTGACCAAGATGGCAAAGGATTCCGAAAGAACAACAGCATAACAATGTCTCCATTTGATCTTTGATGCTGCGTTGAAACAACATGTGTACATAGTCTACAGACCAAAAAATAGCACCACGAGACTACTGAACATTTACAACCACTTACAACCAAGCACATTCCATTGAGGGGGAGTTCATGTTTACCAACAAGTACCATGGAACCTACAAAGTTATTGTACGTTTGTCACGTTTACCAGTGTGGTGGATGTAGCAACCAGCCGTTCCTGAGACTGATGACAGTAGACAAGCCCAGAGGTAAGAGAACCACTTGGAAGATTCGCAGATGCTGATTTTGGTGCTCATGTATTTGTTCATTGTTGTTGATAAAGATTTGTTGAAATGGTATGTTGAGGCCTAGCCAAGGCTTTCAGATATTTGAATGAAAGCTTGAAAGGAATATTAGATCCGCCAAACAACAAAGATGTTTTCATGATTTCCTTTGAAATCATCTGTCTAATTCCATTGTAATCTTTCTGAATATTAGTGGAAGGTTCAGACATTAGTGTAAACTTTTAGCATAGGAATTGTATCATTTGCTTCAGACGTTAAAGCTAAAGTGAAGACAGTTTTATTCTTTACAAGTATAACTGATGATGACATCCAAGGCCAACTTAGCCAGATTGCCATCAGCCTTATTGAGTGGTCGGGCACAACCCGACCGCTCTCTGTTATTGTTCTGATAAATCTTTATTTTTTTTCCAAGACAATACTTCTCCGCCGCTTTTCTCCTAAACAGTTCATGATATGAACTTGTAACTTTCAATATATATCGACCCTCATCCCTAGTGGTGCATATTACTCTGACGTCATGATGACGTCATCGGGTGTCAAACTACAAGCAATTTTAGCTGAAAAAGTGACCAATTACTTTCACCTATAACTCATATACAAAATAGTGTTTATATTCTGTTATCAGATAGACCATGAACTAATTGAGTGGTCGGGCACAACCCGACCACTCTCTGGATTTGTTCTCATAAATCTTCTTTCTTTCTTTCTTGCTTTCTTTGAGTGGTCAGGCACAACCCGACCACTCTTTGGAGTTGTTACGATTAAGGCCAAAAAAAAAAGTCTCCGGTTTCTGGTATGGAGCTTGTCCAAAAAGTGGTGCGGCGACGCGGCTTTTTTTTTTTTTTACCTGACTTTTTTGCTTCAAATGTCGACTGATGACTGCAAATGGTGCCCCACTAAACTTAGTGCAAATATATGGGAGTTCAGAGAGGCCACATAAAGCTTATTCTCGATCATAACCCCATCTAAAAACACGTTAAAATTGTGCAGCAGCAGAATTCCAGTCAAACCAGTGAGTTTGGCGGTTTTGAGACGTCATCTTTCATTGAAAAAAAAACTTTTTCATTTTGCCGACGTGCATGGCTACGGTGACGCGCGCGCATACCAGAAACCGGAGACTTATTTTTTTTGGCCTAATTCTTTTTTTTTTTTTTCTGGACAATACGTCTCCGCGGGTTTTCTCCTAAACGGTATATGATATGAACTTGTAACTTTCAGTGTATATCGACCCTCATCCCAAGTGGTGCATATTACTCTGACGTCATGATGATGTCATCAGGTGTCAAATTACAAGCGATTTTAGAGGAAAAACTGTCCAAATACTTTCACCTATAACTCATAAACAAATAGGGGGCCTAGTTATTTATGTTCCATCTTTGTAGTCACATAGACCATTAGTTGATAAACATTTTTTGTCGTGTACGTGAACTCGCTTGTCCTTTACATCCGGGTCTATCGGAAGGTCAAAGTTATATGAATTTAAAATGAAGACTTTAGCCTGAAATCAAAACAAAACAAAATTTCTTCCAAATGGTTTACACTATGATCATAAAAACTAGTGTGAACTTAGACCATATGTTACGAAGATGCTATAATCTTTGTGACGTCATAATGACGTCATCAGGTATCAAATTACAAGCGATTTAAGGGCAAATTTTGACAAAACAGTTTGCGCTGTATCTTTTGAACTAAATAGAGTATCGTATTCATTTTTTTCGTGAGGTTGTACACGATGCCGTGAGCAACATTTCTTATTCCCAGACACAAAACTGCTTGACCTTTACTTCCGGTGTTACCGGAAGTGCAATGGAAATTGAATCTAACTCTAAAACGGAAGCATTTTACTACAGACTAATACATTATGGAAGTGTTAAGTGACGAATGCCAATCACAAAAACATAATTTTGACGTCATCCCACGAAAGGGCGCCCTCCAGCGGCACATCAAAATCAGTTTGATCTTTTGAAATGTTAAAACCCTCAATCAAATTTTCATCAAATTGCCCCTACATATCCCATAACCACAAATGAATTTGCAAGTTTTCATAATCATGACGTCATTGAACCGGAATTACTATAGGGAGAATTTAACAATGATCATTTATTGAGTGGTCGGGCACAACCCGACCACTCTTTGGATTTGTTGCGATTAATCTTTCTTTCTTTCTTTCTTTCTTTCTTTCTTTCTTTTTTTTTCCGGACAATACTTCTCCGCGGGTTTTCTCTTAAACGGTATATGGTATGAACTTGTAACTTTCAATATATATCGACCCTCATCCGAAGTGGTGCATATTACTCTGACGTCATGATTACGTCATCGGGTGTCAAATTACAAGCGATTTTTGTTAAAAAAATGACGATCTTCTGTCACCTATAACTCTTGAACAAAATGATCAATTATGTTCCAACCTCGTAATCAGATAGACCATTAATTGATAAACATTTTATGTCTGGTACGTGAACTCGCTTGACCTTGTCTTCCCGTTCTACCGGAAGGTCAAAGTTAGTTGAATTCAAAATGTAGACATTAGCCTGAAATCAAAACAAAGCACAGTTTCTTCCGAATGGTTTACGGTATGATCATAAAACCTAGTGTGAACTTGTACCATGTTACGAAGATGTTATAAATGTTGTTACGTCATCATGACGTCATCAGGTATCAAATTACAAGCGATTTGATGGCACGATTTGACAAAATAGTTAGACATATATCTCTTGAACTAAATAGAGTATCGTGTTCGTTTTTTCGTGAGGTTGTAGACGGTGCTTTGAGCAACATATCTAATTCCCGGGCACAAAACCGCTTGACCTTCACTTCCGGTATTACCGGAAGTGCAATGAAAACCGAATGTAATTCAAAGTTGGAAGCATTTTACTACACACATATAAATTATGATAGTCTTTAGTGAGGAATGCCAGACAAAAAAGTGTGATGACGTCATCTTTCGAAAGGGCGCCCCCTAGCCGCACATAACATAGTGTTTGCTCTGTCTTATTTGAAAACCATCCGTTCAAATTTTACCAAATCGCTTCTAAATAAAATTCTTTGATTAACCAAAAATACCTTGGCAAGTTTTAAAATTCATGACGTCATCAGACCGCAAGTTACTTCTGTGAGAATTTGAAAACGACCATATTCTAAAATTCAATTCATGTCGTATATCTTCGTAGCCCAAGTTACGATATCCATTACAATGTTTACTTTTTGCTGCCAAATACTGTGACGTCATCAAACTGGAAGTTAGTTGTTATGAATAAATACACGTATATTTTCCATACTTTCATACGTCATTTAAACTTTACAATGAACATTTATCGACTCCGAACTAAATCAGTGTTCACTTCCCGTTTTTGAATGATGACGTCATCAAGCCAGAAATAACTTGTGTACATAGAATGTTTACTGAATTTTACCACAAAATAATTGATTGTACCTGACAGGATTTAATTTCGTGATCCTTTGTTCTTACATAAAAATATTCATAACTTAACACGGCAGTGTTTATTGAAGAAAAAAAGTCTACCCGACCACTCTGCGTTTGTAACAACAAACGCGAACCTCTAGTTGAGTGGTCGGGCACAACCCAACCACTCTTTGGATCTGTTACGATTAATCTTTCTTTACTCAAACTGAATCACTTCTCTTTGGTTCAGGTTAGTGCTATACTATGCTGTGCAAGTGAGAACTGGTTAATTAATACATGTACATGACATGCATGTTGTGTGATGAGCACATGGAAAGAATAAGACTCTCAAGTCATTTAACCTAATTTGCATATAATGCACATGTAGGTCTAAGGGCAACTGTTTATTGAGCAGGAAATGGGTAGTCTTGACCCAAGTCTTTCAACAGTCGGGGGATTTTGTTGTGCTGGTTCCGTAAAATACAAGTACATGTACATGTACATGTATGTTACGGAACCTGCAGCATCATAAGATATAGACTCTTTATAAAGCCCAGCTATCCACTGAAGACATTTAGACACCAACATGAAACTTTTCAGAGGACTTCACTAAGGACCAACCTCAAAGATATGTGAAGCAAAATTTGGTGCGGAAGGTCTGACGTTGGTTTTTGGGGGGGTCAAGTTATCATAAAAATAAACAATTTGCTTTTTGCAAGGGCTATATCTCATTCAATGAAGTTAATATAAGTGTAAGATTTTACATGAAAGTAGTTTCAATTGGGGGCTATTACAGGCAAAAAATTTGGTGAAAAAAAAATATTTTCAATTTTTGACTTACACCCCCCCCCCCCCCGAACATTGGTCCAGATGAGTTTTGGGCCATTTTGGGGCCCCTCTAACTTAAAAATGAAACAAGCTACTTTCTTTCTGTTTAAATATTTGAAATCTACAGCAAAAAATAGCCCAGATTACCAAGTTTGAAATGTCTGGGTGGTATAGTTTTAAATATATGGCCCTTTAAACATTGAATTTCATGACGCGACGTGCTTTTGGCCCCGCCCACCTCAAATTTCAAAATGCTGTTGTGCAAGAACGAAAAGTCGTAGAGACCCCAAATTTTCAGAATTTGCATTTCTCCTAAGTATCTTTCAGTACACCAAAAAAGAAAAAAATCCAAGAGGTGATGGTGTGCAACATTTGTTGAGTTGGCATGGAATGACCCTACACACATATAAATTATGACAGTGTTTAGTGAGGATGCCAGACAAAAATAAAGTGTGATGACGTCATCTTTTGAAAGGGCGCCCCCTAGCGGCACATAATACAGAGTTTGCTCTTTCTAATTTGAAAACCATCCGTTCAAATTTTACCAAATCGCTCCTTGATATGCTTTGATTAACCAAAAATAACTTGGCAAGGTTTCAAATCCATGACGTCATCAGACCGGAAGTTACTTCTATGAGAACTTGAAGACGACCATAAGTTCTAAAATCCGATTATGTCGTATATCTTCGTAGCCAAAGTTACGATATCCATTACAACGTTCACTGTTTGCCGA